GTCTGCGAGGCCTGAGCAACTTGAGCCCTCAGGATCGCCACCTCCTGCTTCAGAGCGGCGAAATCCCGGCTCTGATGCTGCTCCACAGCGACCCGCTCCTCGAGCGTCGGGCCAAGGTCAACCCCAGGTTGACCATACCCGGGGCGTGTTCCCACCACCACCGCCTCCGATCCGCGACGCCCGCGACGCCCGCGGCTCAACACGCTGGATTGTTGAGCGTATTGTGAACCATAGTATCCCGAAAACGAACCGGCAACCGGTTCGTTATCGTATTCGTTGGAGAGGGTTTCCGCCCCACCAAGATACATGGGAGCCGCGGGACGTCCTGCTGCAGGACGTTCCGGAAATGGTGAGGGCGTACGAAGCTCACCACGCTCTGCCAGTGCGAAGGTAGAGCGAGCGCTGTAGTCACCTACAGCGCCCGAAGTACCACGATCGTCGCGTTCCTCACGTGCCAGGAACTTGGCACGGATATCTTTGAGACTCGCAGGTACACGAATCGTCGTGTACCGTTTAGGTCGCGGTCGCTCAAGCGCGCCGCACCCGGAAGACACAACGTGCACTGTTGGCATTCGGGTACAGCGGAGAAAGAAATCTCGAGCTCATTCCGCAATGAGCCCGTCGAAGAAGACCGACGCTGCAGCAGCGGGGAAGACCTCCGCCGGGATAGAGACTCTCTCTCTCCCCGAGTATCGCGAGCGTCACAAAGCAAAGCGTGACGCTCTTGCTGCCAAGGCTGCGGCGGGGACAACTCAACCGGAGATTGTCCTCGAAGGTTCTTCTGTAGTCAACGACGCCGTTGACTTCGAGGACGGCGACGTGGAGATGGAAGAGGGCGAGGCCTCTTCTAGCAAGCGCAAGGAGTCTATCGACAGCGATAGTCTCGACCCGCATGCCGGGTCGAGACGCCCTCGTGAAGGAGACGACTCGGACGCTTCGAGCTCGAAGCGTTCGCGCGGCGAGAACGAAACCCCGCTCTCTGCTGCTGGGACTTTGAGCTCCCCATGTGATGTGGGGACTTCGAGCTCTCCGCGCGCTTCTCAGGCAGCGCGCGATCCGTGGATGCCGTCGGGCAACACCGTGCCTCCAAATGAAATCCCGCTGTACGTATGCAGCGGCATCCACAACGATGCTGTGGCGGAGGACCAGCACTTTGATCCGTTAACGAATCAAAGGCGCTATTATTACATCGGGCTCTTCCACGAGCTCCGGTACTTCTCCAGCAAGAAGACCTCTTCTCGCAGCAAAGTGCCTGAGTGGCCCAACGTGAAGAATTGACGAATAGTCAATTTCCTGATTGACATGCCGTGACTCGGCGCGTCTAACCTTGAGGGGGGGATGGTGTAACAGGGTTACACGCACATGTGGCTACAGTCACTTGTAACTCTAACAGACACGACGTCTGTTAGAGGTTCGAAAGACTTTCTCGACATTGGTGTAGACACACTAAAGGCTACATACATTTACGATCACCACGACGGGTGGTCCATAGAGACTTAGGATTCCTATTGGCTGAAAGCAGCATCTTTTAGCCAATGAGCGACATGCATAGCATTGGAATTCTGCCAACCAGCCGTTGGCAGATTCCCAGTTTAGAATATTACATTTAGAGGAAGTCAGAACATAAAACAAAAATAGCAGTTCTCATTTTAACCCAAAAACATTACTTGGATCGTTTATTTAGATTAATCTATACTCGGAGGCCCGAGTATAATTAACTCTAGTTTAAACTAAGCTACGCTTCCTCACACACGTGCGCACACGTGTAAGCTAAAGTAGTGAGCCAAAATTGGCCCATTACATCAATCATGTCTAGGGATACCATTACCCCCGTACACTCACGTGTACTACCGACAACCCACCGTTGTCCTTCACCAATGCGAGCGTCAGTGCTCGCAAGGGACCCCGGGTCTCTGTGGTGTACGCCTTCCGTACACCCATCACAAAGACTCGGGCCAACCCCAGCAAGGCCCTCGTCCTTACTGGTGGTTGTGTCTCCTTGAGCACCTGACGGTACATGGCGTCGGCGCCCCCTTGACCCTCTGGTCTTCGGGTAGGTCTTCTTCACAGACCCTGGCGATGGGCAGACACGTTGGTAGTGTCCAAGTCCGCCGCAACCATAGCAGCGGACAGAATACTGTTCAGCCGAACTCAGATCCATGGGTTCTGGTTCGCTGTCAGCGACCACAGGATGTACAACAGCCAGAGCACCAGCCTGCTTGTGGCTGTACTCCTCCTGGAGGGCCACTTGGATCGCTTCCTCCATAGTGGCGGTGCGCACGCGCCAACTGCGTGCGCGCAGGACCGACCTTCAGGCCGTCCACGAAGACTGTCATCTTGACGTCTTCCGACAGTGGGTTCCCCACCAGCGAGGCTGCCAACGTGCGCAGCACCTGTACGTACGCGTACAGCTCGCGCTCCCCTTGTTTGCAGGCAAGGAAGCGCGAGCGCTGGCGGAACTCGTTGTTCGCCGGGAGAAAAGCGGCTCGAAGCTGCTCACACAGCTGAGCCCAGGATGTGAAACATCCGGGCGACATCGCTTCGCGCGTATACGCCCAAGTCTTGGCACGTTCGCCAAGATTGGAGAGCGCAAAGGCGGCTCGAAGGTTCTCGGCTGAGATGAGACCTGCGCTCATTGCGATCTCGGTCTCCCGGATCCAGAAGTGAAGGTTCTCACCTTCCTTCCCTTCGAACGGAGGCACAGCTAGCCGCAGAGGCTTAGGCTGCACCCGTTTGGGCTCACGCATCTGAGCCAGCAGGTTTCCCTGCACATGCGCGATGAGCCCGCGTTCGTACTCGTCAAACGCGCTCACCCGCTCGACCTGCTCGGCTGGCGTCGCCGCCGCCAAGCTCCGGAGGGCATCTCTTCCGAAGATGCCCGCCATCTTCCGCACCGACTCGAGCTGCGAGTCAGTCAAGTGAGGAAACTCACTTCGGTCCATCGTGGCTCACAGACCTGAGCCACCGAGGATTCAGGTAGACCAATCTACCCGCGTAGGCGTAGGATTGACTACTAGTGCTACCAAGTGTGACGGGGTCACACAGCACAATGCACAGAGGAAGTGCGTGCGGATATTACTATCCAGGTGAACAGCAGTTCACCAGTTCCCGGCCTCAATGGGAACGGTTTGCTACAAACGAGTAGGTTATAAGACTGACTGTATTTTTGGTAGAGGTTAATTTGGTCGTAATACTACAAGTTAACTATACAAAAGCCCACAAAAACTCAAATGGTTGGCTTGCTGAGCTATTGGTACCATGTACCATGTACTCGGGAGAGTGACACCCGTCACTCTTCATGTAATGGGTACACTTGATTGTACCCCGTTACACTTGACCTCATCAAGATCTCTCAGCAGTCGTTCGGTCGTTCGCACCGCGTGCCGGATTTGACGGTAGCAATCGGTGCGCAACTTGTCGATGTCGGTGGCGTCAATTACACACAGCCTCTCAAAAGACCCGTCGGGAACAGCGTTGTCAACGCGACGACCCCTACGTCCAGCCATCCAATCAAAGAAGAGGTCCGGGCAACTCAGAGCGGACTGCACTACCCCTAACGGCGCGAACTCGAAAGCCGGACTGGATCGGGTGCGCCGCTACAACTGGTGCCTCGTACTTATGCCGACGTTCCCTTGGCAGATGCCGAATTACAGCCAATCACCGGTGCCCATAGTCCTCTCCGAGGTTGAGCGAAGCGCGGTCAAAAGCGATTCCCCAGCCGGTGCCCGAAGACCTCCCTGAGGCTGAGCGAAGCGCGGTTGCGAGGGGACCAACAAGTGCTACCAAATGACAGGCTCCGATGCGGTGGGGCCTGCCGTAGCAAAAGTGCGTGGAGTTGTTGTGGTTGCTTGCTTGCTTTTGGGTAAAATGCAAAGTGAGATTGATTCCTTTAAGTCTTCGGACTAGCTACGGGCTCTAGGTCTTCCTCTTGCTTTCTCCTTAGTGTCGTTCTAGAAGCTGAGCTAACCTATACTAAATGCAAGTTTTTTCTGTTTCCATCAGGTACGTCTTCCTTGAGCATGTCTGTTGCTGGCGTACCCGCTTGCGTGGGTGCCAGCAGCAGACATGCTGCATCATGACAATTGAAGCAAGGCGGAATATTGCTACTATATGTATTACCTACCATTCAACAACTGTATCGGCTGAACCGTTTCGCAGCAACGAGCGCGAGCCTGCAAGCTACTTGCTACTATACAGCAATTTTTATTGTTTGGAGTTGTTCGTTGGGTACGAGCGAGTGCGGGCTCGCCTTCCGCACTCCCTACAGGATCATTCAACTCACCGCAGTGCTTCCTTTGTTTTTTCAAGAAACTTTCATGGATCGCGATAGATGATAACAGCCATAAATAACTTGCATGGAGTCATAATAACTTGCATGTGAAAGGGCATAACGGTAATATATGTCGAAGGGTCGCAAGAACGGCAAATTTCGTGTGCTCATTTCTCGTGAAGTAGAGCACCGACGCTGCTCTAAACACCACCGCTGGCCTAGTGACGGTAAGACCTATCGAACGATACCTCTCTTGCCAGTAGCCTTTTTCTGGTACCTAATTTTCCCTTTTCTCGGAGAAATCCCATTATAGGTACATTCTTAAGGGCCGCGCCTCGTAAATTGCGAGTCGCAATTTACTTACGTCGGGAAAATATGTATTGCCAAAACATAAATTCTACAGTAAAGTCAACTAATGACCAGAGAGTCTTGTCAAAATCTACGTTGTGTCATTACGGTCCTCACCCGTGATGTACACTCCTCCAAGAAATTTTCAACACGTTATGAGGTTGTGCTCGCATCACTACTAACCTATGATGTCATTAGGCATGTTGTCCAGCTTCAACCACGCACGAATCGATGTACCGCCCGCACTTCCCCACTTCAACATCCTAAGGGCTTACCCGAATGGCAACCATTCTGACCTCCTACAAGGCTTCGCGCAAGCTGCTCCTCCATTTTCGGTTTTGCCGTCTACTCCCAACAACCCCAACACTCCACTTACGCTGAAATGGCCTCTATCTCCGGAACCCGTGTGGCTCTCGTCGGCGCTGGTGCCGTCAACTTCGGAGGCGCCGAAGGTCCCTGGGACCACGCCTCTCGCCTCGAGAAACTCGGCGCCGTCATCGTGGCCGTCGTGGACCCGATGGTCGCCAAGGCTCAAGAGAAGGTCGATGCTCGCCGTGGCAACAAGGAGTTCGCGCACGTCTGGGCCAACACGGAGGTATTCGCCGACCTGCAAGATATGCTGGACACCGCCAAGCCTACGGCCGTGTTCATCGGTGTGCCGCCCTCCTTCCACGGCTGCTACAAGTACCCGTTGGAGCTGCAGTGCCTCCGCGCAGGAGCGCACCTGTTCCTCGAGAAGCCGCTGTCGAACGCGCCTGTGGACGAGGTCACCAAGTACGCGGCGGAAGTGGAAGCTCTCCGCAAGGAGAAGAAGCTCGTGGTGTCCGTGGGCTACATGTTCCGCTACTCGCTGTTTGGTCAGAAGATCAAGGAGCTGCTGAAGGGCAAGAAGCCCGTATGCATCATGGCGCGCTACAACTGCACGTACGCTAGCATCCCGAGCCCGTTCTGGTGGAACTCGGAGCACTGCGGCGGCCCCATCGTGGAGCAGGCCACGCACTTCGCCGACATCTCGCGCTACTTTGTGGGCGAGGTGGACATGGACACCGTCTACAGTCGCAGCGTGAAGGCCAGCCTCACGCCGGGCGACATCGGCTACCTGGAGAAGGTTCCCGTGGACGAGACGGCCATCCCGGCGGAGAACCGAGTGCCGCGCGCGCACGTGGCCAACTGGTTCTTCAAGAGCGGCGCGCTCGGCAACCTGGTGCACGGCGCGCTGCTGCAGGGCGAGGCGTACGACGCATCGCTCGAGATCATGGCGGACGGCCTGCGTATCGGCGTGGTCAAGCCGTACTCGGAGACGCCGACGCTCAAGGTGCTGCAGGGTGACAGCGACGAAGAACTGACGCTCGAGTTCCCCGGCGACGACATGTACCTGACGGAGGACCGCGAGTTCCTCAAGGCGGTTCGCGGTGAGGGCGACGACATCCGATGCCAGTACCAGGACGCAGTGAACACGTACGCGCTGACGTGCAAGATCCGCGACGTGGCTCTTGCCAACTAACTCAGCGCGGCAAGTGAAGAAGCTGGCATAGTCCGCCGTGTGCCGAGTGTAAAACTCTAATGAATGTATCAACTTTGTCATGCTGAAAGTGGAAGTGAACTCGGTCAAGGTACAAACCAAACTAGTTAAATAGTTAGGCGCCGTGCGTTTGCTTTTGGCGCGACGCGCTCTCACCAAGTGTCGAGCAAGTTGCAACGAGGTCAACCGCACTCGCTTAGCACGCCAACACGCCTGAACCTGTTGCTACCTTGGATCGTATTCCTACAACAGCACTTGACCCTGACTTGTTCAATGCCTATCTCCAACGGCCAGACTCCGGAGCACGCGTGTTCTCGCGGGACGAGCCCTCGCGGTCACCAGCGCGCGGCGGGCGGTACGAGCCTTCACGCTGCGAGCGGCCGAAGAAGCGGTCGTCAGCGTCACGGTCTCCGCCACGGCGGAAAGAGTCACGCTCGTCATCACGGTCGCCTCCACGGCGGAAGGGCTCGCGCTCACCATCACGGTCACCGCCGCGACGGAACGAGTCACGGTCGCCATCGCGACGGAACGAGTCGCGCTCGCCATCGCGGTCACCACGACGGAAGGAGTCGCGCTCGCCATCGCGGTCACCACGACGGAAGGAGTCGCCACCACGGTTACCCCAGCGAGAGGCTCCCTCCTCACGGTCGCCACCGAACCCGCGGCGCAGGCCACCCTCACGCTCTCCACGGTCACCGCCGAAGGCACGGCGTAGGCCGCCACCCTCGCGTCCATCGCGGTCGCCGAAGCTCTCGCGAGCCGCCGGTCCGCGACGCTCCCAGCGGCCTTCCGGGGCAGCCGTCGGCGCACGGCCGGACAGGCCGCCACGGTTGACGTGGGTCCACTCGCCATCATCTCTGTCGTCGCCGCGGCGCTCGTCGTCACGGCCACGGTACGAGTCGCGGAAGCCACCGGTCAGGCCACGAGCACCAGCGCTGCCGAAGCGGCCCTGGCTGCGCTGCTCGGTGCGCTTCTCCTCCTCCTCGCGCTCACGCTGAGCCCGCTCTTCACGCTCCTTCTCCTCGGCGATGCGGCGCTCCTCAGCCTCTTCCTCTTCCTGGCGACGGAGTTCCTCCTCCACCTCGAGCTGGCGCTGGCGCTCACGCTCGGCCTCCTCCTCGCGGCGGATACGCTCATTCTCCTCCTCTTCCTCACGCAGACGACGCTGCTCCTCCTCGTAACGCTCCTTGGCGTGAGCCACACGGGCGCTCAGACGCTCCAGCATAGCCTTCTTCTTCTGCTCCTCGGAAGCCTTCTTGTACTCCTCAATGCGACGAGCCTTGTGCGCCTCGATGAACTCAGCGCTCACCTTGATAGCAGGGGCAAGACGAGCCTTCTCCTTGAGACCGTGCTCGTGCTCCTCCTTGGCGCGCTTCAGCTTCGCAGCCGACTCCTCCTCGTAGCGCTTCAGAGCCTCGGCCTTAGCCTCCGCGGCCTGGCGCTGCAGAATAGGCTGCTCCTCCTCGCGCGTAGCACGCACAATGTAGTCCAGACGACGCGCGTTTTCACGCAGCTTCTGCTGAGCGAGCTCCTTAGCCTTCTTGGCCTTCTCCTTAGCCTCGTTGAGCACCTTATCCTTGTCGATGGTAGCGAGGTCCAGGTCACTCACGTCCGTGTGGCCCAACTTGTCCAGCATTTGACGGGTCTCCTTGAGCTTGATCTCGTCCTGAATCTTCTGCTTCTTCTCAGCCTCGCGACGGCGGGCTTCCTGGGCCAGACGCTCACGCTCGATCTCGGCACGACGCTGAGCGAACTCCTGGCGCTTCTTCTCCAGGGACTGCAGTTTCTCCTGCTGCAGCTTCTCGAGCTCCTCCTTCTTGCGCTCAATCACCTCGCGGCGATCCAGCATCTCCGAGCGCTGCTCCTGCATGCGGGCACGGGTAGCAGCAAACAGCTTTTTCTTCTGCTCCTCACGAGCGGACGCAGAGGACGCAGCAGTGGCGGGCACCTTGCTCATCGCACGAGAGAGACGCTCGCCCAGAAGAGTAAGCTGGGTGGCGTTAGCCTCGAGATCCACGGCATCCGTGAAGCGAATGCACTGCTCGACGTGGTCAATGCGGATCTTGGTACGCGTCTGAGTGGAGGACACAGCGTCAGCCGAGGACGTCTCAGCGTTGTTGCTGCCGTGCTGCGTGACATTGCGGCGGTACATGCTCGACAGGCTAGGAGCGCTGGCGTGAGCGACCGTGCTCAGGCTGCGGGAGCGAGCGATCAGCGTCTCAATCTCCTCGTAGGAAACGTCAAGGCCAACGAAGATCGAGCGCAGGTGAGCGATGGTCACGCTAGCGTACACGCGCGTGAGCTGGAAGAGCACGCGGCGCACCACAAGACGCTCTACGCCATCGACGTACGCCTTGGCAAGAGGCTCAGCACGAATCGTCGTCAGGTACGGCTGGAGCTGCTTCACGATCTGCAGCGGGTCCACCTCCTGCAGCTCAACGCGCTGGAAGATCTCGCTCGCGGCAGTCGAGGCCTTGGGCAGCAGGCCAGCAGCCTCGATGTCCTCAAGAAGGTTAGCACGGGTCGGCGTCGTGGCGAAGCCCAGCAGGGCGGCCATGCGCGAGTTCTTGTCGCGCGCAGCAGCGTTCAGCGAGCTGTCCGCGACCTGAGCAGCCGAGGAATCGTCGCCCAGGACGGACGAGGACGCTTCGAAGTCCAGTAGCGGGATGGACAGCGCAGCGAGCACCACACGCGTGGCCATCTCCTTCTGCTCCTCCTCCGACACCAGCACGGGCAGCTCCTGCAGCGCCTGGGCGCCAGCAAGTCCCTGGAGACCAGCCACGCGCAGCGAGTACCACTTGTACAGCGCGTAGGCGTGGAAGAGATGGTTCTTGGACACCTGGAAGATCTGTGCCAGCTTCTCGTAGTACGTGACAAGCAGCTCGACGCGCGGGGTCTGTTCCACCAGGTTCATGATGTTGTTGATGTCATCGATCGTGCGGAAGGCCTCCGAGAAGAGCTCGAGGTCGGTGGCGACCTGCAGCTGACGGTAGCGCACCTCCAGCAGACGCTCGACGCTCTCGAGCGTGAATCCGTCCCAGCTGCGCATCTGGCGCGTGGACTGCGTGGTGGGCGCGGCCGCGTGCTTCTGCAGCGCGCTCAGGTGGTTGCGCATGATCTCACACACGCGACGGAACTCGATCTTGCGCTGGTACTCGATGCAGAAGTCGAAGGCCTGCATGGCCGTGGCCTTGTACAGCGGCTCGAGCTTCGAGTTGCTCTTGAGGATGTCGAGTACCGTGCGGTACGTCTCCCACATGAAGCGCAGCCAGGGCACGACCACCTCGCGGTCCGTGCGGTCGCTCGAGCCCTCGAACGTCGTCGTGGACAGCATGACGTCCTCGGGCGTCTGCGCGGCGTCCAGGTCCACCTTGGCGGCGGCCAGCAGGTTGAGCTCGTTGCTCTCCTTCTTGGCGGCCGCAAGCTTGCGCTCCGCCTGCGTGACGAAGTGCTTGATGATGGTCTCGAGCGAGGCCGGGTTGTGCTGGATGCTGAGGTTGCGGTACTGGTGCAGGCCGTCCTTGGCCACGCGGCCCATCTGCAGCTCCAGACAAATGTCCAGGTACAGGATCATGAGCTCCTCGTGCGTGGGCTGCCACGTGCGGTTCTTCTTGGCGATCAGCGCATCGTGCAGGATCTCGAGCGCCGAGTGCTTGGTGCGCTTGAGCACGCCGGCGTCCACGTTGGGGATGGCCAGCAGCTCGCGGGCGCGCTTCAGCGCGTTCTCCGGCTTGTGGAAGAAGTGCGACATGCTACTGTCTGGTGTGTATAGGGAGCTGCAGGTAGAGCAGGGGGGGAGGGGGTTAGTACGCGGAGCTAGCGGCGGGGAGGGAGGGGGGGCGATCCACGACGTACTCGGAAGGTTGAGCGCGAGAGCTCTTTGCTGACTGAGAGGTCTGCAGCGTTGGCTGGCTGGCAAGATGCCAAAATAGGGGCTAGTATTGGGGTGTTTGTGTAGGTCTTAGGGTTTAGGGCCCCTTATAAGCCATGGGAAAATTGTGTTGGTAACTTACCAAACAAGGCAAGATGCCAAAATAGGGGCTAGTATTGGGGTGTTTGTGTAGGTCTTAGGGTTTAGGGCCCCTTATAAGCCATGGGAAAATTGTGTTGGTAACTTACCAACCAATGGTAAGTAGACGTGAGTAAGAGGGGCGTTGCTAACGTTAGATGGTGTGTCACGTTTGTTAGACAGGTTTGTGGAGCCTTTGGGCCTTCGGCAATAAATTGACGGACGCTACCAGGTGTAACATGAAAACAGTTTTGGTATGATTTATCACCCCGAGACCTGGGTGAAAGTGAACTTCGTTGTGGGTCCACGAATGTAGACCTGCCTCTCCATCCTACAATTGTCCTAGGTTTACTGAATGGAGAGCATCACCCGATGAAATTCGTCTTGTGCTCCCTGCTCTTCACTTCGGGCCACGCAACAACAGCGAATCGGCAATATTTCGTCTCTTTCGTCGGTCCCTCGTTGCCCATGTAGCCGTGCATGTTGCTGCTTCCGTATGGCTTCTTCCACATCTGAGCCAATGTTTCATTGCACGGATTGAGGAAATTAAACTTCGCGGTGCGACCGGAACCAAGAGCCCTTCCCTGCGTAGTGTACCACCTCGTCTTCTCCTCTCGGCTCTCTTCGTCCCAATCACCTATATTCCCGTATCTGCCGTAGAAAACCACCTCATGGTGGAGCTCAACGACGTGAAACTCCAACTTCTTCTCAGCAGGAACTGATGCATTCGCCTCCTCTAGCGCCTGAAACCTCGCGCGATCCACACCTTTCAACGCACCGGCACCTAAGCCCTCGATACTCTTTTGCGTGTACTCGTGCGACAACAGCAACGCAAAGCAGTCGTCTCCCGGCTTCATCGTTTCGATTGCGTCCGCTAACTCCCCGCTCATAGGTTTGTTTGGATTTCGTTCCAGGTGCCGCATCGTCGATGGCAAGCACACCGAGACACCAATGCGAGTCGATACCCCTTCGTCACCTTCTCCACAGCGTGCTCTGCGTCAGCATAATGAACCGCGTAGTGCGTCAGGTACGTGGCTGTGCCTTCCGCCGCACCGAAATCATGGCGGTACTTCACTTGGCCATCACGATACACGACCAGATCCCCTCCTTCGTGCAGACTCGGCGGCTGCACCACCAGCGTGGCGATCATGCCGTCCTCCTTCTCCGTGTCCTGGTGCTTGACGAAGTGGCCGCCCTCCCCGTACACCAGCAGCTTGTACAGCACGCACTGCAGCGGGATGCCCTTGTACCCGAGTCGGTAGGCGATGGCCACCGCCATCTTGTCGATGCCCGCTTGCCACGATGGGTTCTTGAACTGCACTTGGTCCGGTGCCAGTTGCCAGCTCTTGCGGACACTCTCGTCCAGCTTGGTGTCCATGTTGTGACCGAACGGAGACTTGTCACACTTATCGATGAGCTTCAAGGCCCGCTCCTCCCACAAAGGCACGGGCACGGGCCCCACGCCGTCGACAAAGAGGCCTGGAACGGGCGGCAGCAGGTCGGCTTGGCCCCCGAAGGAGAAGTCCCCTGAGTGCTCGCTTGCTTCGCCCAGGGTGTTGCTGATCTTGATGCAGGCGGTTCCCGTCGGAGCTGGAACGTCGTCCAGCTTGCCTTCGCCGGCGAACGGCCACTCCTTCTCGCCGAAGTCTTCCTCCAGATCCGGTTCTTGGTCGAACAGCTCTTTGCCGTCGTCGTTGTCGCCAGATTCCATGCTCGCCGTAGGAACAAATCGAGAAATGAGGCGTCCGGAGTACTTGCTCGCATTGAGAGTGATGTTGATAGACTGGGGCGAGCGACGATTGACCACACCTCTAACTCGAGTTGCTACCTATGGTACTGTGGTCAGCATCATGTTCCAGATGAAAGCCAAATCTTTCTTGCGGGCAAACGCGTCAAAGCTTCCGCGCGCGAATCAACAACACACTCACTGTCAAGCCGAGCTACACTCTCCTGCAGCGATCAGCTTCTGGGGACGAGTGCAGAGGCGGCAGATGCAGTCGACGAAGCACATGGGGCTATCTTCGTCACTACCGAGAATCGCAGACGTCACGTGCAAGATTCAATCTCGAAAATAGATGGGCCAAAGTAACCCGAGTTCTCAGCCCTGCTGCGCACGACATTGCTCAGATGCACCTGCCTCAAGCATTTTTCATTCCGACCACTGCCCGGCAATGCGTCCAGCTCCCGCGCCTCCCCAATGGCGCAAAATCGCTGCTGGCCGAATGTCCTCGCAGCCGTCCGCATCTGTGCGTCGACGACTGAAGTCCAAGGCTCCATACGCGAATCTGCTCCGTCGCTTGCTGGGCCCTAGACGCTTCTCCAGGTGGCTCTCGACCGCCGTTCAACGTTTTGCGATGGCGCTGACACTCGACGCCCAGAGCTCCATCTTGGCCGCGATGCAGACCCCCGTTGTAAGACTCACCGACGAGTTGTGCGGCCTTGTCCGGCTGCAAATGGACCATCCGGAGGTTCTGCCGCTGAGGCCACTTCCTCAGCATACTGGCATCGGGATTGGCACTCGGCACACCACTGCCCAGGATCAAGAAAACGCTGGGCTGGTTGATAAGACTGTCACGTGGATGCTTGCCCCGGTGTTCTTCTGCTGCATCGTCGCAGAGAAAGCCAAGCCACCTCAATCGTGGGAAGCCACCGAAGTCTTCAGCCGAGTCGTCGTGTCTTTCATGCTGAAGCTGTTTGTGCTAGCAACGGATCTGACTGGGGGGCACCACCAAAGGCAGAGCATGCAACGATTCAATGAAGACAAGCAACAAGTGTAACGTTCCACAACACATCTCGGTGGCTTGGAAGACAAGAGTCAACGATAAGTTATTAGGTGAGGGTGAGTAGTAGTAGAAGTTAACGCCTTGTAAGGCTCGATAACACAATCTCGACCACGAAATTAATCAAGAGCAGGAAGATTGGTTCATCTTTTTGTAATATGCAGGTGGCATTAGCTGCTGCATATAATATGGAGGGGAAAGATAATTTACGCAGAGCTACGCCATAGCAATGGGCCGGGGCGTTCCAATCAGTGGTCTCGCCAATCTTCCCAGTCTACGTTCAAACTTCGCAGCGGCACCAGTTCTTTTCGAATTCTGCGCAGAATGATCAATATGAAGAATACATGGTTAGTCACCTCAAAGTAATTGCGTTGTGTTCCCAGTCAACAAACAGCACGCACGGGTTCCAGACGAGCTCGTTCTCGTTGTCGGTTTTGGTGTCCTTCTCTTGTGGACGGTCCTTGAACTCCTTGGAAAGAGACTGCAACTCTGAGGCCGAGTTGGAGTTGATATCAGCCTCCAGGTTCATCGCGTGCATTGCGCTCTCAGCAATAGCTTCATGGTGCAGGCGGGCAATTTCCTCGTCCTTCTGACGCTGGAACTCTTCGCGCTGCTTGCGGCGCTGCATACTAACAATCCGCGCGCGTGACCACTACACTCACAGTCACAATGTTAGCGCTGTCCGTGCTATCAGCGGAATTTACGGTTAGCTTACCTCTTCAGGGAACTTGCTCATGTGATCCGTCAAATCCATGAGCCCCAAGTCGATCTCGTCGCATTGCTAGAATGATCAGGAAACAACACGAACAAAGTTACTAAAAAAGAAGTCCTTCGTAGCTACCTGCATATTCACCATACCTCCAGCTTCTGCTCGATCTTGGCTGCGGCCTCTTCCTGCAACGTTAACAAAAATACCATGGTCAATATCTTCTAAGCAGTTGGCGCCTATAAGCACACTCTATCCTACCTCATAGTCGATCATATTGGCGATCGCTTCGGTCAGTTGCGCCTTCAAGTCAGCCACATCGCGGATAAATTTCTGCCAGCACCAACAACACACAGTTACCAACCACTCTTCTACAGCACGGGGGCTTCCATCACTTACGTTGCGAACTTTGACCAGTCTCAAGCACTCCTCCGTGCGTTGTTTGATCTGCGACGATGCCGTGGCTCTGTCCGCCACCAGATCCGCCGCGGTCTGGTACCTCATGACGCTGTCTTGCAGCAAGACCTGGTGCCTCTCCCTGATCTGCTGGTCCAGGAACTTGACCGCCGTCTTGTGGTGGTCGATCTTCTTCAGCACGTCCAGCACGGGGTTCACCGAGTGCGAGTTGAGCTTCATGGGCAGCACGTGGTGCAGCTCCGCCGCGGCGTCCTGGTTGTCCGGCAGCTCTTCCATGTCCTCCTCGTCCGTCGACTTCTCGCCCTGTTTCGCGCCCGCGTCTCCATCCACAGCCTCCAGGAAGTGGGGCAGGTCCTCCCCCGTGCAGCGCCACAGCTTGAGCACCTGCGCGTCCGTGAAAATCTCCTTCTCGTGCCACAGCTCCAGGAGCTTCGTGACGTTCTGCCGGTCCATGGGCGAGTTGCACACGAGCGCCACCGCCTCCTCCAGGTGCTGCATGAACAGCTCCACGAACAGCGGCGTCTTGGCGGCCTCCGACCCGCCGAACAGCGTCTTCTGCAGCACGTGGTTGGCCACGTACAGGAACGCCACGCGCTCCGACTGGAAGTCGCTGGCCCGCAGCGCCTGGATCCAGCTCTCCACCATCTCCCGCGCCTTCGAGGCGTCGCCTGAGCGCTGCACACGCAGCATGCCGTCACTCACGGCTTCGACGCGCTCCTGCGTCTCGTCCAGCTCCCGCAAGTCGGCCAAGAACTCGTCCATTGCTGCTAAGCTTGTTGAGGTTGTATGGATTTTTGGCTGGTCAAAATACCCGAGATGAACTTTCGGAATTAGAGCGACAGAAGTCCACAAAAGTAGTGTACAGTATAATGTGAGCGAGACAAAAGATTCTGTATGGAGGGTTACGGTACTGCTTGTATTATCTCGGTGGTCTTGTTATTTTACCACTACAACTACAGCACGAATATGGCGGAGCTCTCCCACTTGGAGCTAGCGAAAGGATCATAGCGCGAATCTGCTCGTGCGACTGCAATCCAGACGATAAACGTCATAAAACACTCTCACTACTACCGGTATGCCACAGCGGCTTAAAACGCTACGGCGTGCTTGCCGAACGAGCCGCGCCCGTCACTCACCCGTTGTACCGGTGCAACGGGTATGGTGCCCGCAGGTCGCGGGTGGCCGCAATCCCGGCAGAAGGCCGCGGTGGAGTCTCCGAACGGCATCCGACACTTGACGCACGAAGTCATGGCAGTCGGAGCCAAGTCGCCATTGGGTGTGACTGTCGACCGCGAGTACGTGGAGCTTGCAGACGCTCGCGGCATCGCAAATGGAGACGGCTGTCCGACCGACGAGCCCGACATCGACACTCCCGACCGGGAGATCGACGATCGCGAGAAGCCTCGGAGCAGTGAGGACTTCTTCGAGTACAAGGATGTCGGCGTCGGCTTGGGCGTCGAGGCCGCTGACGGCTTGGAGTACAGCGTAGTGGGCGTAGGCGCCTGCCTCGATTTCGAGGCGGACTTCTTGCCGTAGAGCGCGGAAGGTGTCGGGGCTGCAGCCGTGTTCTTGGTCTTGCAGTATAGCATGCCGCGCTCGGCGGGACTCGGGGCGCCGCGGTTCGGATTACCGACGGCTGATGAGGCCGAGTAGAGCGATCCGGACGGCCGAGCGTAAGGTGACGGTTGTGCGTACGGAGGCGAACTCACACGACTGCTCTTATTGCCCATGGTGATATCTGTTCTTCCGTCGGTGTTCAGCTACTTTGGTCGCTTTTTGCAGACTGTGGTTGATCGCTGCACAAGTGTGAAGAACCACCTTGTTCATAATGCGACAGCATCGACGCCCCCACCCAGCCGGCTGGGACAGCTTTCGTATTGACCCCTGGGCACTGAAAACTTGCAGTTTGTATTGGAGCCACCTTCCCCTATGAGTTCGGCCATCAAATGTGGCCAGCTGGACGGTAGGTCTCACAAATTTTCGGGGATCCGCCGATCAGCGGCACCGCTGCAGGGTCTCCAACGCTAGGCTTTCCACAGTTTGATGTCAATTTTGCCTTGCTTTACCATGAAGGCGAAACATCCTAGCCGCGGCCGTCCTTGTTTTCTTTGTTAGCCCCGGCATCTGTTTTGTCTCCATCTTCGCTTTCCATCTTGGCGAAGAAACTTCGAGAAGGGCTGTCCACACTTAACTTTTCTGCGTCCATCCGCGAGGGACGCCGCTGAATGCCCCTTGTCTTGCAACCAGTCACCACCGTCGGAACATCGTGGAGAGGCGGCAACGAGTGCAAGTAGTCGCGGTTTTGGTGAATGATCCGAATCACCAGACGCCTAGCTAATGATTGAACTATCCTTGAGTCGGACACGAGAAAAATATCTGCAACGTTTTGAAGTGCTTGAGAAAGTCGCAGCTGGTCTAACGTCTAACGAGGACGGCCGGTCTGAAACAAAGTGCTTGTTGCATGAATGAATGAAGAATTTTCAAGTATTTGTTGCCATTGCCACATATGACTATCATGTCTTCGCGTGCGTGCAAGCAAATATCTCCTGACGTGCCTGGTACATGTACCTCGCCGTGAGGCTCTCACGCCGTGTGGAAGGCAAGACGAGGTATGATACCTCGTCTCAGATAGATACCTCACCAGGCGTTGAAATCCCCCCCCAAAAAAAAGTTGGCCCTCAATTGACACGTGACGGTACGATCAACTTCAACGTCCGTTTTTAGCGCCCCTTCAAGATCTATTCAGGGTCTCAACAGGCAGTCGCTGCAAGACAGGTGGGTCGGCGCATGGACCATTGCGTTGTTTCGACTGAAGATCTCTCGCTTGTCGGCGGCTCTCTGCCTGCACGCGGCGAGACTATGACTCGTTCAGCGACGAATGAAGACGGTGGGTATGTTGATCGCGCAGCTTCGGGGTCCGAAGATGCCGTGGTTGCAGAGGATTCTCAGCTAGACGACGCCCCGAAGGCCTTCCCAGACAGTGACGATGAAGGCGATGAGGGGGACGAGGGCGATGACGAAGAAGAAACCGAGCTGGAACATGCAGCTCGAGCTGGTATTCGACTGCTGGAGGAGAACGCGCAGCTGCAGGAGGAGCTTCGTCACCTGCAGGAGCAATGCGCACGAGTCGAGAGCGAGAAGGAGGAGCTGTTGAGACTTGTGGCCGAGAAGGACGAGCAGGAGGCTCAACTGTCCGAGCACCTGCGTGAAAGTATCAAGGAGAACCAAAGCATCATATCAGAACTGAGCAAGGCCAAGGAGCAGATAGACGATTTGAAGGACCAGCTTGAAGCCCAATCCCAATCCCAAGCTCAGAGCAATCGGCACTCCCCTGGTAAACGACGCAGCAAACGCTCGTCTCCACGTCTTAAGCTGCAGCTCCAACTCGATCCTTCAATGGGGTCGCCCCCTCAGGCTACAGCGGCTGAGGACCCTCCGTCGTCTGAAGAGCCCTCACCGGCGCACAGTGGTGGCAGTCCGGAGAAGCACGAGTTCATGCCAGTTGTAAGACGAAATTCCATGCCCCCGGTACTTGAAGGCTCCGGCGATGTGGAAGCCAAATTTGAGGAGGCTCACCGCCGCAACAGTGTTCTAGGCAGAGAACTCGCAAGTGCACAGAAGCAGATCGGGGAGCTCAAGCCACTCCAGCTTCAACTACGGGAGGCCGAGCTGGAAGTGCAGCTGCTCCGTGTTAAGGTTGAAGACCAGGCACGCGACCTCGCACTATCGGCCGAGGAGCGTGAAGAGGAGCGGGAGCTGATCGAGAGCCTGCGTCATACAATTGAGATCTACCAGACCCTCGACGACCCATGCGCCACGAAGCTTGACGAGATGCGGACGGCGAGTGCTCGAGATGACGATATACCCGTTTCCCCACGGAGCTCACCTCGTCGAGGAGAACGCGGTCGGAGACGCGTAGATAATGTTGGTACTGCTGTAGCACCATCGTCGCAGTTGCTGCCAGCTGAATTTTCTTACCCCACGGTAGATGATCGCTTCAGCCTCCGAGACGAAAACGATCGACTGCTCGCTGAGCTGGATCATCTGGGCCAACAAGTGCTGAATCTGAAGCTGCTGGAAGGGATTTCCAGGACAGTTCGGTCGCCAAAGAAGCAACCGCAGGGCGGTGCGACGAGCTTTGCCAACTTTACCATGCCACCATCACCAAACCAAACCGATTCAGCAGCAGGAGCGGTGGGTCCAGTGGGCTATGGAACAAGCTCGCGGATGCGCTTCCTGGAGCAGCAAGCGTCCGTCCTCCAGGATTTACTTCGCCGGTTTCGCGTGCAGTGGAAGTACGAATGTGCCACACGACGCGCCGCCGAAAGTGACAAGGCCGATCTACTGCAACGAATGGAAAAAATGCAAGAGCTGCTGAGGCGACAGTGCCCTTCATGCGAAAAGGAGCGTGAGGAGCTGCTGTCTGAAGGTGACGACACCTCGTGGGAAAACTCAGCGGCAGTGTACGAAACCCTGTTGGATCATACTGCACAGTGCCAAACCAAAGAGGAACAAGCTGAGGCTGAACACATTTGCTTCTCCATCTTGCGTCGCCTAGTAGACAGCTGGACTACTGACAAGGCGAAGCGAATGCGCCTGCACGACTGGCTCACAAACGCCATCCGTGGAACAGGCAAGCGCCGGCCACTTTACCTGTACGAGCTCTCAGGAGAGATAGCATCAGGCTTTCAGGTGTTGCTCGTGCCGATTCTACGAGAAAAGTTCGGGGTACAAGTGCAGGTGGAGAAGCGACTGCGGAATGTGATCGTGACGGATCTGAAGATGGAAGTCACAGGGGCCGACGCAGCCAAGGCCAAAGCGTGTTTGCAACGCATCAGTCGCTCACTTCTGTGGTTAATCGACGTGGAATCCGCTCTCATCGAAGACCAGGAATGGGTAGGCGAGTTTGCACGCAGGAAAGCTGCCAAAATGTGTGCTAACATTTAGTCGGCGGAGGTTACCACCAGCAATATGAAGCCTTGTACATCAGAAAATTTACCTTGTCCCGATACTTTGGCCCTCTTCAAGCGGTGAACAGCTTCCGTAGCCACCTGTGCCCTCAATTCATCAGACGACATTCGCAAACAAATGCTGGTCCTCCGGCGAGTGAATTTCGGGCGAGATTAAGGCGGTTTCCTCGCTGTAGTCACCGACCAGCATCCGATAGTCTGCACGCAGAGGCACTCGCTCGTTCATGGCAGGCTGGCGATAAACGTTATCCAGGAAGAAGAACTTGGGTGCCGTTGGGTCTCGGAGACCTCGTGCGGTATCCAGGCGAACACATTCCGTCAGCGGCAGATACTTGGCCACCGGTGGGTAGAGTGTAAGCACGTTGTAGTTGAACAGTAACACGATGGCGATGAGCACAATGATAAAAATCGGCTGTACCGTTGCCTTCTTGAGAGACAGTATTCCGATGAGTGTCAGCTGACCCACAATGAGCGCGATGATACAAAACTTGAACACGCGCGGCCAGTAAGCTCCAAGCCCATAATACATCGGCTTGTACACGCAGAGAACTTGTCGGCGGTACACAATTTCAGCCATGAGGAAGAAGAACCAAGTGAAGTAGCAAACCAAAGGCGCGATGGGTGCGAATGTCAGCGTAACGAGTAGAACGAGGAAACAGTCTGCAAGGTTGTTGGTCGGGTCGAAGGGGTCTGTCTGCGCGATATCCCGTAATCCAAGCCATGGCGAGTAGCGCTCGCGTCGCGTGTGCTTCGGTGCTAGAAGTGCAAAGAACGCCGAGAGGACCAACGGAACCACACGGAGCAGCTCCAACACCAGCCCAAGACCCGTCTGCACGATCACGTACGAGATAAAGAACGTTGACTGTTGAGGCATGCTGCGGCCAAGCATCGACACGAGCTTCTTTGGCTGGTCCAGAATCTCCTTGAGACTGTCCAAGATGGTGCCGACAATCACAGTAACGAAAAATATCTGGACAAGCTGGAAGTACGCCAGCTTCGTAAACAATGCGGCTCGAACCTCTGTATTGGACGGGTGCCCTTCTCGCCTCGATAGAAAATTGAACACAATTGGAGCCAATGCACTCAATGCCACAAGGGCCAACGGTGCAATTTGCTTGAAAATGTCTTGGAGAATTGGGTACTCGTCGAATGCTTTGTTCAGGAAAGGCAAAGCACGTCGAAGAGACTCGACAGTAGCCAGCGAGGCTACAAACGCAGTCGGAATCGTCCAGAAAAGCACAATAGTGGCCGAAATCAGCGAGGACACGAGCATTCCCAAGGCCCGAGTTCGATAACGAAGTCCAATGTTGTCCCAATTGATATCATCCGCATGTGGCGCGGGGGCAACAGCCATGCAGGCAGGATCCTTGGACTGTAGCGTCTGCTGCGCCACTTGTGCCGACATCAGCGACGAGAACGAAATAAAAGCAGCCCGCCGCATCACCCGAATAGGACGCTGCTTGCGGATCTGCTCACGCTCATCCTGGCTCATTTCTCGTTCGTGACGCCGCGCTTTCTTCTCGTCAATATTATCCTCGTCATCTCCACCGAAACTGCTGCTCATGTGTTCCATCCTTTCTCGGCGATTTAATAGCGGAGTCTTCTTAGGATCCCCATCAGTCTTTGGCTTCTTCAGAACCTGCCTCCAGCGTCCTTCAGTCTCCGGCAACTGTAGCTCGTCCCCATCATCAATACTCCCCATTTCTCTTTCGTGCTCCTCCACTTGGACCGCAAGTTGCGCCTGTGCGTCGTCAATACTTTGAATCTCCCTCGCCACTTCTTCATTCAGCTGCGCCAGTCGCTCTTGATAGTGATCAATGCTGTCGACCAACTCTCCTCGACTACCAGATTTACACATCAACATCCCGAGCCACGACCTTCCCTCACGGTGTCGCGGTCTTTTACGCGAGCGCTCACACTTTGCCAACGCATGTTCCAGAGCCCCACGAGCTTGCTCTCGTTGACACACCAGCGTCTCCAGCGTGGCGCATTCCAGTGCCACATACACATGTCGGATCGACGACGGGAATATCTTCCCCATGTATTTCTCCAAAGTTTGTCGGGTCCTTAAATGCAGGGGTAAATCATTCACTAGCACCGAGTACTGCGGCGCCTCCATTTTACCCAGCACTTGGTGGCGGCAGCGCACGTACAATTTGTACTCGGTGACCAGCAGCCGCATCGCGTACGTCGCCATGACGAACGCGACGACAGTCGGAGCCCACAGCCGGTCACTGCGTTCGGGTAAATTGCTCATGGAAATTCGCGTCAACGGGTCGATTGACATCCGGTGGGTCAGTGCGGGCCCCGCCGTCGCATACAAAGGGAAGAGCACTGCCGAGCACCCCACCGCCAAAAGTGCCAACTTGTGTCCAAGTCTCAAGAACCGAAGATACGTCAGCGTCTCCAGTCCGCATCTCTCCAGGATTTCATCGTCCGACACTCGGAAACCCGCTGGAATCCAGCGGAAGAGCCCATCTCGACGAGAGTTCAAGGCGGAAGTGTTGAAAATGTCCTCTTCTTCACGACGACTGTCGTAGACGCGACGGAAACGTCGACGAAGACACTCGAAGAGCAGAAACCCAGCCACCAGTATCGGCAAGTAGATGGACACACTCGTCTTGATGGTGCCGCTCGGGTTGGCGTTCGCAGCAGCCGCATCTTGCTGCGTGGTGCCCATGCTGGCTGAACCGAAAGCTTACGAGGATGAAGAAGGAAGGAAGAAAAGATTCTTTGATTGGGACGAGGCGGTATCTGCAAATGTTTTCACTATTCATTTGCTCAATATATGGTACGAATAGTTATGAGGATCAGAGTACTTTTGAAATAGTTTGCCAAAATCGTCAACTCAGGAGGTCGGATCTACATGCATAGTGACTCGCATCTCGCGCCTTCCTCGGAATCTATACGACCTCTACCGGTAAGTTACATTTTGTGATACATGTACATTGAGAAGATTCGTCACGGTGGTGAACTCAATGCAGCATGTATGGCACATGGAACTTAGCCTAACTCAATCAACGTTACGAGGTGCGACTCGCATCGTGGGAGCCAGCACTGCTGGCCCAGCAGCCAGCCATGGTTGAAGGCATGGTCGCAGCGAAGCGTTTCTACAGTATGCACTGCTCTCGCTCTACGGCCCAGGGCCCAAAAATTTGGGGTGTACACGTACACTGGACCATTGGCGACTGTAGAGAAGACGAGTCGTTGTGTACATGTATGTACACTGTTCTGTACAATTGTGAAGTGCATGCAGTGCATGTTTCGTCGCTGCACTGCCTGCAGAGCCCCGTGGCGGCTCCACAGGATGCTGATAATCTGTCCGGTTTGGCCTATCGTCATGTGTCGACGAAGGCGCGTGCCTTCGACGAACCATGGTTATTTAAGCTACATGAGTAGATTGGAAAGCAAAGAGGGCTGTTCAGTACCACAGTGGGTACTTATAAGTATGCACATGTAGTAAACACAGGGCAATGGAAGTCAGCTTAACTGACGGTGTCAATTAAGCTGACTTCCATTTGACGCACGGCGTGATTCTTCGTATACACCACCATCCTTTGAATTATTTTCTAGACCCGCCACGTTTAATAGTAAGATATGCACACCCAAGAAACTTAAGGACAGCACTTTTGCCCGCTAACTGCGCTCGTGGCGAGGCAAGGCTGGACACCAGGACTCTGCAACGAAAAAAAAATGTACTAATATACTGCAACTTTTAACGAACCCTGCCAAATCTTTAGTCAGTGTTTTTCAAATCTTGAGGCCGAGATTCCTGGATGGAGCTCAGCGGTTTTGCGAGCATCTCCTTGGGTACGTATTTGCGGTGGCGTTGGATGCATTGCGTCTGGTGTAGCAAATTTCTCTCCACTTCATGAAATCTCGTGTCTACAGTTCCAGCATGCTGTACAGGTGTGCATACCTGTGTAAGAGGGCACACACCGTTTAGTTTTAGGTTTTCTTCATTTTTGCGAAGCACGTTTGCGGTATCCAAGTGTACCAGCTGCACCGGAGGAATTCTGAGCCTCACCACGAGAGACGGAGCTGGGCGCGTGCCTCGGGCCAATCGCTCCCAGAAGTGCACGCGCCCGCCAAAATACAGTTTAATAACGCAGGGAGCGGACAGCAAAACCAGTCCAGTCTGCACGACCACGTGATCGTTTTAACCGAAGTTGCCGGTGGTCCAGGCTTGACCCTCAGAGGCTGAGGAGAGCTGCTCGAACTCCATCGGCCAAGCTCCTTTGTTTCCTCGCCGTCGAAGTGCTGGCAACCGCATCCTATAATCATTACCGCTCGACTAGCCTAACGCTGCGTGCTTTTTTTGATGACTGTGTAATGTTGGACAAATCTCAGCGGCCGCTGCAAAACCGGATAACTTTGATTCAGTGCAACTTGTACTAGGGTGTACAGTACATGTATCCCTTCGTCTGTCACAGTTTTAGCAGCAGTTCCCTCTCTGTGGTGATTAGAGGGTTAATCTCTGCGGGTCCGAATGTTGTGTAGCCTGCACTGCAAGACCATCGCGCGTACGCAAGATCACCATCTCGACCTGGCTCTTGGTTGTCCGTTCAACGGGCTTCGTTGCAGTCGAGCAGGGCCAGTCAATCACCACGTCCGTGAGGTTGGCCTCGATCTGTAGACGCCACCGAGCTCACTTCTGAAATCTCCGAGTGCCATGCAGGCTCCTGAGCAGCTCAAGCAGAACTCCTACGTGGAGGCCAAGTCCCCCAACGTCGAGAACGGTGTCTCCGCCCTCGGCCAGCACGAGAATGGCGCTCTGCGTGAGACCCGCGGCTCTGTCTCCGTGTACTCGTGGGAGAACTTCGGTATGGTGGCGCTCTCGGCTGGTGTCGGCATCGTGAACAGCAGCATCAGTGGCGTCGTCTACGCGGCGTTCAACAACTACCTGCACATGTCGGCGACGCTCGTCGCGACGGCTGTGGCTCTCATCCAGTTCCCCCGCAGTCTCCGTGTCTTCACGGGCATGTTGACGGACACCGTCCCGATCTTCGGTTACCGTCGTCGTCCGTACATGGTGATCGGCTGGGGTATGACGTTTATTTCGTGCTTCCTCATGGCGGTGCTGCCCCTCGGTGACCCGTACTACAGCGACCCGTCCATCGCCGACCTGGACACTAGCGAGCTGACGGCTGAGCAGCTCGCGACCATCGACACGGACGCCCCGAACCGCGGCGTCAAGATGATTATTCTCATGATGTTCGCCAACTTCGGCACGGTGCTCGCCTACAGTGGCTTCAACGGCACCATGATCGAGATCTCGCAGCAGGAGCCCGCCCACATTCGTGGTACGGCCATGGGTGACTGTGATGTCGTCTTCTACTGGTTCTCGATCATTGCGGCGTTCTTCACGGGCCTGGGCCTCAACAGCGAGGACTACGGTGGCACCTTCACGTGGTCGGTCGGATTCAACGCTATCATGGGCGTCTGCGCCGGCATGTCGCTCATCGTCCTGCCGTTCTGCTGGTTCTGCATCAAGGAAGAGCGCGTCACCTCTGGTCCGTCCAAGTCCGTCTTCACGTTCGTGTACGAGCTCGTCCAGCGCAAGTCCATCTACCAGTACATCGCCTTCCGCTTCTTCTACAATGTGTTCGCTATGATCTCCGTGACCTCGTCCAGCGCCATCCAGAGCACGTGGGCGGGTGTTGAGCCCATCAACAACGGTATCGCCACGATGCTCGCTGCCTTCCTGACCATGCTCGGAACGTACCTCATCAAGAAGAACGGTCTCGCCTGGAACTGGCGCTACATCATCATCTTCGCGCAGATTCTCGTCGTGTGCCTCGACATTATCCCGACCATGTTCACGATCTGGGATGTGGTCCGCAGCCAGTGGTTCTGGCTCGGCGTCCCTCTTCTCGAGAAGATCCCGTACGCTGCCACCGACTTCGTCGGCGCGCTCTTCATGCTCGAGGTCGACAGCGAGGACTTCGAGGCCACTCTGTTCGGCCTGGCCGTGACGTCTCAGCGCGTTGGCATTCCGTTCGGAACGGTCATCACCAAGACCATCGACGGCTACTTCGACATCGAGCGCGAGTACATCCAGCAGGACGACCACCACGTGCGCTCGCAGGTCACGTACGCGTACATCATCGCCTACGCCATCAACTTGGCCGCGATCGCGTTCGTCGTGCTGCTCCCACGCCAGAAGGACGAGCTCCACCAGATGCAGCGCGATGGCTCCAAGAACAAGGTCGCCGGTATCGTGACCATTTGCGTCCTCATCTTCGCCCTGGCCTGGTCGCTCATGACCAACATCCTGAGTCTCTTCGACTCGACGAGCTGCCTGCGCATTGCTGGCGGCAGCGGATGCTAAGCGTACATGTAAGGCGGGTTTCTGTGGTGATCACGCATTGAAGTGATCGACTCGTTAGATATCGTGCAGTGCGTGTGTGGCGCTACCTAGTAGGCAGTGCGCGTAGGCCACACACACGAAATAAAGTTACTTTGCTTACTTCAATTTCGTCAATTAGTTTCTCACGTCATGTCGTGTACCCCTCGTTGAAATCGACAAGCTCGGTTCAATCGTTCAATTCAACGGTGGTTATGGTGATTGAATTGACACGATTTCTGCAGTGGTCTCGTTGTCTAGGCTCTTCACTTCAAGCCACGATGACCCAGAAGGGTTTGTTCAGTAGCAGTACGAAGTATTCGCTTACTTGGGTGCGTTCGCCAGCGTCTGGTAGGCATTCCAGCACTCGAAGTGCACCTTGCCGATGCCACTGGCCAACTCGTAGAAGCGGCCATCGAACCGACCTGGGATCTGCAAAATTGGTTGCGCGCAGTGCACGCACTTGGGAGCCACCGACTGCTGGTACTGCTCCCAGCACTCGAAGTGGACGAGGCGCTCGCCCTCGATCTTGTAGAAGCGTCCGTCAAAGCGGCCTGCGATCTTGACCACAGGCTCACTGCAGTGCACGCAGCGCTGGGCAGTTGCCATCTGGTACGCCTCCATGCACTCGCCGTGGCACTTGCCTCCATTGACCTGGTAGTACTTGCCGTCGAACCGACCAGGGATGGCGGCGATCGCGTGGCCGCAGTGGATGCACTTCTCGGACGTGCGGATCTGGTACGCATCAATGCACTCCGCGTGCACACTGGAGCCATCAGGAAGCGTGAACATGCGACCGGAGAAGCGACCTTCGACGACTTCAATGCGCTGGTGGCAGTCCACACACACAGGCGTGTTGCGCTCGCGGTAGGCGTCCACGCACGCGCCCTGGCAAACACGGTCCACCTTCCGTTGTCCGTTCTGCTCGTGGGTGAACGTTCGGAACGTGCCTGACAACGCCTTCTGGCAAATGCAGCACACGGGCAATGAACCCGTGTCCGATACCGGCACCACGGCCGTTGGCTTCGACGTGAACAGCGTCATCGAGAAGCCAAGCTGGTACGGCAGGTGGCCATCGTACGTTGCAGGAATGATCACGAACGGCTTACCGCCTTCAGCTGGCATGAGCGGGATCTCCAAAACGCAACTGCGGTTGGAAATAAAGGTACCCGTAGCCACCACATCCTGCGAGAGATCGATCTTGCGCTGTTGGCGCTCACCGTTCTTCACGACAACGGGTGCAATGTACGAACTGTACTCCGTTTCCATCTTCATTCGACGAGAAGGCTGCTCCAGGTGCACAATGAGGTTGCAACCGTTCGTGGCCGGAGAGAAGAGCTGCACCTGCGGGTTCAAGTGCATGGCGTCACGCCCGCCACTGGTAATACCGTTCCACTCGCCCGACACAATGTGAATGCTTAGGTTCGGGGAAACCGGGTTACCAATGCCGTCCGGAAGAGACCGGAAGTTGTACAGGTTTCGTGACTCGATAACAGTCGTGAAGAAGCAGTAGAACGCGCTAAAGTCCATCCAGTACGTTTGGTCTTCGCGGAACTGGAAGCCCATCTCCACCTTCTGCATACGTGAGAAGCTATGCCACTTGGGGTCCTCGTTGGACCAGGAACCCTTCCACTTATCAGGTTGCTGGTGCGTCCCAATGCCCCAACTGTTGCGAAGCTGCACCAAGCGGGTATGCTCGCCCTGGTAGTCGAGCTCCACAAGCTTCATGACGCCATACGCGTCGGTCTTACGCAGCCCCGATGGCAACTCGGCCGCCATGTCTTCGTTGCTGCAACCTACGAGGGAGCCCGATTGAAGGGCGCTGCTGATCGTCTGCCACGCGACTTCCTCGCTCGGGCACTTCTCCTGTAGTTTGTAGCGCGCAGGAACACCACCATAGAGGTCTTGCAAGCAATAAACCTCCTGTCCGCCCACAATTGCCTCGTATCCACCGTGAAGCTTCGCGTACGCCTTCTCAACCAGAAGCGACCAGATTTCAAACTTGCCGTTGCTGCCTGTGAACGATCCGAACACGGGCTTACCGTATTGACTACAGGGAATGTAGTCATCGACAACCACCACGCGACTGCGGTTGTTACGCCAGAAGCGCACAGCGTACACACCTTCCTCGTTGTACTGTTGCTCCTTGGGGAATGCCGTACCTACCTCAACGCGGTCAGGCCGCACCAAGTCGTCGCTCAGCTCGGGGAATACTTGCGATAGCGCGAGCTGCGACGTTGACAGAATTGACAGCGCGCCGAACACGAACGCATCCGCCAGTCTTCCGACACGCATGTCTCCCGGGCTAATGCCAACGCCCGAGATGCGGCTGGCGGCCTTGGACTCGCGCGAGCGGTCAAAGAGGCAAGTGCCCTGGGCGTGGAAGTACACCGGCACCAAGACCGAAACACGCGACACGACTCCGGTCTCCGAGCCGTCCAGACGGTAGCCCGACCCTTCTCCGACACTGGCAAAGGCGAGCGGCTTGTAGTGCTCCAGCAGACTCTTTTCCCACATCAACTCGAAGCGCTGCAGCCCGTCCTGCACAAACTCGCTCATGTGCACAATCATGTTCTTGGTGAGCAGCAGCAGGTGGTCGCGCTTACGCTTCGTGACACCCGTCGTCACTGCGTCCTTGGCGATCTTCAAGAACTGCGGGTCGATAGGCGTCGGGTTTTGGCGGATCACCTCCAGAATACTCTCCGCCTCAGCCGGTTTCTTGATGGACATGCTGCACACGAGCTTCTTGTCGTCGTCCAGCATGGTGATCTCTACGTAGGCCGTCTCGTTGAAGAAGTCTGTCACGCGCTTCCACTTCCAGATGTACTCCTGCAGGTGCGGGTACTTCGGGTTGGTCGCGTCGCGGAAGATCGAGGTCGCATCCGGCGGGAACTGCGGGTCCGTGAACTTGGTGCCGGCCTGCCGGTTCTTGCGCAGGATCTGCAGCCACTCGCCGTTGTCCGGCAGCGTGCGCTGGTTGTAGTAGCGCTCCTCCGCCGGGTCCGCGCGCTCGCTCTGGACAACCGTGATCGTGTCGTTCACTTTGGTCACGTTGTAACCCTCGCTGCGTTCCTGCGGGTCGGTGCGGTTGCGCTCCACGGCGTTGGAGATCTTCAGCCTCGTGCTCAGCGAGTCCATGTTGCGCGCGCGCACAACCTGTCGGATGCTCACGCCCACTCCCTTTCCATCAGGTTCGTCCCTTTCTCCTTCCGGCTTGGCACTGACCGACAGGTTGGCCAGCAGCGTGCTGATGCTGCTGACCGACGGAGCCGCAGCCTCCAAATTCACCGAAGCCGGCGGCTCGACAGGAGCAGCGGGGGTCTGCGGTGGCGCGTATGGATCGTACGTTGGGGCTGCCGGCGGTGGCGCGTACGGGTCGTAGGCCGGGGTAGCAGGTGCCGGCGTCGGAGCAGCTGCGGGCGTCGGCGCTGCAGCGTGCGGCGGGTTGTAGCTCACGCTCGCAGAGGCCGCGAAGGTGGAGCCTCCTCCATAGCCAGCTGGCTGCGATGGCGCCGCTGGAGTTGAAGCTGGAGCGGTGTACGACGTGGACGCCACTCCGAAGAGGTCTCCTCCGTCATCCACCGCTGCGGAAGCCGCTGCTGGGGCTGCAGCAGGCGCCGTCGCGGGGCGGTGGGCGCCACACTCTCCGCAGAAGAGCGCGGTCGAGTCTCCGTACGGCTCTCCGCACTGCGCGCACTTAATAGAAGGCGCAGCGGCCGGCGACGCGCTGTAACTAGGCGTCGGTGCGCTGTAGCTCGGCGCCGCAACTGGCGCGGGAGCCGCGTATGACGTGGTGGAGGAAGCCGCCGAGCCGTAACTGGGCGCGGACGTGAAGGAGCTGGAGCTGGGGGCGGCAGTCGACGCCGCGTACGGGGACGACGAGCTGAAGCTGGAGCTGCTGGAGGACGCGGAGAAGGACGGGACCGACGCGGGCTCAGAAGCCGGCGCCGCCGGAGGGGGGACGTCCTCGCGCGGGGCGCCGCACTCGGCGCAGAAGCGCGCGCTCGCGATCTCGTCGGGCTCCCAGCGGTGGCCGCACTCCCCGCAGAACATGGCGTGCGTGTGTCTTAGTCGATGGGAATTTGCAAATGAGAGGGGAGGTATCTTGATCTGAGTATGGCCGGAATTGAGAAATTTGCGATTGTGACAACCCAAAGTTCAATTTGGCGATCAGGAAAACGATGACGGCTTCAACCACGGCAACTTCCACTTTGATACGGAGCAGTTCGATTGACATTTTGACACACAAATGCAGTAAACTAGATAGGGTATGTCCGTCGATAAGAGGACATTGTGAACGGCTGGACAAGGAACTAAGGCTTACGCTGAGTCAGCGTCGAGGGGCGGCGCCATTGCCCAGCTGCGGCGGGCTATCCAGCGACGACACCTTGGCCAGCCAGCGGATGAGGATTTCCGCCATGAACTGGGGCAAGCGGCGTCGCCGAATGAAGTGCCACACGCGCAGCGTGATCAATACAAAGAGCGCCGCACGGAACGCGCGGTTCTGGACCCACCCGCGCAGGACGAGGAAGACCTGGCGCACTCGAGCCTCCACCGCCAGCAGCATCGAGTTGTTGGCGAGTACAGCCATCTCCTGCTGCCGCAACACCAGTCGCTGTAGCTCAGTCGAGTGGTGCTCCACGTCGTCCTCCAGGTTCTTGACTAGCGACACCAGACTATTGCGGATCTGCTCCATTTGCTCCATCTGTTGGTTGAACATGGAGCGGTTGTCGCGCGTGAAGTGCAGCAGGTGGGCCTCCAGCTCGTCGCGCTTCTTGACCTCGTCTTCCATGCGGTCCTGCAGCTCCCCGAGCTCGTCGTAGATGCGCGGCAACCGCTCGAACATGCTGGTGGACCTCCTCACTCGGGTCGGCGTGGTAGAGCCCGCTTCAGACGGTGCCGAGGCCTCACTCGCTCTGCTGCGAGGGTCTGCGGCGCTGCGCAAGTTTGCACTGCGGCGCCAGTCGTCCACCAAGTTGTCCAGCGCCGTGGTGTAGCGCTTCATGGCCTCTTGTCGAGTCATGTTGCCCAGGTTCCGCCACTTCTCCCTGAATGTCCGTCACACGCCACAGATTCGACGTAAGCAGCCTACCTTGGAATGCCACCTACAACAACAAAGCACCAACCACACACCATTTGGACAGCTCCAGCTTGCTGAGTCCTGCGGGTGGCGCTGTAGTCGGGCAGGGCCCCACCGTCGCCTGCTGGTAGTAGGCGTAGAAGTCCTTCTTGGGGGACGAGTTCTCCTGCGTCAGGATGCGGTGCGGCCCCTGGTAGCTCTCCACGAATAGCACGGCGCCGGCGAAGTCCGTCTCCAGCTGCGTGCAGGACTCGCAGGTCGCGCGCGAGTGCGCGGTGGACGACGCCGCGCGGCTGCTCGAGGACGACGACAGCGAGCGCATGTCGGCGGTTTCCACGTCTTCCGCGTCCTCCACCTCGAGCGACGGCGCGCTGGACAGCAGCCGCGCGCGCACGGCCTGTACGCCCGTGGCCTGCGAGACCACGTAGCTGAAGAGCGACGGAGGAGCCAGCGACGGCATCGGGCCAGCAGCAAGGCAAGTGAGCTCCTGCTTGCAGTTCAGTCTGGCCGCTCGACGTGAAAGCCGAAGTGCACCACTTGAATAGGCGACGTCGAACAATACATTGCCTCAACTACGGCATATTGTAGTCTATACACCAGTATCTTAGTGGGTTGAAGCCAGCACTTGACAATCTTCTCTTTCTGGCAGCGATGGTGTCGACGTCGACGGCGGTGGCCGTCGTGCTGCTGCTGTCCAGCGCGCTGCTGATGCTCGGGGACCGCGTGGACCTGCCCCCGCTGGACGTGCTGCGGCAGCAGTGGGCAGCCAGCAGCGGCTACGACCTAACGGACCTGTCGGCGCCTGTGCTCTACGGGAAGCCGCTGCTAGCGCTGGCCTACGTCGCGCGGCTGCCGGTGCTCGGCCGCATCCTGTGCAACCAGCTGGCCAAGGACAACAAGATCCTGGAAGTCCGCAAGTACGTTAAACTTAGAGCGAGTTACTGTGAATATATAAGAGACTGATGACATTGCTGCTGCTGCTGCTGGCAGGTTCGCCGCGTCCATCCCGGACTTGCCGCTGTACTACCCGTACCTGGACCCGAAGGAGAGCGACAAGAGAAAACGGACGGAGGGGGAGGAGCCGCTCTCTCTCGAGGAGTTCAGCAAGAAGGGCGTGAGTGGCAAAGGCGACGAGGCATTCTTCAAGCACTGGAGCATCGCCGACTACACGTCGCGCTACGCTTCGGGCAAAGTGACGCCCGTGCAAGTGGCGAAAGCTCTGCTGGCTGCTGTCGAGAAGAACGAGCGCAGTGATTATCCTCTGAATCTGTTCGTCGAGAAGCACGATGACGAGATTCTGGCCCAAGCGAAGGCCTCAGCGGAGCGCTACGCGCGTGGAAAACCGTTGGGCGTACTGGATGGCGTGCCCGTGGCTATCAAGGATGAAGTGCGCATCAAGGGCCACCGCATGTTCACAGGCACCTCCTTCCTGGGGTACGAAGAGGACGTTGCCGTCGAGGACGACCCACCAGTGGCCAGACTCCGTGCGGCTGGAGCTATTATCCTTGGGACGACCAACATGCACGAGGTTGGATCGGGTGTCACGGGCTATAACATGCACTATGGGACTGCGCGCAACCCGCACAATCCGAAATGCTACACTGGTGGTTCGTCGAGCGGTTCTGCTGCGGCAGTTGCGGCAGGTTTGGTGCCGTTAGCGCTTGGACTGGACGGAGGCGGGTCCATTCGTATCCCATCCGCGCTCTGCGGTGTCGTCGGCATTAAGCCTACGTTCCAGCGCGTTCCGCCTGCGGCAGCTGATTGCCCGTCAGTCGCCCATGTCGGCCCAATTGCAGGATCCGTTCGTGACGCCGCTATCGGCTACGCTATCATGAGCGGCGGGGATGAAGCAAGCTTCCCTCGTGGCGTGACGCAGCCGCCAGTGGACCTGCACTCGTTCGAAGAAACTGCCTCGCTCAAGGGCGTTCGCATCGGCTACTTCAGCGACTACACGAACCACTCGTCACCGGAGATCGCCGAGGCAGTTTCCAAGGCCCTCAAGGCCCTCGAAGCCCGTGGAGCTGAGCTTGTGGAGACGCCGCTGCACCACCTGACGGCCATTCACACCGCGCACAGCGTCACCATCACGTCCGAGTTCTCGCAGAACCTGGACAAGTACTACGAGCGCTATGGTGAACTGTCCCCGGAAGTGCAGCTCATCCTGACGTTCGGCCGCAGCTTCACGGCCATGGACTTCCTTGCGGCTCAGCGCGTCCGCGCGTTCGCGCTGCGTCAGTTCCAGGAGAACGTGCTGAGCAAAGTGGACGCGTTCGTGACGCCGTCGACTGGCATCACGGCACCAGAGATTCCGCTCGAGGCATTGGAGGTCGGCGAGCTCAACGCGCAGCAGCTCGGCGCCATCTTTCGCTTCTGCGTGTACGGCAACCTCATCGGCGTGCCAGGCGTGGCCGTGCCGATCGGCCACGACTCGCGCGGGATGCCCATGTCCATCCAGTTCCAGACCGGCCACTGGCAGGAGGACACGATGCTGCGCCTCGCCCACGCCACGGAGGCTCTGTACGCTAAGGCGCAGAGGAAGCCGCAGGTCTATTTCTCGCTCCTGGACGACGCCACCAAGCAGTCGAGCGACTGATCTCTCTTTGAATGTTGCAGTTCACTTCAACTTGAATTTTCGCCTTTCACTCGTTTTCCCGCCAAAACCCTACTGCAACATTTTGGCCTAAGCTATCGTCACTTTTGCTTCTAATTAATCAGCGCGGCCGGACATGGAGCCCCCGCCGTCGCTATCGTCGGCGGACGAGACGTCGGTGCTCATCATGGGCCACCGCGTGGCCTTCCCCGCCGGCAAGAGCCCGTTCCCGGCGCAGCTGGCCGTCATGAGCAGCACGCGCTGGTGGAGTCTCCCACGGGCTCGGGCAAGACGCTGGCGCTGCTGAGCTCGTGCCTCACGTTCCAGCGCGACCACATGCGGGACGCCATGGCGACGTACTGCGAGCAGAAGGCGCGGCGTCAGCAGCAACTGCAGCAGCTCAGAGCGCAGGAACGAGCACAGCAACAGCAACAACAAGTGGAACACCAGCAACGAATGCAACGGATACGGCAGTGCGAGGACCAGATGAGAGCTCTGCAGCAGCGGTGGCAGCAGCAGCAGCAGCAGGAGGAGGGGACCGCGAATCAGAGCCAACATTCTGCCAACCAGAGCCAATACGCTACCAGCCAGAACCAATTCACGGCCCAGTACAACGCCGGTCAGATCCACTTCTCCGCCGGTCAGAGCCAATACGCAGCCAGTCAGAGCCAATGCACAGCCAGTCAAGCTTCGGCCTGGGACGATGACGCTTTCGGCCTCTTGCAACGCAGCGTCAAGAGGTTTAAGCGGGAGGACGGCACGACCCCGGTGGTTATCGACCTTACTAATGACGACCCGTGTGCATTGCTCGACCAAGAGACTCAGCTGGATTCGCAGCAACTGGAACATGATCAAGAGATGAAGGAGGAGGATGCGGAGCAGCAACAGAGGCAGGAGCTAGAGGTGGAGCGGGGGACGCAAACCGAGGAGCAGCCTGTACTTGGACCCAATGATCTTGAGAAGGACGAACCGCCGCTTGTTCCGAAGATTTTCTTTTGTTCACGGACGCATTCGCAGCTGACACAAGCTGTGAAGGAACTGAAATGCTGTCCTGAGTCATACATGGAAACAATACCTGGATCTTCGAGGCTGCAATCGTGTGTGTTAGCAGCAAAACGGATGCTTTGTGTGAACGAAGAGGTAAACGATGAACCTACGCTGGTGAATGAAAAGTGCCAGGCGCTAAGGATGGAAAAGGAGCGTCGACGAACTGCTGGAGACATGGAAGACGAGGGTGGGTGTCCTTTCAGTCAAACGAGTTTCAGTCGACTGCGAGCGCGCGCGCCGCAGGTCTGGGACATTGAAGATATTACCAAGGAGGCATCGACGTGCGATGAGTGCGCATACTTCTTTTCGAAGAGTGCTCTCGAAGAAGCGCATATTGTTTTCTGCCCCTACAATTACGTCCTGGATCCGGCGATCCGCAAGGCCGTCGGCATTAATTTACATAACGCTATCGTGGTTCTGGACGAAGCCCACAACGTTGAGGACACGTGCCGCAGCGGTGCGAGTCTAGAACTCACTGAACACATGCTCACCAGTGCGGTCAAGTCGTTCGACGATGTGATCTGGCAGGAGTCCAATAACCCACCTCCGCCTGGGTACGATGCTGTTCGTCACATGCTAAGTAGTGTCGAAACATGGTTTAAAACCAACAAAGAGCTTGTGAGAGACCCGGAAGATGTTGACGACGACGATTGTTACGTTCTATGGAGCACCGAAGACTCAATGGAGATGCTGCGTGACTGTAAGCTTCTAAATGTGACTACCGGTGACATGGAGGAGATATTCCAGCACGAGCAGATGAAGTTGGCCACTCCAGGCAAGAAAGTGTTGCTGAGTACTCGTGCCCTTAACACTGCCTCGAGATTGGACCTACATGGCTCTTGACGGCGGCAAGAATGCAGACGACTTCAAGCTTCTGATTACGAAAAAGATGCGAATTAATGACAAGAACGAAGAGGTAATCGACACGACGCTATGCATCTGGTGCCTGAGCGCGGCGGTTGTATTCTCAAGCCTGGCACTCCAAGCCCACAGCGTGATTCTAGCTTCTGGTACACTTAGTCCCATGGACTCTTTCGCTGGCGAGCTTGGCGTCGACTTTCCTATCCGTCTGGAGTCGAATCATGTTGTAAACATGCGGAAACAAGTATTTATCGGTGCAATTATGAACGGTCCGGGTAATGTTGACCTCATATCAACGTACAAGAACCAGCAGAAGTTCCAGTATCAGGATTCAATGGGCTTCTTGCTACTGCAATACGCGCAAGTGATTCCCGGCGGCATTCTCATGTTCTTCCCATCGTACGCTCTGATGCATATACTGAAGGCGCGCTGGCAACGCACTGGGATCTGGGATCAGCTCGGGAAGCACAAGCGAATGTTTTGGGAGCCACGTCTTGGTGGCAAGGAGTTTGACGCACTGCTCATTCAGTACAAGACCGTTATAGCTGAGCATTCAGTATCACATAGTACTCCGAGTGGTTGGGTCAACAGCGAAGAGCCGACCCAAACGGGAGCAATTTTCCTTGCTGTGTATCGTGACAAAGTCAGCGAAGGTATAGATTTCTCGGACGACAACGCGCGCGCAGTGCTTGCTGTTGGGATTCCGTTCCCGAATTTCAAGGATCTCCAAGTATCACTGAGGCGGGAGTATCAAGACCACAAGTCGCGCGTGAACAGGAAGCTCGTGAATGGCTCGTGGTGGTACAAGCTTCAGGCATTTCGCGCGCTCAACCAAGCACTGGGTCGATGCATTCGGCACCGTCGGGATTACGGAGCTGTCATTCTGATCGAATCGAGGCACCGAGGTAACTCGCACGGGAACTCGCTGTCCAAGTGGATGAGACCGCACGTTCAAGAGTTCTACTCGTCCGAGGACTGCAACCCTCTTTTTGCCGAGTTTTTTCAACGGAACCAGGTGGAGATGCCCATGGCGGCGCCTGCTCCCGAACCGGAACCAGCTCCGCTTCCAACTCCAGTGACAAATGAGACGGCGCAAAACGGATCATTTAGTGACCCTATTGTTCTCGAGTACGAAGAGGATACCCCGATCAAGGCCGAGCTTCAAATAGTTCCTTAGGGGTGCAAACTACTTTAATAGCAAAGGACTACCTGGTCTGGGAGTACAAGACCATTAAAAATGAAATCACACGCAGAAGCCTACGGCGTATCACACGTTGGCGGGTTGAACAGGAACTTGTGCACGACTTGAGGCATGGACATGTGTCCGGAGCAGCAGCCTTGAGCGTCGACGAGGGTGTATTTGATACTCAGCGCCAGCAAGTCTTCCAGGAACTTGGTGAGTTTGCGCGCAACCCGTTCAGAGCCGACGAACCGCAGCAGGAAGCCATCAGGGTTCTCGCCGAAGACGTACCAGTTGAGAACCGCCGAGCAGAACTCGCAGCGCTGGCCGGAGTGCGCCGAGTTCACGATCCCGTGCAGTTCGTTGGCGAGCGTTTTGAACTCGGACAGCTCCCGTTCAATTCGGACGGTTGTTCCTGACTCTGCGATCGAAAGGCCGGAGCAGCCGGTAGAGGTCGAAGAGTCCACAGTCACTTCAACTCCGTAGCGGACGCTGCTGCCCTTGCCGGAGCCTGAGACGCGGATGGAGTCGACCTTCCTGAGCTCAAGCAGCGCGTTTCGGCGAGTGGAGACGGCGACAGATTCCGAGGTGCTGGGTAGCATCACTTGCAGGCTTGCCCCCCACTTGTCCGACAGGTTCGGCAGCATCGTTGTGGTGGGTTGTATATAAACTTGACTTGGCTTGGGATGCGCGAGGCGAGTTCGAAAGTGAAGGAAGCCCCTTCAAGCAGTCGGAGGCTCCTCACCGTCACGCCAGTACCCGTGGCTGCGGTGCATCCCCCTCGGCCGAGTTTGACCAATCTATCGAGCGCATCGCTCTGATTCATTTTCGATGTACGTCCAAACCTCGGGGTCATCGTATCATGGCACCACTCTAAAGCGGGCCTGAGCCCCCAATAGCGAGCGCGGACGGCTCGGCCACTGACAGCGCGCAGCTTCGGCAGCGGTCGACTGGTGCAAGGAGCCCCAAGGATATTGAGCAAGTGCATTCATGTGACGAGGAGACAAAGTGCAGACTGACAGAACGACTCAAGAGGCAAAGCCTGCGTCATATTGGCGTTAAGCCGAAATGCCTTGTGGGAATCTACAGCTACGGCGTCTATTCTTGGTCTGTGTGTAAAACAGCACAACACAGATTAGTAAAACCACTTAGCGCAGCGATTAGTCCGAGCAGCGAGCAGCACTCACGCGCGCGCAGCGGGTTGTCGACGTATTGCTTGCGCGTCTTGGTAAAGGTCTTGGTGAACGACTTGTCTCCCGCCTTGGTGAGTCTATTTTTTGCTAGGCTTCGTAGGGCCTGCGCCACGCCACGTCAAGCAAAAGCAGCATGTACACACCACACTTGTCAGCTCCACACCATTCTCACTCCTCAACATGGCAACAACCGTCTACCTCACGTCTCTTTTTCAGCGGCTTGGTGCGGTTGCGCTGCATGACGACGATCGGGATGACGCCCACGGCCAGCACCGCAATGAGGCCCACCCAGTTCATCAGCGAGTCCTCCACGCCGTCGCTCGCGAAACGAGCTGCCTCGTCGAAGTTGCTGCACGGACAGCAAACAGCACAGCACTGTCAGCAAAAACTCCAGATAGCCAACGTTTAAATGGACAATTGCTCCGATAGCCACATACGCGAAGCCCTGCTCGTCCGCGATGCCATACACGTCGTACTTCTCACGACGCTCCGGGTCCGACAGCACGCGGTATGCTGCAACAAGCCAGCACAATAGCAACAGTACAAGCATTAGCTCCAATAATCCTGGGTGTGTCATAAAACCCTGCTGGACAGCCGTCCGCACCGTTGGAGATCTTGACAAACTCCTCCTTCATGGCCTCGCGGGTCTCCTCCGTCTGCTTGTCCGGGTGGTACTTAAGCGACAGCTTGCGGTAGCTGCAAATGCAGGTATATGGCAGCAACAACAAAGCGTTAAAGGTTCTGAAAGGCTCGGCGGATTGAGTATTTCTCGACTGCTACGCACGCGCGCTTCATCTGGGAGGGCGTAGCGGACGACGACACGCCCAGCAGCTCGTACAGGTCCTGGCCGAGCGCCGCAGCGGCGCACAGCAGCAGACACAGTGCGCCCAGTAGCATACGCTTCCCCATCATGATGCTCGTTTCCCGAATGAGCTAAGTACGCCGACGCGGCGCCAGCGCGCACTGGCTTTTGTCCAATCAGATATTTTATATCGCACTTTTGTCCACTTATCGGATTGTCGAATCGACGATTCGGATTGCGTTAGTACACTCGGCGACAGTTAGATCGGCCACCCACGTTGGTGGCCGTATCTCACTCATTTTTATGAGTTCGCCAAGGCTATTTAGATATTTTCAAGCCTTTATTAGTAGTTACAAGGACTTGTGCTAACGCGCACGATTTCGCAGTCCATAATTGGGGACGAAGTTCCCACTTAACGTACTCGCCCTATTAAAGTCCGGACTTTATTTTATAGTACAGGCCTAGAAGCTTGAAATCATATATATATTTCTGGCGCCCTCAGCGACTAAGTACGATCCCTTAACTATGGGGCACCGTGTCCACTTTTTTAGAGGGCTGGCAGCGTTTTGACTTACGATTTGTATTGGGGTTCTCACGGGGGTCGGTCCCTACAATATCAGTATTGGATCACGAACAATACCACTTTTACCTGCAATGGCGTGGCTATCCGTTAGCACCTTCGCGTTTGCGCGAATGAACGAGTGTATGATTTTTTTAAGTTACTAAGAAATATTATGTGGCTAAATGTTCGTGCTCGCCCTTATAGGAATTGCAACTTGAAAATGGATCCTGAAAAATTTAATAAATGCTAAGCCGTCTCCAACTTTGTTTTAAAAAAAGGTACACGTGCTCACACAGTAGTAAATTGTACTTAGTACTACATAGCGAGCGAACAGCTACCCGTATTAACCGCGAAAGTCACACGTCGCCAATTATTACGCTTTAAGAAATCGCGACTTGAAAATGCATCCTGAAATAAAGGAGTAATACATTTAACATCATTTCTGAATTTACTGCGAGATTCACAATTGGTGCACTTTGGGTTAATTTAGATTTATCAATGTAGTACCTCAAAAAAGATTGCATGTAGAATCACCTCTGTGCTCACACAAAATACAGTTGCATCAGACGCGCGCGGCCTGATTTGCTGCTAATGGAAGGCGCAAGCAACAAAAGTTGCAGTAATACTGTACATAGCAAAACTAAAGTTCTACGTTGTAAAAACTCGGGCCCAATTGATACATCAGTTCTTTGGAAGCAATTTGCCCACTGTTTTTTATTACGGGCAATTAGCAGAGCACACCGTATTATAATTTTGCACCGGAATGAATATTTCATGCCGAATATGACGCTACGGTAAAGTGTAATTATCTGGACCGGCGCCGACTTTGAAAAGGTCAGAACGCTTATAGTCTGGACTCGAACCCAGACTATTTGCGCACCTAGACTAAATATGCGTCCAGAGCATTAATTTTGGTTGGGCGAGTTTTAGTCCAGTTTGGCCATCTTAGACAATTACACGATCACTTTACGGTCGAGTATGATACGATTTCTGGCTGAATATCCATCTCTTTATCCGCGTTGGAGACTTCATTTTTCTGTAGTGCGGACTGAATCTGAAGGCGTAATTAGTCTAAATTGGTGACGATGAATTTTGTGGACTAAAAGTGTGGACTAAGTGAGCGTCTTCCAGACTCATTACACTTTTCTGTAGCTGTTAGCAGAAGGTAGGACGGAAGAATGGTGAACATAGAACCTTGAGTGGGAAAACTTGACTGAGCCTACACTACACGCACTGTTTTAGTTGGAGGTCAGTAAGTGTCTCTTATAGATCAAAATTGCTTTATTTTCAAACTTTTCTTAATACTGTATTCGACTTGAAGCCAAATTTTTAAGTGGAAAATTTTCCCCGCCGAGCGAAGGGAGGCGGGCTGTCCTTCCTACTCGGCTTAAATCTGGCACGCGGGGCTCCGCTTGGCTTGTTATCAGATGTTATATCAGCTCTAAAAAATATCTTGGAGTTTGTATGTACAAACCGTTGCGTACCGATATTTGTTGCGACAGGCTTATATACGGGATGGGGCTTATATTCGGGCGAGTGCGTCACATTGACTTGATCCCTCAGGGGTAAGGGAGACATCTGTACTGGGGAATCACCTCAAAACGAACTCAAATTTTACTTGGGTTTAAGAGACATTTGTCCCAAGGGGTTCAATTTATACAATCCACAAGTTGCTATAGGTTGTCCAGTAAAGTTGAGGTACAAACTCGGACATCAGTACCGGTTAAATACTGATCAGCTTGAAATTACCGGTATGTCGAAATCAAGGTGCGGAGCTGCGAGCGCTCATTCAGCAAGATGTGGGGCAATGCAATGCAATAGACCTTAAAACGAGTTTGTCAGCGCTCTATCAGATTCTTAGCAGTAAACGATTTTGCTATGGTACCCTTATGACTGAGGTCGGTCCGACCGAGCTTAGCTACTTGCCATTGAAGGTGCTCTTTGTTAAACATTTTGGTAAGTCTGGATAGCTTATCTCGGGGCGTAGGCTTGATCTAATCGGTGATTTGGCGTTAAATTGGAAACTGCTCAGTAGATTTGGGAGAATGCTCGTTGGTTTGGCAACCGCGCGGCAAGCTGCACTTGTTGGCCACAATGGACGTATCCGCAATTATTTGGCGCCATTCTCCCCCGTTGGCGCCATTAAAACTCGCGCTGTCTTCTGTGTTTTCAAGCGCGCTCAAGCGCAAGTTGTTGGTAGCCCTTCGTTGCTCTGTATTTTAAGCGGTAGGATTCGAATCCACAGAGGCCTTTGCAGCTCTGTACATCTCACATTTCAAATTACCTGTTCAACTACAACAAGATGCTTAGAGCCCGAGCCACCCGTGAACTCACCGAGGAAGCCGTTGAGCAAGGCGTTGCCCGACTTACCCAGCTCAATGAAGTCCGCCAAGCCAAGCGCGTACGATGTGCTCCAGCTGCTCGTGCTGCTGCGATCGCTGACAGCGACGCTGTCGACTCGCTATCTCCTGTATTCGACCGTTTCCTGCTGAATGGCGACGAGACCGTCATGCAGACGACCAACTTCTCGGGGGAAGAGTTTAACAGGCTCTGGCGCGTGATCGAAGAGTACGTGGTGCTGCCGTGGAACGTAGGCCGCGGCAAGAAGTGCAAGTTCGGCGGCAAGGACGTGCTGTTCATGGTGCTCGCCTCGCTCAAGCACTGTGGCAAGTGGGACATTGTCGCTAGCGTGTTTGACATCAACCCACCCATCTTCCAGAACATGGTACTGAAGTACACCGATATGGTCTCTCCTTTCTTGTACGAGCGCATGGTGGAAGATGTCAACGCGAAGTGGACGATGCGTGAGCTTGTGATCGCCGGCAAGACCTTTTCCAACTACCCCTGTGTACCGACGTGACCTTCCAACAGGCGAACATCCCGTACGGCCTGTGCGAGGGACGTAGTATTTACTACAGCGGCAAGCACAAGCTCCACGGGTACAAGGTGGAGGTCTCGGTCTTGCCCACAGGCAAGGCGATCAACCGCACGCAACACTACCCGGGCCACCTTATGCTTGGCTATGCGTAGTGTTTGGAGAATTTAAATGACATTTTATAGAGCTGATTTGCTTACTATTACGTTTAGGCGCTTTATGCGGGGTAAGACGGTAGCCAACTTAACACTTTTTTAGTTAGCACTTGTCATGCCACTTAAAACATGGCGCCTTCGAGCCACCCGCAATAGTCTTTGGCGAGCACAGCTCATAGTAGACTTAGGTTGGATTGGTCAGATAGGCGATATCAACGAAGGAGTTATTGCCCCCTTCGGGCGACACACACGATCGATATTTGGGCTATTCAAATTGTTATAGGTGTAGCAAAAATATTGCTTTGGGTGGTGGGCGAGGATGCTCCCATCTTGCTTTCCCGATTCACAATAGTCGCTGTACTCTGTAGTTTTCGTGGCCATTCAGACTTCATATAAATATTCAATTGCATTAAATATCTGTGTGCACTTGAGTGAGTTGCTTGCCTAGTAACCGCATTGAGCGCCATGTAGAACATGTGAGACTTGAATCGTGTCTGAAATTTCGAGATAGTTCAAGTGATTTCAGTTTTGGTGTTTTTTATTCGTGCCGTAAGACTGCAGCAGATCAAGCTACTCATTGGCGACCCATGCCCCTCAAGTTGTGGCTGTGAAATAGCCTTTGGACTTCGAGCTCATGAAATCTGAAACAAAAATATTTTATCTGTAACATTTCTATACAGATTACCATTCCAGATTACTCACTTCAACGTTCGCCACGGATGACCTCGTCGGGCGTCACCACCAAGTCCAGCATGCGGTCGTGTGCTGCCAGCGGCACTTGCTCCACGAGCTGTGGCGTCAGGCAAAGACCCTGCAATTGCAGCAACCACAAAGCTACGAGTTATTGCAGGTTTCAACACAAAAAAACATTGCCCAGAGACGTACGATGGTGGTGGGCGGCGCATGTCCGATAGCATCGTAGTACTCCGTCAGTCGACGCAGGAAACAGTCTGCGGCAACATCAACAGCACCAGTCAGTACGAATTACAGTAATACTAATTGCAATTCGCAGCAACCTCACCGTAATAGCCCTTCCCGTGGCCGAGCCGTCCTCCGCGCCGGTCGAAGGCCACGCCGGGCAGCAGCACGAGCTCCAGCTCGTCGCCTTGCATGGCGTCGTCACGCGGTGCCCCACCCTCCGTCAGCAGAGGCGGGTCCGGGATCAGCCACTTGTCCTGCACAACAGTTTCCGCACCAAGTTGCAGCAGATCAGATCACTGAGCCGCCTCAACGTAGGAGCCAGCCTCGAACCAACCTTGGGGAAGCGGCGGATATCGCCCATGGACTTCGCCTGCAGCATCTTCAGGTCCTCCGCCGAGCGGCCAGTGATCTTGGGCACGAACACCTTCTTGTCAGCGGCGAACGCGGCCTCCAGCAGCCCCGAGGTGGCCGCCTCCTTGGGCATCTCCAGGTACACGCTGACGCCACGGGCGCGCGCGAACTCCGGCAGCGCGCACACGCGCTCGGCCAGCCGCCGGCTCTGCTCCAATACCTCCTCATCCGGCAGCCCCTTTAGCGTGGCGCCGATGCGGCGGCGCAGCTCCGTCTTGAGCGACGCGGCCATGTCCTCGCTGCTGCTCCTGCTCGAAGCCATCTCAGCAGGAATGACCAATTCGGGACCAAATTTTTGGGGTCGGACCAAAGTGTACTCAGATTATACTTGTAGCTTGTATGCTCCTGAGTCTCTGCCGCCGGCCGGAACAAATGTGCCTGGCGTTCAAGAAAACGCCAGGCATTCATAACGGCTTAGACTGGCTAGGACAAAGACCACCATGCACCGCCTGGAAAGGGCCTTGTCCTCAAGCTCGGTGCTGGACGACGATGCGCCATACTCCGGTAAGCAAACCTCGATGCACTATGGTGCTTCCAGCACTTCAAAAATGGACAAACCCTATGTGTATCTAATAACAAATGTCATATGATTATGTGCATCAACTTCAACATCTGAACTTGTTATAACGGACAGGACGCGGCTCCGAGTGCTTCGACATGGACCTGGACGAGGAGGAGGCGCTGCGTAAGGCGGCGCGCGCCGGCATCCAGCTGCTGGAGACCAACCAGGCGCTCAATGAGGAGGTCACCGCATTGCGCGAGCAGGTAGCGGCGGTCGAGGGCGAACGGCCGAAGCTGCTTGCCCAACTGGGGGCGCGCGAGCAGGAGCTGACCAGCGTCACGGAGAACCGCAAGAGCCTGCTCATGGAGGCCAGCGCGCTGCACAACGAGCTCAAGGCCAAGTCAACGCTGGTGACGGATCTGCTGGAGAGGGAGGACGCGCTCAAGCAGCAGGTGCAGGAGGTTGAGGCGGCCAAGATGCTGGCCGAGAGCGAGATCGCCGCTCTGCGCGCGGAGTTGGAGCAACTCAAGGCAGACTCGGCCAAGGCGGAGAATGCAGAGCAGAACTACGCAGTGGTGAACCCGGCGTCCACGTACGACTCGAACCAGGCCAGCGTGTTCACGTACTCGGACTACGAGGAGCTGCAACATCGGCTCCACGCCACATCGGAGGAGAACGAAGCGCACACTCTGGAGGTCAAGAGTCTGCGGAAAGAGGCCGACGCGCTGCGTCGCAAGGTGGCCAAGCTGCCGGAGTGCATCGCGCACATTGAACGACTGGAGAAACGGAATGAGAAGCTGCAGAGTGCCAATGAGACGCTGCGTGAAGAGCGGATGGAGGAGCGAGCTGTACTGGACAGTCTCCGCTCGATGAACCTGGTCTACAAGAAGATCGCCGAGTCGCGTCCGTTTGCAGCTGACTGCACATGCTCGCAGCAACCGGAGGAGGCAGACCCGCAACAGCTAGGCGTGACGGTGCGGGACGTGTTGATTGAGACAAACATGAAGCTCGAATCCGAGCTGCGCGAACTGCGTGCAGCCATGGACTTGCCTCATATTGTTTCGGAGAACGCTGAGGAAGAAGTGCTGGAGCAAGCGCTCAAGCGAGTGGGAAGCAGCAGCAGCAATGGTTCAGCAGCGTCCGACACGACAAATAGCAGTGGGGAATCGATGGAGACGGTGAATGAACGCCTGACCCGCAAGTTGCAGATCATCACCGAGAAGTATAATCTGTCGAAAGAGATGCTCCGCCACACGAAGGTCCAGTGGTGCGCTGCAGTCGCCTCTCAGAAGGCGCTGGAGGAATGCAACAAGACGGCCCAGGAGGAAATCTCGCGGCTCACACAGCAGCTTGACCACCACATCGCAGCTCTGGCGGACGCAAATGTCGATGAAAAGGAAAAGCAATTAAGTGCAATGATCGATGGCGGTGGGAGCAGCAAGTGGACAGAGGAGACAGCGCCGTTCCCAGCCCCACCCGGAGATCTCAACTCGCCGTTGATCAAGTGTTTACTGGACAACTGGACCACCGAGAAGTCCAAAGTCATGATGCTCACGGACTGGTTGCACAATTCGATCCGAGGCACGGGCAGGGCGACCCCTCTACGGTTGCTCGGACTGAAAAGCGAAGTTGCGGCGGGCTTCACGCAGCTCCTGGTCCCGATCATGCGGGAACGGCACGGCGTTTCCGTCAGCATCTACCGTCGCGATAGCGTGCACGTGCTGTCGGACTTGGTGCTGCAGACCAACCACCCGAGCGTGACGGTGCAGTCGTATGCCACATCTACTACTTCCTCGCAGCCCGAAGTCGTACCGAAGCAGCCTCAGGACCCAGAAGAGAGCAGTGAGCCCGAGCTGGACTCCGCATCGTGCCGAACACAAGGTAGCTCTTTACTCAAGGGCGAAGCGCAATTCCTGTACGGATGAGGAGCGACAGCAAGATCGCCGAGCTGCCACGGTTCCATTTTGGAAGGTGGGAGACTCCATCTGAAGACATCTACCGACCCGCCAGGTCGACTCCATCACCAGCGTCCGAACCTGCATCTCTCTGTGTACATTGTTCATGTTGAAGTGAGGAACAACATCGCTACGTTGATCATTTGCCCGCGTGAGCAACACACACACAAGTCAGGTTTCGGATGTTTGCTCACGCCTAAAGAGCTCTAGATGCTGTGCTAGACTTGAAAACCCAAGAAGTGTTGCGTTTTACTACTGTAGTTACCAGACGAGCGGGTCAGTAGATGTCGAGAGAGCACAGCGGGGTTATTGGAGGGTTCTTTCGCGCGCGCCTCGTTGGTATTATACCAGCGAAAGAAACATTTTTCTGTGTGTACGTATGAATAGTACGACGTTGAAGTGTGCTGTAAGCAACGACAAGTTATCTGGCCCCACGTTCCTCCGCGCAACGTGGCGTTGTTTATAGTCCTCCGTGAAGCCGACATAAGGGGGTTTCCGCATGCGATAGCGCGTGCAGTCCAGCAGGCTGCGGCACGAAACACCCAGCGCGCGTTACGCAGCAACCTTGATTTTGAGCCAAGCTCGCGCTTGCTCGACATGACATTGCGTGGAAAGCCGCCGGGCGACGCTTGGGTACGTCGCCTCTGGAGATTCTCGCGCCGGTCCGCCGCCGTCACTCTCGTATTCCCCTCGCGCGCAGAAGCCGAGTCTTTCTCCGTCGTTTGGGAGAACCTACGCCGAGGCCACACACGACGCGTACACAACACCAAAGCTAGCAGCAGCAGCAGCACCGACAAAGCATGCTCCCGGACCCTGGACACTCGCAGCCGGCGTCGCCGTTCCCGCGCCAAAGCCTGAGCGGCTGGAAGGAGGAGAGCGCCGACGTGGCCACGCTCTTCTTCCCTGCCAACTTCCTGGAGCCCGCGACGCCCGAGACGTTCCTGGAGCTGGACCCCGCGGGCTTTTTCAGCAACAGCAACAGCAGCAGCAGCAGCAGTAGCGGTGCGACCAAAGGAAGTTGCACCGCTGCCAGTCGGCGGACGCCCCCCTCTCAGCTCGGCTTCAACTGCTGGTCCAAGCTCGAGCCGTCGCGCGAGCCGTGCACCGACGAGATCCCGTGGCCGGACCTGGTCTTCTGGCTGGGCAACGCGTCGACCGGCGAGGTGGTGTGCTCGTGCGCGCAGTGCGCTCGGCGCGCCATGCGTTGCAGCAGCGGGCACCGCTACTCGCCGTATCCGCAACAACAACAACAACAACAACAGCAGCAGCAACAACGGCGAGTGTCGTCGCGAGTGCCAGTGATCAACCTGCCGCGCATCGAGGGCGTCAACTGATGTGCCATACCGTAGTCCGTTTATAAGTTAAAATGCCCCGCGCTCCACGCGCGCGGTTTTTGAATGCCAGAAGTCTGCCGAGTTCGAGTTCTCTTTGCCTTCAAGCAGAGCTTGGACGTCCAACTTCAAGCTCCAAGCTTTTGCTTTTGCGTGACGAGAGGCAAGCTTTTGATGCGTCATACATGTACATGTAGGACGCCTACGTGTCCGGTTCGGTACCGCACACTGCTTGCTAAACTGCTTCAGTTGCCGAGTCTTCGCGGTCTCCGATGCGCAACCAGGGACACGATTGCACTGCAACGAGTGACGGAGGGATAGGCGAGGGAATCGAGTCAGAAAAAGTTCAACTTCGACTTCGACGTGGAAGTTGGAACGGGTGGTGGGCACGCGCTCGCGAGAGACACACGTTGAAGTCAGTTTTATTTGACAAGAGGAGGCTGCCTTCGCGCGCGCCGGCAGGGATCCGCTGCACCGTGCGGACGGCGTCCCGAGTCGCAGGCGGCCAGCTTTTTTCAGAAACGTGAGTGGTGCAAGAGCAGGCTGTTGAAGTCGCTGACCCGCTTGCAGTCGCCGAGCGGCTGAAGGCAGAGAGACCTGCCCCATCGGATACCGAGACCGCGTTCCCGCACGCGCAGCTCCCTCAAAACGACCGACCGCGCGTCAAACCACCACTGCGGCAACAGCATCGGTTCATCCACGCCAACGGTGGCGAACACGTGGCGGCGGGATCGGCCATCCCATCGTGCGCGCGCACGCTGATCGCGACCTCGTTTCTGGGCCTCAATCAAGTCCCATACAAGTTTCAGCACCAAATTGGGTGGAGCCGAGCGCGCGTCACATGGGACCTCCATCGGCATGATACCTCGTTTATCCTGAAATTTTCTACTGAACGACGCACATTACCTGAGCAGCTTGGCAGGAAACATACACGACGCAATCCAGCTCTACGCTAAAACTTGTTGTTACGTGTGGGAGCTAGGCTGGTGATATACTGTACTGTTCATTCACAGACGGCAATGCACTCCGGCCAAACAGCGCCATTTTCTTTTCCTTTAAATTACTCCACATCCCTCTTCATAGCGATACCCGGCGATCTCTAATAGTGTCCACAACATCGGTCATGACAGGTTTCTGCAGGATATGTCTCAAGAGGTCCGCTTCAACCAGGCGCAGCGCCGGGGCGCTCCCTCTCGCATATCTTCTTCAACAATCGAGGGATCGGTCCACTTCAAGATTCGCCCCTCAACGCGCGGCGGCGCAGCAGCAGCGCTGGGCCGACCGCATTTTCGGGCAGCGGCAGATGGCCGGCGTCCGTGAGCCTCTGCGCGTTGGCCGAGCCCCGCATTCCGCTCGCAGGCGCCGCAGTCGTCGCCGTTTTTTGTTGAAGTTGCTTGGATCCAGAGCCGGGTCGCTTTTGTTTCCCTGCCAATTGGCCAATCGCGCGCGATCTTTCACTTCAACACGATTCAAAATCGTCAATTGACGAGCGCTGCCGCATGATTGGCCGAAAACCGTCGCGTTGACGTGGAGGAGAAATACGTAGGACGCGTTTCCCAGCCGGTGGTGTGTGGCCACTTCGCCTTGAACTCGCACTCGCGATTCGGATCACTCAGGCCCAGCCCAGAAGCGATAGACCAGACTAGACTACATACCACAGGCCCACCCATGGACATGCGCTCGCTCATCCACCAGGGCTCGTCCCCTAGCAGCAGCAATGCGCCGCCCACCAGCACCAGCATCAGTAGCAGCAGCTCGGCCGCGCCCGTGGCCCCCAGCGCCGCGCCCAGCTTCCCGGTGTCCGCGCCGCTGCCCGTGCCGTCCTTCCCGACGATGCGGCCGCAGCCCACCATCTTCCAGCGCCAGCCCGCGCCGGGCACCGTCCCGCAGGCGCCGACGCTCGCGCCGCTGCGCTTCATCATCCCCAGCTCGCGCACCTCCAGCGGCTTCGGCGCGGGGCTCACGGCCCCCATGCCGCCGTCGTCCTCCGGCCAGCAGCCGCCCATCTACAGCACCAGCACCAGCCTCAACGAGCCGGAGCGCGAGCCGCAGCCGCAGCACTCCATGCTGTTCCCCCAGGACCGGTACACCATGAAGACCGAGCAGCAGCAGCTGTCCCCCACCGCCGGAGGAGACCTGGATGACCAGAAGCAGCCCAAGAAGATCACGCCCAAGCGCGCGCGCACGCCCAAGATCTCCAACAGGTCCACGAAGAGCAAGGCCCGGCCGGGTCTCCGCAAGGGCAAGTGGACCGAGGAGGAGAGCCGCTACGCCGCGCAGCTCACCAACTACTTCAAGGAGGGGCTTCTACCCCTCGAGAGGGGCACCATGCTACGACTGTATCTCTCGCAGAAGCTCAACTGCGAGCCCATGCGCATCACCAAGAAGTTCACGGGCGGAGAGTGCATCGGCAAGCAGGTGTTCCGCCCCTGCAGCCCCACACCAGAGTCCCGCGTGAGGATCATGCAGGCGCAGCTCGAGCTCGTGGCGCTTGAGGCCGCCTTCATCAAGCGACTGAAGGAGAATCGGGAGGACCCGCCCGTCCCGACCGACGAGTTCGACGTGCGATCTTCATCGTCGGGCCACCGGTCACGGCCCGTGCCGCTCAAGCCGCGCACGCAGCAGAGCGACGACGACTCGGGCAAGGAGGGAGACGTGGACGACGCCAACGCCGTAGGTCTGCTCCTCGACTTCTTCTACAAGGCCAACCGGAACGAGAAGAAGGGAGGCAAGAAGAAATCGTCTTCTGCCTCAGCCTCCGCTGCTGCTGCTACTGCTGACTCTTCCTCCTCTTCTTCAACCAAGGACGACAACTCTTCGATCAAGGACGAGAAGAAGAAGGAAGAGAAGGAGGCGCCAGAACCAGCAGTAACGACCGAGGTGCAGATCAAGGAGGAGCCGACGGAGACGAGCACACCGACCTCGCCCAGCACCGCGACAACAAACAGCAGCGAGACTGACACTTCCATCAACTCCCCGACCAAGCGCATGCGTGCGCTCTCGGTCAGTGGCTACGTAGACCCCGCAGCGGTCAAGCGATCCCGCATCGGCTCCTTCTCCACCGTCACAGCCGCCTGAGCGGCTTGAAAGAGAGCGCGCGCCGGCAGAGTCTTAGGATAGTTTTAGAAATTTTTAGCCATTTTGTCGAGCTTTCCATGTTGACACGTATCAAGAACAAGAACACGAGAATCTTATGAACACGACGAGAAGATTGTTGAGAGGAAGCCGGAACCAGCGACAAGTTGGTCTTCAACTACTGTACACAAATGCACAACAGAGCAACACACCCAACGATTCGCAGCACTCGTGGAGAAAGCTTTCGGCGAGGTCGCAGCTGATATTTTCACGGCGGGAGACACGTTGAAGGTGTCGATCAGCGGGAATTGCAGGTTGAAGTGCACGGCAGCAGGATGTGAATTAGCTACACGCACCCTCTACCCCCATCGCGCGGATTTGTGGCAGGAATCGTATGCTAACCGGCTCACCGTCACATTTTCCATGGCGTTGCTGCCAGTCTGGAATGCAGGCGCGAAAGTATCAAGTCAAGTGTCTTCACGGCACCGGAAACTTAAGTATCCTGGTCGTTTAGGTGTACAAGCTGTTCCTGCGCACCGCTACCAGCGGAGAAAATGAAATGCACGATCGTGCGTGCGAGCTGACAGCGCGATGGCCTATGGCTTAACCCCCACAGGCCGACATCGCTCACCAAAATTGCTTCGGGCAATTCGTCCGGGCAATTTGTCGGAACCCTTACTTCAACATTCAACAGCGTTTAGAGTCAAGCTGAGCAACGTTATTCAGGGCAATGAATTCAACGCTATGAGCCAGTCGATCTCGCTAGTCGAGGTCCTCCTTCATTTCGTCACCTGTCTATCTGTTCGGCGCCTTCCCGGCGTGGTGACCTCGTTCATATACCAAGTCGATCACCTCCGTCGTCGTCTACAGTACGGTAGATACCTCCCGGTACTCACTTACATGATGTTGCAGCGCGAGGCCAGGCCCCCAGCGCCAGACGCAGCCTGCTGTTGCTGCTGGGCCGCGTCGCTCATCTTGACGGCGAACGCGTGGACCTTGCCGTACGCGGTGCCGACCACGGCGGGGCAGCGCGGGTGGTTGACGAGCGTGAGGATCGTGGCGTGCAGTGCGCGGAAGGCCTCCTGCAGCTGCGGCGAGATCATGTAGCGCACGCGCAGCACCTGCCAGTACAGCACGAGCAGCAGGAAGTTGCGCGCGGGCGTGAGCATCTCCAGGATGAGCGCGACGCCGATCGCCACGTCGATGTTGGCCGCCACCTGCGGCATGCGCGTGTACAGCTTGGCCCACTTGGCGCGTGTGGCCAGCGCCGGGAAGCTCGGGTCGCTGATGATCAGCGCCGTCAGGGGCACGAGCGCCTTGCTGGTCACGAGCGTCACGGGCGCCGAGTCCGCGAGCCCGAGCACCTGCAGCAGCGACTGCAGGTACGTGAAGAAGTGCACCATCTCCAGCAGGAACACGGGGATCAGCGCCATGCCGTGCGGGGCCGAGACCCAGAACACGAGGCAGAAGAAGAAGACCTGCGCCGCCGGGTCCAGCAGCAGCCGCTGCGCGTACATGGCGTTCCACTTAGGCGCGCCGTGCGTGAAGGCCAGATAGCTGGCGTGGTTCACCAGCGCCAGCTTGAAGAAGTTGGCGTACGCGGCGTAGCTGCTCAGCAGCGTGGGCAGCCAGAAGTTGCAGAAGCACAGCAGCATGAGGCTGCGCAGCGCGAACTGGTATAGCTGGAACATGCTGCGCTTGTCTCCGAGCAGGAAGGTCTTCAGACCGGCGGTGGCGGGCGGCGCGGACGGAGCCGACGAGGAGGAGGAGGAAGAAGCGGAGGAGGGCGCGCCGTAGGACGTGCCCGACCTCTGGGTCGCGAGCTTGGCTTCCACGGCGCGCAGGCCCTCGAGCAGCCCCGCGTTGGACGCCTCGTGGCTCAGGCCGTCCTTGTAGGCGCGGTAGGCGTCCGCGTAGCGCCCCAGCGCGTACAGCGCCGAGCCGCGGCGCGAGTAGCCCTTGGGCCAGCTGCGCTGCAGGGAGATGCACTGGTCCGCGTCCTTGAGCGCGTCCTCGGCCTTGCCGAGCTTGAGCTGCGCGGCCGAGCGGTTGCTGTAGAACACGTGCGCGTTGGGGGCGTCGGGCGCGATCGATAGCGCCTCGGAGAAGCACGCGACGGCGTCCGCGTAGAGCCCCGCGGAGAAGGCGCGGTTGCCGCGGTCCTTGGCTTGCTCGGCGGCCATGGTGACGCAAGAGGGAAACTTGAGCTGTCCCGGCACTGCCGTCAAAAAGGATCGAGATAATTCGACTGGTATAAGTATAGAGAGGGGGATTATCAGGATAGAAGGGCTTGTCAACAGGTTTGGTAGTACTAACGTTAGTGGAATTACAAAGGAAGCAAAACTACTACAGGGATTTAAAGCTAAAATACTATCATTACTACTAATATTAACAGATTTGCTACAGTAGTATCACAATTAGTATCACTACTATAGCACACTATCGTGACTGCTTGTTTTCCTGTGAGCTCATCGCACCAGCGTTTGGTACTGTAGTAATCTGCAGTAGTAGCGAAAATGGTTATAACTACTACTACTAATATTACTATACGACAATTATAGCGTGATGTAGGCTTCGTAGTAGTACTATAAATATAATAGCGATAAAAATGTCACTAGTAGGATAACAGCACTACTACTCCGACCATCCAAGGATCTTCAAAAGGCGCGCGAATCGGCGTTTCTCCTGCCCTCTTCCTCCCCGCACATCTCGCCCCCTCTCTCATTTCTAAATTTGCAGGCGAAAAGCAGACTGATGAACTGTATCAGGTTGACTGTCACTGGGGGGATCAAACGGAAATGGACGCGTCCTTGCATTGTGTGTGGTCATTCAGTGCACCATTTTTGCAGTGACCATCTCCTGACGACGACTTATCGTAAGAGTAACGCTGCTATTCGTGCTCTTTTGTATCCTCCCCGCTTAACTTTAATTTACTCTACTTTTTAATACTGCCAACACGTAGATTCTGTAGCCGCTCGTGTGACAGCAGGTTCTTCAATACTGTAAAAGACGCCTATGAAAAAGGAGCTGACTGTGTGGACAAGAAACGAACTGCTCGAGTATGAAATGTGGAGCAGGTTCGTGGCAATATCGACGCCTGTCGTGTTGGTTTCTCGCGGATGGAGAGAACTATCCGTTGCCAAACTTGTACGCGTCTGGCTGGGACAGGGTTGCTCAACTGCATCCCTGGGACGGGTGTTCTCGACAGGGTCCTTTATTGCGACCCACCTACAGACATGGGCGGACAATGGTCAATCTCAAAGACATCCCACAATGGAATGCCTCGGCTCAAACCGGAAAGATGGCGGTCGTGTTTCAATGTCGAAGGTGATGTCATGGCTCCTGTTGAAATCGAGACAAGCGCATTAGTTGGGATCTTGAAGCTCTCAATGAGAACCGTTCACCTCGATGAAGATGGATAACAACACCTCTCGGGGGATGGATTCTGGGCTGTGGATCAACCAACGCAAGGCTTAGAGAATTTGCAACCAGGGAGATTGGTGGGTAGAAATGAGCGCAAGCTTACGTATTCTCGCCCAACTTGTTTGAGTTACTGTTGTTTATTTTTCTTACGCAGGATGAATCCTCGGCGCCGTTCTTCAGGCCAACTGTTTTTGCAAGAGTTTGTAGTTACCTCCGGGCCTCTCCCGGGTTAGATCATCAACTAGAGCCCGCCGCGTCCGGGCAACTAGCATCACCAGCACCCACCTCGTTCGGGTAACTAGCTTAGAATCACATCCTCAGAACTGTTCGTGGCCTGGCCACCTAGGCAACGGGTACTCACCGCCGGGTCGGGGCTGAGCATTCCACCAGCTAAGACTGGCCCTTTCCCCTTGAGGGTCCAGGATAGAGACGATGAGGAGGGAGCACTAAGCGACCACGGCCTGGGAGTGACCGGGCTGCTCCCCGCTATTCCCTATGAAATATGTAACGGGCCGCCGTGCGTCGCCCTGCACGAGCCACCTGGCCCGCACGGTACATTCGCACACACAGACCCCTCGGCCAAGGCGCCAACTATAGGCACCGCGGCCCCCGCAGTCTCTCTCTACGGTCCTCTAGCACTCTACTGTCCGGCCGTCCCCGCCGTTCCCGTACGGTGTACCTCGTTTTACATTGTATCCGGCCTCGTCCGGCGTTCACAACCCGTGCTCCAGCGCCAAGTTCCTCAGATTAGTCTCCACTTAATGCCCGTCCTGCACTAAATCTTGCCTGAGAGTCGAGCAGCACGCCGCTGCTCGCCGCTCTCCTACGAAGCCCCCTATACAAACTACCTACGGGAACGGCGCCCTTCTCCTAAGCTACCTGCTTGGACCTCTCCCCTTTCGGGGCGCATCGCCCGTCTCGAGGCCTCCGAGCCTCACATCCTTCGCCTCCATGTCGCCCCGCCTTGTCCTCATACTGCTCACTGTCCCTGCCGGACGTGTCGTCTCCCTCGCGATCTTCCATCTTCAACCTTCGAACTTCTAGCTACCCCACGCACGTGACGGCAGCCAGCTGGCTAGTCCTTGCCACCGATCGACGTCCCTCGCCCACTCTTGCTCCGATCTACGTAACGTACACCACGTTGAGCACGACCGGCGTCACCTGCTCGCCGAGCAGTTTCTTCTCGCTGCCACTGCAAGTGACGGTCCGCCCCAACTACACGCCATCCCCGGACGTAAGATCGTCCGCGATCTTCCCGGCGTCCAGCAGCTCTTCGTACTCAGCAGCACTGAGCCACCTCCGTCCTACCGGCATCCCTGGTCTTGTCGTGTACTCCACCTCGTGCTCGACTACGTAGCGGCCCGCGCGATTCCGGACCCGTCTTCGCGCCCGCTCCACGATATGCCCTGCCGTCGCGACTTGTAGGAGCTCTGGTATTGGAGCTGGCTGTCGTGGCCGTCCACGTCCACGAAGCATACCCACCGTGGCGTCAACGACACCACTCGTTCTATCACCGTTACCTCCAGCGTCCTCAGCACCGGGGCCGTCTCCACGCTCTCGACTGGCTCCTGCTTCACGGCGAACACCTCCTCGCTGCGCGGGTCGTGCTCGTCCAGCTGCTGCACTCGCTTCTCGCTCGTCGGCTTGCGCACCGCCGTGAATCCCGCGATCTTCATCTGCAGCCACCGCCTTCGACGCTGCAGCTTCCTGCTGGTGACGTGCAGCTTCGCGCCGAGCTGCCCGCGCTCCACGAGCCTCATTAGCTTCTGTTCGCCGGCGCTTCTTTTGCACTTCATCGTTCCTCTCTTCGGCTTGGGGCCGCTCTTGCCGGCGGCGGCTCCGCTTTGACTCTGGCGGCAGAGGCCTTGGAGCAGCCTCGGCCACCGCCTCCATGGCGCTCGTCGCCTCTATTCTTGGCCCAGCGGCTTTCGGCCCGCTCCGCGCCGTTGCCATCGGCCTCGGTTCTTGTCCAGCGGCCACAGGCAGCATGCCCGTCACCGTCCTCGGCGCCTCGTCGGCGCTCACTGGTGCCGTAGCGGTCGTTCTAGCACCACTCGTCTCCGTCCTGATCTCTTGCGTGCCACCTTCCGCTCGGGCGGTCACATCCTCACTGCTCTGAGTCCGCTCTTGTTCCTCGGCGGCACCGCCAGCTGCCACCTCTTCCTCGCTCAGTTCTCGAAGCATGCGCTCCGCCACCACGCCCAGTGAGTCACTCGGGCAACTGCACTTCACCAAGAAGCTGCAGTGCGTGATCACCCGCTCATCATTGTCCTCGCGTAGCACTTCCCAATTATCAAAGCCCGCGTCTGCTACAATACGAGCTGGGCCCAGCCACTTATGGGCCAGTTTCGTAATTCCTTTGCCACGAGGTGGTCGCAGCACCCACACGCTGTCGCCAATCGCGAACTCGTTGTGCGCCCGCACCTGCCAATCGTAGTACCTAGCCCGCCTCAACTGGTCCTTGACCAGCGCCTTCTTGGCCGCCTCCGTTGCCGTCGCCATGTTCCTCACCAACGCCCGATGATACTCCGCCGACCTGCGTGACGCCACTCGCCCGCAACAGCTCATTCGGGGCCCGAAGACGTCGGCCCATCATCAATTCGTTGGGGCTGTACCCCGTTCCTGAATGCCTCGCACCATGTAGGAGTAGGCCGCGCACGGCAGCCATCGATCCCAATCACTCTGTGCCTCCGACACGAACATCGCGACCATATCCTTCCACGTCCGGTGGAAACGCTCGACCAAGCCGAGCAGAGCCGGCCGATACGGCACCGGCGTCAACTGCTTCGCCTGGAGAGCACTCACCAGCGCCTCCACCACTGCCCCGCTCAGTTCGGGCGCTCCGTCCATCACGAGCTCCCTCATGGGCCCGTACACCAACACCAGCTTCTCGACGATGAAGTCCGCGATGTCTGGCGCCCTGTGGTTCGGCACCGCGGCCACCACCGCATACCTCGTGGCATAGTCCACAGCTGCCACCACATACCGGTTGCCCTTGTCCGTCACCGACAGCGGGCCTGCTACATCCAGCGCCCAACGATCACCAGCATCTCCCACACCCTGACTCCGCAGCGGAGGGATTACTTCCTTCGCCCTCGCCTTCCTCGTACCGCAGTCACGGCAAGACTGCACCCATCGTCTCACCCACGCCCGCATATCCGGCCAACAGTAGTTGGCTGCAATCTTAGTGTAGGTTTGAGGTGTTCGCAGATGACATGCGAAGATCGAGTCGTGGTTCTCGCGTAGGACCTTTGCCCACAACGAGGACGGTAGCACGACACGTCTGCTACCGTCTCTCTCGTAGATGTAAACCAGCTCGCCCTCGACTCCTACCCGCCGATCGCCGTGTTTCCCCTTGTTCTTCAGGTTCTGCACCGTCTTGTCCTTCGCCTGCTCCTCGGCGATCTCGCCGTCAGTCAGCTGCCCTTCGCCTCCTGTTGCTCTTTCGTTCACACCTCTACCAGCCACCGTTCGTACTGGTGCCCTCGAGAGAGCGTCTGCGACCACGTTGTCCTTGCCCGGGCGATAGACAATCTCAAAATCATATTCCTGTAGTTGTAGTGCCCACCGGTGCACTCTACCCGTGAGGTCCTTTGAAGTCATTAGCCACTTCAGCGCGGCGTGGTCCGTCGCCAGTCGGAACCGCCGTCCGTACAGGTACGGGCGGAACAGCTTGACGGCCCAGATCACTGCCGCACACTCGAGGTCGGTAATGCCATACTGCGCCACGTCCTTCGAGTTGATCTTCTATGCGTACGCTACGGGTTGCTCGCCCTGCCCTTGGTCCTGAGTTAACGCCGCTCCGAGTCCTACCTTCGAGGCGTCTGTCACCAACGTGAATGGTCGCGAGAAATCAGGATAGGCCAGCAGCGGCCGCTCCGTCAGCGCCCGCTTCAAGCATTCAAACGCCTCTTGCTGGGGCTCAGCCCAGCGCCAAATCACTCCCTTGCGCAACAACAGCGTCAACGGCGCTGCTTTCGCCGCTAAGTTCGGCACGAATCGTCTGTAGTACCCCGCCAAGTGCACGAAGCTCTTCACCGCGGCCGCGTCCTTCGGCACGGGGAAGTTCACCACACTCTCCACCAAGCTCTCCATGGGGCGCACCCCGTTCTCGTTCAACTCGTGGCCCAAATACTCCAAGTGCTCCGTCGCGAACGAGCACTTCTTGGCCTTCAGCGACAGCCCCGCGTTGCTCAGACGCTCCAACACCATCGCCAGCTCGACGACGTGCTGGCCTACGCCTCCTCTAGAGAAGACGATAACATCGTCTAGATAAACTAAACATGTTTGCCACGTTAGCCCTCTCAACACCGCGTCCACCATCCTTTGAAAGGTCCCTGGTGCGTTTGCCAACCCAAATGGCATGCGCAGGAACCGAAACAGTCCTTGCCTCGTCACAAACGCGGTCTTGTCACGGTCCTTGGGCGCCACGGGTACCTGACAATACCCGGCGTGGAGGTCCAAGCTCGTGTACCGCTTCGCACCATGTAGATTGTCCAGGGTGTCGTCGATCCTGGGCAAGGGGTAGACGTCACGCTTCGTAACAGCGTTGAGCATTCTGTAGTCAATACGGAAGCGCACTGATCCGTCCTTCTTCTTGACTAATACGACTGGGAACCCCCAAGAGCCATTACCCTCCTCGATGACCCCGTCGCGCAGCATGCCCTTCACTTCCTTATCAATGATCTCGTGCTCACTCTGCGCGTACCGCCGCGGCATCACTTTAATCGGCGGCTCGCTGCCCGTATGTATCTCGTGCTCCACCGGCAGCGTGGTCACCGGTGGGCATCCCGTTCGTGGCTCTAGCAGCGCTGGGTAGTGCCGCAGCAGCTGCAACAGCAGCTCCTTGTCCTCGGCGCTCATGCGCCCGATCTTCAACTCGTCCTCGTTGCCCAGCGGGCCCGCGTTGCCGAACTTTTCGTCCAGCCATCGCTTGACCTTGTCGTTCGTCAGCTCGCCGTTGAGCTCCATCACCGTCATGTCATCACTCGTAGGCGCCCACGTTCCTAGTACCTCGCGTGATGGGAGCTTGGTCGTCGCCCCGACCAGGTTGAGCACGGGCACAACGACCTTGCCCCCGCGAACTGACGTCAGCGTCGGCGCCATTAGCAGGTTGCCCTTGCTCCTTGGCTTCGGCATGAAGATACCCACTGTCCCTTCGGGTGCCGCCACCGCCACCGTTACGTTACGGCACGTCTGTGCCTGCATTCGCGCTTTCCTCACCAGCCGCACCTTCGCCGGTCGCTCGTCGTACCGCTCTGCCTGCGAACACGTGAACGGCACCACCTTCTTTTCCCCGCTGTCGTACCACTTCATTTCGCATTGACACGAAGTCGATCTTGACTCCGCGCCTTAACATCCAATCCTCGCCTAAGAGGAACTCCGTGGTTGCGCCCTCGACGATGAGCGCGTCCACCTCCATGATCTGGCCGTAGTGCGTCCGCATACGGAACCTCCACATGCCCAGAACCTTGGCCACAGCGCCCGTAAAGCCTTCTACGTAGTCGACTGGCGGCAGCGCGTCCAGCCGCTCGCCGAGTCCACACCACGCTTCGCCGGCAACACTATACTGAGCACCGGTGTCCAGTTTGATCCTCTCGTCCTTGCCCCGGACTTCGACCCTCGCGGTAGGGAGTGAGTCCGCCGCTGGGGCTTGCACTGCTCGCAGACGTCCGATGCGCACGGGTCGCTGTTTTCCCTCGACTCGCTCCTCGCGCGGATGCGCGTACACGCTCCCACTGTGATATTCATACTGCTTCGCTCCTGGTAAACTTCCTCTCGACCGCCGCACCTTTGTCGCGCCTGGTAGCGCGATTCCAATCGCCTCCGCCTCTTCTTGGCTCAGCACCCGGGGCGCGCCCTTCCCGCACCTCCGAAAGTACTCCTCCATCACGTAGTAACCGCCATCGGGCCTCTTCAGGCGGTCCAACTCCTTGCGTAGAGCGCGCAACTCCTTGACACGGGCCTTGCGAACTCGTCGCTCGTATCGTCGCCTCGTTCGTGACCTCTGTAGCTCCGTGTCGCCCAACACCGACGCGGCTTCTTCGTCACCAGTATTCATGCGGCTAGCCAACATCGCGGCTCGCTGCTCAGCATCCTTGCTCGTGGCCGTCTCGCCTACTGCTGTCATGACGCTACCGCCCTGCGCCTCCGGCGCCACCGTGCCCGTCGCCTCACTGACTGCACGCCCATCTCCGAGCCGCTCTCCCTCCGCAAGTCGCTCACGCCGCGCGTGCGCGTGCTCCAGTCGTGCCTGCCGCTTCCGACGCTGCCGCTCGAGTTCTGCGGCCATCGCGTCTTCTTTCGCCGACTTCTGGGCCTTGACGAGCATCACCTTGCCCGCCGTCGCGTCGCCCGACTTCATCTCCGTCTCAATAGCCGCCTGCAGAGCGTCCGGCGTACCGCCGTCGTCCTCCGCGGTCACGTCCAGCTGCGCACCTTCCGACTCGCCACCGGGGTTCGTGGCCTTGGCCTCGCCGTCCAAGTCTTCCGTCTTCGTCTCGTCCATCGCCATCGCCAGCAATTCCTCGACCCTAGCCGCGATTTCTCCACGATCCTGGTCATCGCCTGCCACGCCCGGCGCCACCCCAGCATTCCTCCCCATGCAGGCGCCACTCGGCGTTGGTACCGCGTCGAACTCGAGGCCACCGTCGCACACCATGCCCTCCGACGCATGCTTCGCCATACTCTCCTTCTCGTCGGCCAGTAGCGCGGCCGCTGCTACCGGCTTGGGGCCCTCGCGTGTTTCCTGGCCGTTGCCCTTGGCCTCGGAGTCCACGAACCTCACGCTCCTCTTGGCCTCGCCGCCATGGGACGGCCACGTGCCCTCCTTCGCCTGTCGCGCCGCTTCATCTCCACTACAGAGCCGCTCATTGCATCGACTGCGCGGAAGCGCTAGTGCGGCGCGCACGGCGCCATCCCCAGTCTCGAACCCCCCGCGCTGCTCAATACGCGCCTTCGCCTTCTTGCCACACCGTCCTCGCGGTCTCTTGCCGTGCCGTTCTCGTCCCTGCGCAGGCCGTTGTAGTCCACCGGCCACTTGCACACTTCGTTCATCTCGTTCTTCCCCCGGATCAGGACTAGCGAGCGATAAGGCCGGGGCCCTTAGGCTCGCTGCACATTTCCCGACCCGTCGGCCGTTGTCGTCGTCGTGTCCTGGGCGGACGCGGCTGCATGCGCCGCCAGATCTTCCTTTCGTACGTCGCAGTCCCGCGAGTAGTGGCCTGCCTTACCGCACCAGTAGCAGTAGTCGTTCGGGCGGGCCCCGAAACCACCTGTCGTCGTTCTCCGCACGTACTGATCATTCCGCTGAAGCCGCCCTTCCCGCGTAGCGAAGGAGGGATCGGGTAGTCGTCCTCCTGCTCCTAGCTGGCCGCCTCCAGTGTGGCCCTCGACCATCAGCGCCTTGCCCGGACGCCTCACGAACTGGTCGCCGCCACCTTGACGCTTGCCGCGCCATCCACTTTGTTGCTGTACGGACGTCTGTTCGACGCCGCCACCCGTTTGAATTTTTGAACTGTTCGCCGCTGACCCCTGATTGGTTGGCACCAGCTGAAAGCCAGGTGGGATAGCCTTCCACCACTCGTCCAAACTGGCTTTACCGTTGCTTACCGGTCTCCCCTCAGTATCATAGCGGGGTGGCTTCTGGACCTTACCCCACATCGGTCCATAGCCCGTCACCACAGTCCCCTTGTTTCCGCTCAGTCCAGTTTGTTCCTGATCTCGTGCCGCTCTCGCCGCTGCCAGAGGCCCGCGCCCACTGGCGCTTTCGCGCTCGTCCCACGCGGCCATGGCCTCCTCCAGGCCCACGCCGTATCCCTCACCGTAGTCTCCCACATGCGGGATCGCAAGGTTCACTGCGTCGTCCAAGTTCCTGGGGCGATGGTGTTGCGCCGATCGTGCTACTCATCCCCTTCAAGAACGCGTTGACGAGCCAGTCCTCGCCGATGTCACCCTGCTCGGCTATCTCGCGCAGCGACTGCGCGTATTCCAGCAGTCGCTCGCCGCGCATCTGTCGCCGCGAGTTCAGCAAGTCCACGACCTCCGGCCCCGTCCTGCGCGTCATGTACTTCGCGCGTAACATGTCCGCCAGCGTGCCGATGCTCTCCTCCGACTCGGGCACTGTCTCCTCCCCACGGTGGCGAACCACCGCTGCGCCTCTCCCTCCAAGTGTGCAGCCACCTCATGGTAGAGCTGCTTCTCCTGCCACTCGACTCCCATCGTCACAGCTTGGCGGTGCACTTCTGCTCGGACGGTCTTCAGCCACATCGTCACGGGCATGGCGTCGTCAAGGCCCTTGAACTTTGTCAGCTTAAGCGACTTGGCCTTCTCGCGCACCACGATCGGCTGGCTTGGTACCCTCGCCGGCATCGCTGAATCCGTCGTCGCCGCTGGCACCGTACGCCGAGGTGGTGGGGTCCGCGCCGGCCCCGAACCACCGTGATCTCCGTCGTTCCTAGATGCCGTGACAGCTTGGGCCACGCCAGCTCCAAGCCCACCAGTGTTGTTGCCAGCGCCACCGGTGCCTTGGGTGCCACCGCTACGCTGCTCGCGCTCTTCTCTTGCAGCGGGCACTCTCCCAGCCACAGTCGCCACGTGTCCACTGCCAGCGGCTTGGCCATTGCCGCCGCCACCGCGGATTTCGCCTCCGTCGTGTTCGTCGTCCATGCCTCCGAGGCTCGCGCTTACTCCCGCTCCAAGTGGTGTGCTGCCCGTCGACTCCCAAATCTCCTCGGTGCTCAGCGTGACCGAGTCGCCTGTGTTCGTGTCCAACGTCCTAGCCGTCATCTGCTTCGCTGCTTGTTGTGTTCTTTCGATAGAAGCGGCGCGCCTCTCCGCGCGCTCGTCCCGTGGGGTGTTACTCGTCGCTGTCGTCATTTCCGCAGACTCTAATAGCGGTAATAAAATCAAAGTTTGCACTCCATTCTCATCCAAACTCATCCTTTCTAATATCGTCCATTTGCCCAGTGCGGATCGCTCATCCAGGGCCTCCTCATCGCCACTGACACCAAGCCCGCAGGAAGCCTCGAACACTCCTGCCCGGAAGGCCCCTGTATGACCACCATGTAGTTACCTCCGGGCCTCTCCCGGGTTAGATCATCAACTAGAGCCCGCCGCGTCCGGGCAACTAGCATCACCAGCACCCACCTCGTTCGGGTAACTAGCTTAGAATCACATCCTCAGAACTGTTCGTGGCCTGGCCACCTAGGCAACGGGTACTCACCGCCGGGTCGGGGCTGAGCATTCCACCAGCTAAGACTGGCCCTTTCCCCTTGAGGGTCCAGGATAGAGACGATGAGGAGGGAGCACTAAGCGTATATTTAAATATCATTGATATTCTTATATATTATGTGTGTGTCGTCGTCCCAGCAACACGCAAATAGATTACAACCGTACCATGCGTAAGATATTTAAGTTTGATGTAGCGCGAAGGGTACTGGAGCCGGTCGAGGACACAGCTACCCATAGGGCTACGGAGCACTGGCTTTTATTGCCCGCACAGGCACTTCATGCGCTCAAGTCCGTACTATCCGCGGCCACAAAGTCCTCAGGTTAGCAAATTCCGTGCTAGCAAGCTGTAAGTCCCTACACTAGTCATTCAAATTGTTCTTCCAGATGGCAAGTTTTGCCAACCTCGTGGGCATTACTTAAGATTATAATTTGGAAGATACTTAAGTAAAAATCTTCGAAACTTACAACATAAGGTTCTCTGTGGACCAGATGCACCAGCACACGCATCGCCATGAAGCCAAAGTCAGCGACCAAGCTGGTTGACAAGGTCTCTGTGGAGAAATCTACCAGTGAGCGAATTCCTTTGGATATGGGGCATCTAATCAGTAAAGGGGCATTAATTCTGGCAAAGGACACTTTGATTGTAGTATTGTTCGCTCTGCCACAAATTTCAGAGCTTTTTCGGGCCTCGCACTACTTTGTTACATCTATTCGTGATTCTTTTTTTTTCTTGATTATGTTAGGATGGAAATATGTTTGCTGTTGTTGTTTTTGTCGTTGGGGTTGTTGGAAGCACAAAACTGGGAAGCAACTTGCAAACGGGTCATTCGACATTAATTTTTATCGGCTAATGAATCCTTAGACGTACAACCAAAAAAATTACTTCAAAGTAAACGAAAACAACAGGAGCTTCGACGCAGCGATGGAATAATCCAGGTAAGATGGAAGTGCAGGGATTGAGGCGAATTGAAGTCAGCTTAGTAAAAAGATAAACTTTGATGGGGTTGCCTCAGTCGGTTGATTTTCAATAGAAAAACAATCACCGTCTTCGTTTTCAAAACGTGTCATTCTGTTGGCTTCTTGAGGGTTTGTCGCCAAAGCCTCAATCGTCTACCCAGGTTGATTTTGACGTTCACCATATTGCCTAAAGGCTCTTCACCGCCTCCTTCATTTTAAGATATCCCGCGCGAGTGCTGAATCGAGAAGAGCGCGGGCTTCGTAGCGTCTCAAGATGGTTCTCCATCTTCTGCACCGCTAAGCTGGATCATTTGTCCACGCATATACGTGCGACCACAACTACTTTTGCAGCTCCGTGGGATCTTTTTATCCGTGCCGACTTCAGCAGTTTGTCCACGCAGTGTCGTACGCAGATGATGATCTTTACCCCCAAACGCATCGTGGTGGTTGTCATCATACTAACAAGTAATTTCGATCTCCTCTTCCTTTCCATGTCCTTGGGACTCCGACCCAACGGACTTTAGCTTAGTTAGCTGTGGCCCTCGCTTCATGAACACCTTGGATCGCGGTGTTGAGCAAGTAAATAGCAGCAGCTTCGCCGGATAATTGAGAATCCGGAGCTTGGGCTTCGAGTCGCTGAAAGCCAACGCTGTCAAGGATCGCAAGAGTTTCCCCCATCAGCTCTTCCTCGAGGGCAATGCTGGTGGGTGGCAACTTTATCTTATCGAAGCGCTGATGGTCTTTTGTTCTGACGTACGTAAGTAGAAATTTGAAGTTTTGGGGCGATCAAAGGCTAGGTGGGACACTAGCAAGACTCGACTAATTGGAATGTCAGCACCGTAAGGTGACTAAAGCGCGTGATGCTGAAATGATACGAAGTATGAAACAATTGAGGCGAAACAACAGTCTTAAGCGAAAATTTATGCTGGGAACGTTAAAACTTGCTTGATCCTGCTCTCCAAACTAGATTTTCATCCACAAGTTTCTATCAGCCCCCGCAGCTGCATTGCATAACAAGCTGCAATGAAGTGAGTGGGTGTCGTCAGCATTTGTTCGTCACTTCTACAATTCTCTTTAGAGTGGTGCGCAGCTTACCCACACTTCAGACGTCGAGAAATACGCGCTCCTTCGTCCTAAAAGTATTGCTCCCACATTGCTGAGCTGATACACAAGATAACAAGCAGAATATGCGGTGTGGGACGAAGATATTATTCCTTTGCTTAAACCTGGGGGCTAGAACTTGGGCGTGCCACTTACAAATCTCCTTGCGAAAACCCCTGGATAGCGTGAAGTGAGTTACTAATAACTGTAGTTCCAGTTCGCAACTTAGTTGCTTACCGAGTGCGGCTGTGACTGCAACAGAGTCCGCAACTGCTTCGACAGTCGAATCTGGGTCGCCAGGTTCTCGCGTAGTTGGGCGTTTTGCTGTTCGGCCTTGCGCCGACCGAAAAACTCCTGCATCGCAACGGCGCGCCACGCTGTAGTTCGGCTATCACCATCACCCGCAGCATCAAGCGACCACGTTTGACTGCAGCTACTCTCGTCTGCTGTGACGGGCTCTGTTTCACCTTGTCTCGGATCTGCGCACGAGTTGAAGCGAGGAGAAGTTGGACTCTTCAAGGATTCGAGATGGGCCTCCATCTGCCGCACCACCGAGCGGAGCTGAATCAATTGCTCGCGCAGCCGAACGCGCCCTTGGCCGCGGCCCCGGCCGCTTGGGGTCACCTTCTCGACGACGTCAGCACTGTGAGGCGAACTGACACTTTGTGGGCTTCCGTGTGGGTGTGGCTTCGATTCTGTTTCCTGTCCTTGGACAGGCATCGCAGACACAGGATCTTCGAGTACGTCAAGGGCGGCTTTGAGCAGGTTGTCGTCCGCTGCGTCTTCTTCAACTATGAAGGGGGTGAGCACATCCAACTCCCCAGAGTCAAAGCTGTCGAGCACCGCGAGAGCCTCTTGCAGAAGCTCGTCGTCATTGAGGGTAGTGAAGACCACGGGGTCCATAGCGACTGGCGCTTGATGCGGCAAATTGTTAAATGCCGTCGCATTCGCACCGAGTCGCTACGGGTAGATGAAGCCTCAGCGCTGTTCGAGCGCGCATAATACCGAACAAAGTTGCGACCATTGCGAGCGAACGAAGTGAATTCCAGACGCAGTAGCACTCAAAGCATCAAATGTCGACGTGACTCTTTGGCATTGGCGGTCGGTCTCATGAAAGTAGAAGTGATATGAAGCTAAAAGGCCGGCTTCGATGCCTCGCTGTGCCAGGCGCTGGGGGTACGGCAAAGTTGAAGTGACTGGCTCAGATATAGATCATATTTCCATTGGGTTTACCATGAAGCCCCAAGGATCATCATCAAATATCTTGGCTCCGAGGGAGCAAATTCCATGTCACCATCGACTTTTCATTCATACATCGCTTCTCGGAGGCACTCGTCCTTCTACACACTGAATTCGCTAGCTAATTCTAATCGGAGTCGTTTTCATCCGAGGAGTCAATCACGATCACATCCCACGGGCGCACAGCGGACTGCTGCCCTTCAGCTTTCGCTGCTGCAGCAGCGGCGGCGGCTGCAGGGCCTTGGAGCTCCTTCTCCTCACGTTTCGTTGACCGCGTTCTTTTGGCTTTCGCGGCCGCAACAGCAGCAGCAGCGGGGCCGCGACGACGCGTAGCGACACGAGATGAAGAGCTTGCTAAACGATCGCCTCCTTTCTTTTCTTCTTCTTCGTCATCTTCATCATCGTCGTCACTTTCGAGGTTGATCACATCATCGTCCGGGGGAGCAGCTTTCTTCTCTTCAAGATCAGCAGTGTCACCGCTACCGCGCTTTTCCGCCGCATCAGCCTCATCGTTGTCCACAGATTCTTTGGGATCTTCCTGCTGCATCTGCGCTGTCTCCTCCGTAGCCGTTAATTCCTTCTTCTGTTCGCCAGCAACCTCCACCTTCACAGCGTCGTTCTTATCGGCAAGAGACTCATCGGAGCGCACGTTATCCCTGGCTGCGTTGCTCTCAATTAGTTGGCGCAAACGCACCGTCGGGACAAAGTAGGGGTCTTCCTCCCGCATCCCGCGAATATCCCGGATACGACGTCTATTATCCGCTTCTTGGGTCGGCTCTGGTCGCGAAGAATGTCTGTCTAACTCAGCAGGGGTCTCCCTAGCTTCGCCGCTGGCCACATCAACGTATCCATCATTAGGGCTTCGATATGCACGTGCCTTGACGATCAGGTTGCGGCAGGCCAGCGAAAGGGCCGTCACGTAGTTTTCCACCCAGCTTGAGCTCGGAAACGCACTCGTTTTGTTCGCCGAGTTGAACAGCGGCAGCTTCCAAACTGAAGCCAGGTGTTCATCAAGTCCATAGCACTCTACACCCTGAAGCAACAGAATGTCGTGTCGCGGGCAGCTCCACCACACGGGATAGTCTGTAGAAGTCGACTGAGCTCGAACAACCCGAGTCACTAATTCCACGAGCTGTGCCGGCGGCAACACAAGAATTTGCGTTCGAAGCAGCCGGAAGAGATCCACGCGATGCAGCAAGCGTCTACACTGCGTGGTGGTCAGCAGCCAGAATCCACGTTTGCCGCCGAGAATTGAGTTCTCCTGGCTGGCTTCCGCGATCCTCCCATCACCATCACTGTGCAAACGCTGGCGACATACACGCTCCAAATCCAATGCTTCTGCAAGCAGCTCTTCCAGCGGGTGGTGCCCGATACCAAGCTGGCTATCCTGCAAAAAGTATCGCCACTTCTCGTTGCGCTCACGGTCGTCACGACACGTGCTCACATCTGGAATACCGTAGGAAAAAATCAATTTCGCAAACTGATTGTGGCGGGATCCATGGAACGACGCACTGGAGTAGTGGCGTGTTTGCTGTGCACGATGCTGCTCCTCCAGCTGACGACGCAATTGCTGATGTAATAGTTCCTGTTGACGCTGCAGCTGCCGCTGTTGCTTTGCTGAAGTCACGCCTAAAGGTGGAGCGACTGATGTCGGGACAGGCGCAATAGGTTTCACCTTTTTGACAGCAGTCCACACATGGAGCAACACCTTGACGCGTCTATTAAGTCCTGCAAGACTTGGCCACTCTGCAATGGGGTATCGCTTCGCACGATCTCCGAACAACGATGACGAATCAACAAGCCAGATCGGCAAGGTCCGCCCCTTTATCCATCCCTCACGACACACATACATCAGGAGCAAAACATCATCGACACGGGAAATCCACCATGGTGCCACCGCCTCTGGAGAGGTTACAGGTGAAAGCGCTTTCAGTATCCGCATCGCCGCCTTGTGTTCAGCCTTCAACTCCACTGGTTCTTTCTTTTGCTGCTCCTTTGGTGCAGCATCGGGGGCGGCCAGCTTCGAAGTATTAGTAGCCGTAGCTGAATCAGGTAGAGCCGGCGACCCCGATGTATCCTTCACAACAGGCTTTTCAGCGCTTGGTGTTTCTTTGCTTCCTGCGTCAGGCCTTTCAGCGCTTGATGTATATTTACTTCTCGCGTCGATGGCAGTGTTGGTTGCTCCCTCTCCGCCGCTTGAACTGGAGATGTCTTTGGCTTCTTCATTGCTGCTAGATTCCAGCGCAGCACTTGTCGTACTATCCGAAGCAATGCCTGAACTCGATGGCGCTGTAGTAGACGCGCTCACAGGTGCATCTTCCGACGTAGTCGCCTCCTTTGTATAGGTGTCATTTGCAGATTCTGGAGCAAGGGGCTGCGCAGGAGCAGCTGGCGTAGACTCGTCGTTGTCCTTGCTCTTCGGAGCATCCGCAGAACAAGTAGACGCGTCTGGCTTCTCTTCATCTGCCGATGCGGAGTTTTGAGCAGTGACGGCATCTTTTTCCTTGCTAGCACTGTCAGTAGCGTCGCTGGTATTGGCGGGAGCCTTCGCAACGGAAGATTTAGAGATAACCGTGTCGGTTTTCCCTTCAGGCAAGCCCGCATTATCCGTTTTCGCAGCTTCTTCAGGTGAAGCAGCATCAGTCCGTGGTACTGGCAACGTGCCTGACTCGATCATTCTGTGAACTTCAGCTTCATCCCCAACGTGTTGCAGCTCCTTGAGTAACTCGACAAGCGGTGCCGCAGGCACAAACCTTTTTTGTACAAATTGGCTCAAATTGTACATCGTGTCAATCTGCTGTAGCTTCGAACGACAGCCACGCGCTGCTCGACTTTTAAAGTCTGTAATCCACATCCGGGGTGGAGTCGTCACAGCAAGCAGATTTGATACTTTCATATCGTTCAGCATGGCTGGAAGGAAATGGAATCGACGACACGCACCATTCAGCTCACTAGCATACCTCTCAATTGGAGAAGCATTTCCCAAACGCGGTGGTGGAGTCGCCGTTGAGACGATGTACACTCGGCTTGGCTCAAGATCCAGCCCAATACGTGGAAACGCTGCCATCGCTGTTGTTACTCGCACTAAGCTGGCGAGGTACTCTTGGACAAACTTGATCAGCTCATTATCCGGATACGCTTGCAATAGTGTCGCAGAACGCTTGATGTCATCCCATCGACCATATCCATAAGTTCCAAGAAGCTCCGTGATTCGCTCCACATGGTAGTGGATCGGTACTGACGGTGGTGCATGCGCACGCTTACGCTTCCCATTGCCATTCGCTCCCAGTAAATCATCCTTCGCCATAGCCACATCACTCGAGTCGTCATCGTCGTCGTCGTCATCATCAGAAATTACAAACTCCTCATCCTTCTGTACGCCTAGCTCTCGGAATATTTTCTTACGTGACGAAGACGCTTCATCTCCGCTGTCGTCCATCATGAAGGCCTTGTCATCATCAATCAGGTAAGATTTCACTTTTCGGCGACAACGCCTCTTTTGCAAGGGCGAAGGCTCCTCCTTCTTCTGTTCCTCCACTCCATTTAAGCCGATCACCTTGGTCCAGAAGTTGGGATCATCAATATCTACCTCTTCGTCTGGGTTCGTCGAACTCACGAAAGTGGCCTTCGAAAATGATGACATCGCATTCTTCTTCTCGTTCCCATCGGCGTCTCGTGTGGGATCGTGCACGATCGTGGTACTTCGGCTTAGAATTTGATCGATGCTTTCCTCTCCAAACTTCTTGCTTGCAGCCTCAGCCTCACTTTCCTGCTCTTTGAACATTTCGTAAGCACCATGCTTCAGCAAATTCTCGATTTCCTCCTTGGACATTCGATCGTTTGGTTTGCTCGTTTTCGCCGATCCCTTGAGTTTGGCAACGGGGTCGTCATTCTTAATCCCTCCAAGCACCGCTTGGTCTAGTCCCAATTTCAACGACGCCTTGTGGAACATGTGCAGCTCGTAGGTTTTCGACGTGAGCAGCCGGTAAATCTTCACACTTTTCTTTTGGCCGATGCGATGACAGCGAGCTTGCGCTTGAAGGTCGTTTTGGGGATTCCAGTCGCTGTCGTAGATAATGACAGTGTCTGCTGCTGTCAAGTTAATACCCACACCACCTGCCCTAGTGCTCAGCAGCATAATAAATGAGGTGCTGTCTTTTCGACAGAATCGATCAATAGCCGACTGCCTCTCATTGCCCGTAATGTTGCCGTCAATGCGCTCACAGTTGTAACGACGCAATGCCAGATAATCCTGAATAATGTCCAGCATAATCTTGAACTGAGAGAAAATCAGCACGCGGTGACCAGTTTCTTTTAGGCGTGGAAGCAGCTTGTCCAGCAGGACTAGCTTACCAGACGTGTCCACAAGACTCTCACGAATTTGTCGTTGAATATCCTCCTTAGACACAGAGGTCTGTTTGGCCAGCCGTTTCACCTCGCGCTCCTCCACACCCTTAACAAGGAAGGGGTGGTTGCAGCACTTGCGGAGCTCCATAAGAACATTCATCAAGCTGGGGGTGTCTCCCTTCTTGCCACCCCTTGAGAGAAACTCCGTATTCTTTTCGTAAATAGCGCGGTAGTATTGCTTCTGCAGCACAGTGAGCTCCACCTCAATAATGGTCTCTTCCTTGGGGGCAAGCGACTTCTCCACATCCTCCTTCATACGACGCAGCAAGTATGGCTTCAGCTCAGAATGCAAGCGTTCAACCTGTGCGGAATCCGTTAACTCGCCAAAACTCTCGAGGAAATCCTCCTTGGAATTAAATTTCTTGTCGTCGAGAAAGTTCAAAAGCACCCACAGCTCCTCCACATTGTTTTGAAGCGGCGTACCCGTCAGCAGCAGCATATTTTCGAACGTAAATCTTGTATGCAGCAGATTAGACAGCTTCGAATTCCGGTTCTTCAAACGGTGAGCTTCATCCACGACCATCAGCTGCCAATTAATTTGTGCCAGCTTATAGAGGTCCGTAGCAGATGCCATTTCATACGTCGTGATCAACACATCAAATCGATAGCAGTTTCGCTTCGGTCGTGGGGGAGCCTTTTTACCGTTGCTGTTCGTCTTTCCGGACAGCCCATCGGCGCGCAGTAGTTCATCCTCTGTTAGGAAGAATTCATAGTTTTGCAAAATATCTCGCGCAGCAGCTGAGCCGTGGTACACCACAGCATTCAGGTTGGTCCAGCACTCAAATTCACGTTGCCAGTGGCCTAGCGTCGACAGTGGTGCCACGATAATGAACGGGTTTGGCGTACGCTCGACAACCGCGAGATGGTTGATGTACATCACTGTCTGCACAGTTTTGCCGAGGCCCATTTCGTCAGCAAGCATGGAGTTGCGCTTCTGGTACCAGTTGAACAGCATCCAGTTCACGCCAGTAAGCTGATAGTCACGCAGCTGGAAGCTTTGTTCTTTCCTGCGTGGCGGTGGCGCCTCGGCGGTATAACCCCTGAAGTTTTTGCGCTTGCTGTTCGGTAGGTGCTTCGCGAGGGCAATCTTCCTAAAGCGTTTTGCAGCTCGGACAATTCGATCATTGTACTGCTGCACCGCCGCGTCGTCACCCACATCGTCCTCCCGCTCCCATGTGATGTCGTCATAAGATAGAGCCTTCCACTTCACCAAGAAATACTGAAACTTCTGCTCGCCATCTTCCGCATCATCCGGAGCAAAGTCGTCCAGCGGCCGGTCTCTAATTTCAAGAATGCGGTCGACACTTCGGAACTCCGGGTTGAAGTACTCGTCACCTTGCACTTCCTGTGTATAAAGAGCTCGGTGTTCTTTCTCGCTGAAGCGCTGGATCTTGCCCTTTGCGTTCTTGTCTGTCTCCATTAATTCATCTTCCGTTTGCCAACTGGTGTGCAGGTAAGATAGAGTCTTCCATTTGATCAGAAAACGCTCCTCTCCAGCGTCTTCGACCTCGTCGTCGTCTGTGCTAGCCTTGGGCGTGGACGCCGTCTCCGCTGCTGATTCAACCGCTTCCGAATCGGGCTTGTCACCATCCTCCTTCTCTTTCTGCTCCTGCATTTCTTCCGGCTTGTCGTCTTCTTCATTAGGCAGGAAAATGGAGCAATGCGTCAGGAAGCGCGTGTTCTTGTTCCAGCACATCTTCTTCCACTCCTTGAGCGTATGCACCTCGCGGCCCAACACCTTGTCAATAATGAACCCGTCTGAGTCGGGCTTCGGTCTCGTCTCCACCACTTCCACTTCGCTGTCTTCACCCGACAAATTTTCACTAGATTCCGATGACGAGCGTTTGCGTTTGCCTTTGCCCTTCGCTTTACCCTTCGTCGGCGCCTTCTTCTTGGGTTTCGGCTTGGGCTTAGGTTTCTCCTCCTCCTCGTCGCTGCTCATCATGAAGTCGTCTTCCGACAGGTCGATCACATTCTGCACCGGCTTGCGTTTGCGTCCACTGCGACGCCTGTTCGGGTCTTCTTCGGGCATCTTCTCCTCCTCGGAGGGGGTCTCCACCGACTCGACCGACTCAACGTAATCCTCCGTGGTGTCTTCATCCACCTCCTCATCCTCTTCATCTTCTTCGTCTCCATCATCTTTAAAGTACTGATCCAATAAAAAAATACAAAAGCACGAAAGTTTAGAAAAAATAAAATAAGTAAAACCTAGAATAAACTTAAGAAAAAATACCTGGACAGGCTTGCTCGCCTCGCGTCGCCGCTTGGCCGGCCGCGCAACTTCAGGTGAGTCCGCAGTCGCCTCCTCCAGCGCGTTGGTGCGACGCGTGCGTAGTTTGGGCCTGGGCTTGACGGTGGAGCCGCCAACAGTGATCTCGCAATCGGAGCCGGAGCTCGACAGCTCCACGGTCTCCGCCGCGGCGTTGCGCGTGGACTGCAAGCGCAAAAAGTTGGCACAATTACAAGGTTAGAGTCTCTAACGGATGCGCATCGTACTCATACGCACGCGGAGGCACTGGGGAGGCCGCAACGTACCATGATCGTCGGGGCTTCCTGTCACACGCGCGCGCAGCACTTTCAGGTTAGGCTTTCGTCTCGACTTGCTTGGGCTTAATTATGGAGGAAGGAGTGAAGGTCACGGTTGAACTCGAGGGGGTTGATTGGTCGAAACGCGCTTTACGAGGGCTGGGGGTATCGTTTTCTGTATTTTGGGATTTCGAGGGGAATTTAGACTTTCGGGGGGGGGGGGGGATTTTTGACGGAGGCGACGTCGACAAGCCAGAATGAGTGGCTTTGGGGGTCCATATATGAAAGTTTGTATGGGCGGCAATGTTCTCCGGTCGTTAGATACAAACTTCAACATGTCGTTGGCGGTGGTGGTTGGCGGTGTTTGCTCCGATTCCGGTGCTGTGGTTTGCAGTTTTTCATTCATTTGCAGTGCAATTTGATAGTTGAAGTTGTTTTGCTCTGAAGTTGGTTCATGACTCAGCTGATGGGCTACATGTTCGGTGATAGCTGTCGGGTTTTTAATCGAGCGTGACGCCATGACCAATCCTTCTTTCATTGTTGCCAAAGTTGAAGTTGGCGGTGCATCTTCTCAGGAGAGCTGCCGGTATTCGCTCTAACTGTATAAGTGTGTTTATGTTTAGCGGGACAAGGCTTAGACTGAGGCTTAGACTGCTTTACACTTTATATAGCTGGGAAAAGCGCTTCAAGTGCCTTCACTGCCTCGGAGCTGCATTTATTACGTACAGACTGTGCGTAATAAATGCTAGTACTGTACGGTACAGTACTAGCAACGCACTTCAGCACCAATTTTAATCCGGCAGCGCAGCTCCGGTATAGGATGCCATGTCTTCTGGCCGATATATCAAACCGGCGTCATGTTGATCGCTCTGCTTTCAGCCAGCCGAATGCCTGCATACCACCTGGCCGACACAAATGCACGGCAGAGCTGTGCAAGTCTCGCTTCTTGCCTATCAGCCCTTATAGGGAGGGGCGGTCATCCTCTAAAGGGAGTGGCCCACATGGCTACACGAACATGCCAAACGAGCGCATATCACTCGCCCAAAATGGATTAGATTGGGTTCCTCCGACTCTTTGGCCCAAAATACCGCCGAAAAGTCCGTATCAGTTTCCTCACTCGCCAATATCCCAACAAGCTTGGAGACGCCCCATCGCCTCCGTCCTGCGTAGCTCGATGCGCCTCCCCGCCGCCGCCACGCCGGACATGGACGCGCACCCCAACCAGGAGAAGCACCAGTCGTCCAGCCCCGAAGAAACGGAGGGGGAACTCTACGTCGGGTACGAGTTACAGCAGTTTTACGCCGTCCCAAGAAGCCGTTATCAGGCTTTAAGTTTCTTCTACCGTACTCAATGCACAATATGCTTTTACTAACGCTTATTGTTTATACGTACGCAGCGAGGACGGACTCATCTCCGTGGCGCCGATGGACGACAAGAGCCGTCTCGACAAACTCAAGCTGCAGCTCGAGCACCGCGAGCAGGTACGGCGCTGTGATACGCAGCAGGAGAAGGAAGACGCTTGAGTTGTCGGATTGCTGACTATTTCATCATTTTTTTAATGTTGGTAGGAGCTTCGGCAGGCAGCTGAGTATGGACTGGGGCTGCTGGAAGCCAACGAGGAGCTGCAGATGCAGGTGGCCACGCTGAAGATCCAGTTGGAGACCGAGACGGAGGAGCTCTCAGTGGAGCGAGACATGTGGCAGCGCCGCTCCGAGCACGCACTGCAAGAGGTGGCGCAGTGGAAGCGCAAATTTGCGCGTGTGGAGGAGGAGAAGGCGGATCTGGCGGAGGAGTTCGAGCAGTTCGTGGACCGCTGCGAGTGTCGAGCACCGGATACAGTTACTGGTGATGCTTCTGCTTCTGTTCCTGCCGCAGCGACAAGCAGTGGACGCAGGTATTCGCATCACTTGGACACGATCGCGCAGCTTCAGACGGAATTGCAGGAACTTCAAGCTACTGAACGCTCGAACGAGGCGGAACTGACGTCATTGAGACAGTGGAAGGAGGTGGCGGAGCAGCAACAGCAGGAGGCACTCGAGTGCGAGGTGCTTGCTGCACAGAGTGAAGTGTCGTACAGGAAGAGAATGGAGGAAGAACGCACTACCACTCAGCGTGCCATGAATGAACTCAAGGGCGAGAAGGATCAGTTGCGCAAAGCTGCGCAGAAGTACGAGGAGGAAATGAGAGCGTTGAAGAAACAGCTACGGATAGCAGAGGAGGCCAAAGATGATGCACAAGTGCACAGCAATGAGCTCAGTGAAAAGCTCCTGTCGTCAGAGTCGCGGTGTAAACGGCTTCAGCGCGAGTTAGAGTTGCTGGAGCATGTTTCCTACTTCTCGCAGGCCATCGTCGACTGTGATGACGAAGCTAGCGACGAGGACGATGAGATCATCGTAGAGAATGAGTTACAAACGATTGTCGAGCCTGAAAAGGCGAAGGTGAAGAGGATCGACACGAACGCTGATGCAACTGAGAACGAAGCACAAGACCCTGCCATGCCGTCGCCTTTGAGGATCAAGCGGAGACGGTCGTTCTTGGTGGCAACTGCGACTCCGTATTCATCATTCCCGACGACCACAGTTGCCGAAGACGGAACCCGCGTGCAGGTATCAGAGTCTGAGATGGAGACTCACAAGAAGCTCCACCACTACTTCCACCTGTCGGCGCTCAGCATCATCAACGAGAACAATTTGCACGAACGCTGCTTCAATTCTTCCAGTCGTCTCACGATCGATATGTGGTACCGCGAGATTATTGCGAAGGAAGTCCCGTTCTTGTCGTGGCACTCGTGGCTCATCAACCGCATCAGCGAGGTCGCTGCGTCAGTGCAGGACGATGATGAGGTGCCTCAACCGCCAACATCCGCTTCCAAGACATCGAGTTTTAGCGGCGCGTTCCACGGGTTTTCAATGCGGAAAACTAGCGCCAGCAGTGATACTTCACCCCCAAAGAACGTGCTTCCCTCTCCACCGACGGTATCGTCATCGCCAGCGTTATCTCCGGTAGCTCGCGTGCCATTTACGGTGGCTCGTGCGTTTTTCCGCTTGCTGCGGAAAAATACTCATGCAGGTGCAGGCTCTTCATCAGTGGGAGGGTCTCCGGTTAGTGGGTCGCCTACCGGATAGAACGATTCAGATGCTACGTATCTACAAGTCCCCGTGTGCTACCATTGCTGAAATGAGAACCTGATGTATATGTAGTTAATCCGTGTTGCCAGTATTGCTTGAGAGACCAAAAGAACTTGGTATTCGTGATCCGAAAGATGTGGATCTTTGTTGAACACCAAGAACTTCTGCCTGTTGCCAGCACCAGCAAGTATTCACCTCAAGAGCGAAGGCGCACGTAATCACCACCGCACTGAATGAAGGTGAATATCTCCAGTACTTCATTGTGGTGCGTACGAGTTCAGCACGAAATAAGTCAGTAAAACCCAGACCAAGTCAGCAAGATCAAGCGAGTTGCCATTGTTTGCGGATTTGCAGCAACAGAAAGCGAAAACGTGGCACGGGTCTGATGACTCGTGGGTCTTCTGTCGCAAACTTTGTGATTTGTCTCGTAATGCTCATCCCCGATGTTTCGTATTGAGGAGACGTATCTTTCACTTTGCTTCACTGCTTCGGCACTAAACGTTCACATCGATAGTTGCCGCGCACGGCGGAATGTATGCATCACCATTTTCCTAGCAGCCTCTAGGCGAGACTCGATAGCGTCAACCACCGCTGGTCAAGGCTTCATGGGCCCTAACGAGCACGATGGCTGACCTCAGTTTTCAATTCCCTGCATCCAGAGCAAGCAAGCGTCATTCACTGTGCAATTATGGAGCTGCCCTCTCTCAGTATCGTCAACGACGAAGAGCTGATGGATGAAGCTCTCGCGATCCTCGACAGCGTCGACATCGAGCGTCTCGGGGCTTCGGCCCCAGAACCTGCTCTAACCCTCCCTGAAGAAGAAGCAACTCAACAAGATGCTGCCGACGACTTGCTCAAGACCGCGATTCAAGCTGTCCACGCTGCGTATCCTGAACACGGGGAACCACACGACAACTTCAAGAGCCACTCCAAGTCCTTTGAATCGAAGTCGCGAGTGCCGGAGCAACCTGATAAGGCAGCAACGACCTGTCAGGACGGCAACAATCAGCAAGAAGCTGATGGCGGTAGCAGCCTCCCCATGCCAGTGCGTGGCCCGCTGCGCATATACACCACTGTTGTGGAGAAGCAGGCTCCACGACCTAGAAGCGGCGGGGGTCGTACGCGTATGCGCGAGCAATTGATCCAGCTGCGCTCGGTGGTGCAGAAGATGGAGCATCATCTCGAGACTCTACGAAGTCCACGCTCTCCTCGATTCACGGAGTTCCTTGAGGACAACGAGGCAGATGAGAAGGGAAGCAAGCGCGCTGCGGACGATATCTCGGGTGACGCCGCGGTGTGGCGCAACATTGCAATGCAGCAGTTCCATGCCCGTCGTAAGGCTGAGAAGCAGAATGCGGAGCTGCGCGAAAGCCTCGAGGCTCAGATTCAACTGTCCAAGCAAGTTGAAGACCTGATCCAGGCCCACCAAACGGACCCTGTAAGTTTCCTTAGAATGTAAACATTGGATCTCTCGCTTGGAAACTCATCTGTATTTACCTTTTGTGCGCAGAATCTGAGCGTGACACTTCCGTCGACCTCGGAGACTAAGGGTGATCAAAAGAAGGCAAAAACCATGGATAGCCACGACTAAACGGTCTGATCGCAGTCCCCAAGAGGCTTTCATGACGTTGCGTCATTACAAGACGCAGCATCCATCTACCACTTTACCGTAGCCTCGTAATTACGATAATCCCGCAAGAATCGAAATGATGAGGCCAACTCCCAGGAATGAAGCAAGTCTAGCGAATTTGTCAGGCAAGTGGTTGAGTCTTTCCAGTCGGAACTCCTCGCTGATGTCCTTGAGCTTGACGATACTGACCACCAGCAGAAAGTTTCCCAGATGACCCATCGCAATGCCCAACACGAGCAGCATACCGTAGAACGACACCATCAGCAGCAAGAAGCCCTGGAAGCTCCACTGGAAGCCCAGTCTCAGCGCCAGCGACGTATCGGACCGCCCCATTCGTCGAGCAAACGGCGCGTCCCGGGCACTCTCCAGGACCAGGAAAGCCCACGCGAAGAGCATCACCAAGTACGCGTACAGCACCACGGCCCACGGCACCTCCCCAATGAGGTAGACAGAGGTGCTGAGCATAGCCACAGGCCCAAGAGCCCACGCCACCACAACTTCCCGAAGCCCGACCATAGGCAGTGGCTCCTCCCCACGGCGACAGTAGATCAGTGCCAAAGTGACCAGCAACGCCATCCCTCCCGTAACTTCAACACTTTTGTCACAAATGACATGAGTCACCCCCAGCAGCGCCAGCTGAATGCCGTAAAACAGGAACGACCAGCGTCGAACTTGCGTCAACGAGAGTAAACTGCGGTGCACAAAAGAGCGGTCAAATTTCGTGATACAGTTATTTGAGGGACTGGCAAAATTATTTGAGGCAAAATGAAAACTACTTGAGGATGATCTTGCCGTCGGCAGCTCCCGGCTGTTTGGGCTGCAGCGTGCGCTGGAAGTTGCTGTACACGGCGCTGAGGTTGCCCAGCAGCTGGGTCAGCACCGCGCAGCCCAGGGCGGCCAGCGCGTCCAGCTGCAGGAGAGACACGCCGTGCGACTTGTACAGGAGACTCGCGGTCATGAGCACGGGGCACGCGGACGCAAACAACGTGCGCGGGCGCAGGGCGCTGCGGACGCTCTTCACGTACTCCATCTTGGTTCCCCCGAACTTTTGGACAAAAAGTAATGTACAGACTGTACAGTACAGTCCACAAATGTAGCCATTTCACTGCTACTCACCGCGAGTAGCAGTGAAAGCGACGACCGTTGTGGGCATGAGAATGAACCTTGCGAGCTGGCTCAGATGCGTTCGCGGGTCTAGTGCAGCCATACTGCAGTGAACTGGTAGCATCTCGAGTCGAAAGTACATGTAAGCGGTGAAGTACATGCTGAACGGTTGAGTCGCAATGGAATTGTCCTAAGCGGTCAAATCTTGGATGCAGGAATCTATGAACTTCGTCTTGAGCGTGCGGAAGCGTGGACTGTTTGTGTTACTGATAGCACTGCATCACGTGAGTCGACCGCCGTAAACGTTGCTGGCGAATGGTGTATTAATCAAGGCTGCTAAGCTCATACAGCAAGGAAGGATTCCTACCGTACTCAAAACTGCCAGGAGCAAGGCGAGGAACCCACGCGCAAGCAGTTAACGGCAAAACCGCCCATCTAAAACGCCAGGCTGCAAACGCTGGCTGACCCAGCTCCGTCTTGCCAACCGCTTTGCTGTGCGATTCGCACAGTGCGAATTTTCTGCGAAAACATCCACATCGCTTAATCAATCCCAGCTGTTGCCTGCTCGAAGAAGCCTCGATCTTCAGCGATGCAGGCACGCTGTCCTTACATTGGCACAGTACGTAAGCGACTATCCGTTCGCTCGTCGTAAACGTCTGGGCTGCCAACCGTCACAGTCACTTCCCAAATCGCCAGGCTCAGCGCACATCGCACAGTCGGACGATGTTGGGGAGCGCTGGAAACACGACAGCGAGGACGGCGGAGGCCGCGAACTTGCAGCGCAAAGACTCGGACACGCACTTGAGCGTCATCGAAGTTTCGGATGGAGAAACGACGTCGTCCTCTTCGGACCCGGAGGACCACCAGACATTCGTAGAGCCCTCCGCCGACAAGACCCCGGAGGCTAAGCCAGCCCCGACGAACGCCGCACCGACCAAGGTACTGTTCCTCGACGGCATTCGCGGACTTGCGGCCATCTTGGTGGTTATCCAGCACTCGCACGAGTACCCGACACAAGGGCTCCACCTCGGCTCAATCGCCGTCGACGCGTTTTTCGTCTTGTCCTCGTTCCTGCTGACGTGGCTGTTCATGAAGAAGAGTATGAAGCTGCTGGCGCAAGAAGCCAGCCCTCGGTCGTGGGCGTTCGCATTGGTGGACTACTTCCAGAAGCGCTTCTTCCGTGTGTACCCGCTGTTCGCAGTGACGGCGACGGTGCTGTCCTGCATGTCGTTCGAGAACCAGCACCGGTACTTCCGCTTGAAGAAGCCCGAAGACTTTGAGCTGAGCAAGGTGCTCGCGTTCTACACGGGCTACCGTCCTCACGTGTTTTGGACGCTGCCGTTGGAGATCGGATACTACTTCGTGATCCCTGCGTTCGTTTTGGTTACGCTGAAGTTGCGGCGCTACTGGTGGATTGGAGCGGTGCCATTGACCGTGTGGATCGTATACGAAGGCTTTTACGTGTACCGTAACAGCCACATGCCTCTCACGCCTCACCTCCACACGTTCATGGCGGGGTCGTTGGGGGCTGTAGTGTTCGTCAAGGCGGACTTGTGGATCAAGAAGACGGGGTTCAACTTCCGCTGGTGGCACACGCTGCTTCTTCGCGTAATGGAGGGAGTGGCCATTGCGTTGATGCTGAGCGTGTCTTTCCAAGGTTTGTTCTTCGACTGGGTACACAAAGACCCCGTGCCGGCGGCTCCGGGCTTTGGCTTTGTCAGCGCGCAGATGACGACGGTGTTCGTGATTGAAATGATCCGTCCGTCCTGCATCTCCACCATGTTCGAGTGGAGCGTGCTGCGCTACTGGGGCAAGATCAGCTTCTCTGTCTACCTGCTGCACTCGTTCATCGTGGACTACCCTCCGATCAGCCACCAGAAGAAGTACTTCAACCGGTTATTTGCTCGATTCGGCTTGATCTTGCTGCTGGCGACGGTGAGCTACCACCTGATTGAGTACCCGTCGCAGTTGTTGGCGCAGCGAGTATCGCGCTTCCTCGCCGCTCGAGAAGGAAACAAGTCGGGAGGTGGTCTGGTCAGGTTCACGTGCATGGAGCGGATCAACATGAGGAAGCAGAAGGTGCCTGTAGAGGTGAAGTGAGCGTGTGCATACAATAGGAACGTAATATATGTGGAATGAGAGCTGTCGATATAACTCGTCTTTGAGTAGAAGGTGGTGCAGCTCCTTCTCGACCAAGGCCGAATCAAAGCCACCCGCGTCGAGCTCTGCGCAACACCTGATAGAGATCGACAGTCACTCGATCCGGAAAACCACGAGGCAGTTCCCCTCCTTGTTGCAATCCCAGCAAAGCACGCGACTCGAAAGCCACCAAAGTAGCAGGAGCGGCGACAACAATCGAATCTTGGTCGGAGAATGTCACACCCAAATCTTGCACCGTGTACAGCTTGTACTCAGCGCGCGTCAACGTGGGCCAGATCGCCACACAAAGGACGTAGCGAACGCCCACAAACGTCGACCACCGCTTGGCCTTCCAGCCGAGTTGGCCGACAGCATCCCCCCCAGCGACGAGTAAGCCCAACTTCGACCTTGAGCGTGTGCCATTGCCAATAACTCTGTAGTTCTCCAGGCAGGGGGCCAGCGAGCGGTCCATAGCTCAAGTCCGCCTCGAGTCTAGGTTGAGTGGTGCGCACAAACGCAGTCATGTAGCTATTCAGGTGGTCGTCGACGATGTCGTCGTGCAGGAAGCTCCGATTGAACACCGAGCAGAACAGGCCGCGCTCTGGCGACGGCAACTCCACGATGAAGACCTGACCGTCACTCCACGCCAAGTGAATTGACTTGAGCTCGTGGTCCTCACTTTCGATAAACGCGTTCCATTCGTCCTCTGTCGCCTCGCACACGCGAATGGTGGTGCCTTCTGGCAGCGTCAGCTCGTGGTTTGAGCAGAGTGTAGCGATTGCCCGGTTGATACGATCTAGCGCCATAGCTTCTTGGTTACCGCCGATAGATCGCAACTGCGACGAGGTAAATTGACGTTTGAAAGTGACGCGGCCGATGAAAGATCCACAAGTTTGTACAATATATTCACTCATTTCAGAAGCTGTAGGTAAGTTTCTAGCCGGTGATGACACGCACACCTAGCGCTGCAACTTGGTGAATGTGCTTGGTGCCAGGCTGTCGGATGAACATCATGTTGGGCGGGACTCGCAGCTCGTCCGATAGCCAGTGGACAAAGGCAGCGTCGAAGCTCGAGCCGCAAACGTGCACGAAATCGATCTTCAGTTTCGGGTACGTCAGGTCAAATACGCGCGTCATCTCTATCATATCCTCCACGTTCTCCCGCTCGAGTTGCCGCCGCTGCACATCGGCCTCTGTCACCTCAGCGCTGCTGTCTTCGTCCAAATCGGCGTCCTCACTCACGTGAACAATGTGCAAATTGTGTGTCTGCTCGTTCTTGCGCACATAGAGAATTGCCTTGTTGAGCAGAGGCAGATCGGGCGTCTTGAGGAAAAATACAATAGGCGGGAGATGAATCTCCTGCAACACCGCCGTAATAGTGCGCCCTCCTTTAGCACCTGTGCGAGACCCGTCCTTCACTTTGCCTTGAGACTTGGCCGCTTCAATATCTTCCACCGCACCGTCGCGAGCACCGCGAGAAGGGAAAAGTTGTTGCATGATGTACAGCAGGATGCGCAGGATGAAGACGCGCTCCAGCATGATGAACATCGTGGAGGCGAAGACCACAAAGTACAGGGCGAAATAGGTGAAAATGGCGGGGTCACCCAGCAAATTACCCAAAAGCCCCAGCAACACCATAACCAGTCCGAAAATGCAACTCCACCACGGAGCGTGCACGTCGCGCGGGATGTCTTCCCTCTTCAACTTGAGCAACATGCACCCAAATGCAAAGAGCGCCATGACGCCCAAAAATGCGAACGTAAACACTCCGGCAAGAACTGTTGCATCCGCGCGGAGTAAAATCACCAGACTCGCTTGCAAGGCGAAGAACAGCAAAATGATGTGGTGGTTCGTGCCACGCCACGAGTTGGTGTAAGTGAGGAACGCCGGGAGTACGCGGTCATACGCCAGTCGACGCACCAGCCCCGTGATCCCCACGTAGGAGGTTAACACTCCTCCAGCTAGCACCACAAATGCGTCGACCGAGACCCAACTTTCCAGCCACTTGCCAGCCACCACGAGACCCATCTTTGCCAACACAACATCCTTGTCACTGTAAATTCCGCCAGGTCCTTCCAGCGGCAACACCGCCAGGGACAAAAACGACAGCAACAAGTTGTAGAAAGTGGCAAACACCCACATATTGCGTAAAGTTTTGCGGAACACGCCGGGCGCTTGCTCCTCCACGAACTGGGCCGACGTTTCGAAGCCCGTAATGCCCAGCATTGCCGACGAGTACCCGTAGAAGATCCCCGTGAGCAAGTTTCCCTTAACCACCTCTCCTGCAACGTTAACGCTCGGGAAATCCGTCTGCATGTTGGCCCAGAAAGTGTCGGGGTGTTGCACGGCGTAGTAAAGTGAAAATCCACTTAACAGCGTAAGCGTCGTCACATGAGCGACGAAAATTGCCAATGCAACAGTTGCGCTCTCGGCGATTCCGACGATAGAGAGAGCGGCAAACACAAAGAGTAACCCGACGGTGCCAGGAACCACACTCACGTCCACTTGAGTGCCTAGGTATCGCAAGGCCGACGTGCCCGAGACCACGCCCGTGGCCAGGTAGGAGATGATGCCTAAAGTTGCGGCAACGGCTGCGGTCCTCTTTGAAGTTGTGTTAAGCAACACGTTGTACGAGCCTCCATTTAGGGGAATTGCCGTCACGGCCTCCTCGTAGATGGAGCGGAAAAGATACAGCACAAAGGCAACAAACGTTTGCGCCAATGGCGTGAGCTTGCCGGCCTTGGCGGCGACAATGCCCGACGAGTAGAGCACACTTGCCAGAATGTCGTTGCCACAGATGGCGGTGCTCGGCCATTCGCCTAAATGTTGCTTGGGGGCGTCCAGGCGGTCGCGCGTGGCTTGGATTGAGTGCGCAGGTACACTTAACCGGCGCGTCTCGCCCTCGGGCGGGTACATCCACGAGGGGAGGTTGTGTCGCCCGCGCAGCTTGAAGTCGCGGATGCGGGGGGAACGGCGAGGAGGCGACTCGGAGCTGGAGGTGGGGGACGCGTCGGGCAGCGTAGTGGCGGCGTCGGGTGCGGGGGAGGACAACAGCGTCACCTTGAGGTCGTCCATGGCGAAGAAGCAGGAGCAGAGATCGGAAGATATCTAAGTATGAGGAGCCGCAGGATTCGGGTATGATGGAAGATGGGGTGAAACCAAGAACATGGCTACACTTTTAGCCAAGAAAGAGAAAGTGTGCCTTGCTCCAATAGCGGTGCTACGAACTTCGGAGGTCTTCGTAGTACGAAGACCTCATTCGTTACGAGCAGTGTCCCTGTCACCGAGGTTGTTACGTTGGCTTGGAAGTTCTTGCGGTCTCAGTTGGTTTAACATGCTTTCATCGGGGGGGGGGGCTGCCCATTGCTGTTTCCAACATCTCGTCAATGCGGGCTCATCAAGGTTTTGGGCGGCTGTCACCATGCGAGTACCTTATTTGTTGGCAAGTTTGTGGGCGAACACCAATATCAATCACTGCGCGGGGCGAATTAATCAAGGCAGGCAACCACTCGATTGGCTGCCGAGTGCCACCTTTTCTAAGCTTAACGCCGCAGGAGCAGTCTGCTAACATTGCAGTGCGGGCGACAACGGCAGCGAAACAAGGCAGCCTGTCGGGCATCTATCCGGGATGTTTGCCTGTCCACGGTGGCCGCAGCTGCGGCTCGGCAGTACAAAATCCGCAGTACTTACTCGCATCGATGCAGCTGTGCCCCTCGGCGCCAAGATGCCCAGCGTGATCATATCAGACTGACGCTCCACATGCGGCGTAATAGCGGCGACCGAGCGCGTTTGAGCGAGTGGCGGTGGCTGGAAGGTATCAAGCGTGCAAAGCCTGCCATCATCGCCTCGCCGGGCAAGTTGCCAGCGCCAACCAGATCTAAAATCTCGTTGCCGATATTTGGCGTGCACGCGCATGCGCGCATATCAAAGCGATCTTTCGCTGACTCAGCGAGCTCTATGGAGTTATTATCCGTAGCCGACATGGCTGCAACATGAAGTGGAAGGCCCGTTGCCAAGCTCGAGCACTTCGGCCGGTATCCACCTGCAGCTCAAGCACCACGTTGCCTGAATTGAGACTTTTTGCCAGCGAGCTGTGGGGGCTGAGCCCATTGCTGGCTCTTTTCTAGGAATATGTAGCTCACCCAGCCAGCGGTCAAAAATTCACTTGCTTTTTGTATTGGTCTCGGCGTTACTCGCGCGTCACCCCGTTTTTCTATGCCAAGAGTGCCGGCCACCAAACCAAAAGCCCCGCCTGTCGCGGTAAGTCTCTCTCACTCAGCCAACAACCACTTCGCGATTCTCCACCGAGTTAGCACTCTCTAAAGCCCACGAGGAGCGAGGGACGGTTAAGCTAGTGCTAAAGCGACAGGGGGCACCATGGCGGACGCGGCGAGTGCGGCCGCGAGCGTGACGGACAAGGCGGCGACCGAGGACCTGACGCCGTCCACGACCATCCTGGACGGCATGCGCGTGTACTTAGTGATCGGCGCCGTCGGCTGGATGGCCTTCGAGGTGGGGCGCGTCAAGCTGCAGCGCGCCTTCTACTGCCGCGAGGACAAGCCGGAGACCACCAACTCGACGGTTACGCGAGTGCGCCAGGCCAAAGTGTTTGGGTGGCTTAAGTTGCTCTTCTTCACCAGTGACGATGAGATTCTCGAGCAGTGCGGGATGGACACGCTCTTCTTTCTGCGCTTTTTGCGCTTATGCGAGAAGGTCACGTTCGTGGGCATCTTGTGCTCGGCGGCGAACTTCCCCATCTACTACTACGCCAAGCGCGACTCGCTGGACTCTCTCTATCGGATGACGCTGTCGCACCTGGACACGGACGAAATGTGGCGCTTCTGGTTCACCGTGGTGACCATGTACCTGGTGTCTCTAACCGCCTGCTTCCTGCTGTGGAAAGAGTACGAGGAGTACATTCGCAGACGCCACGAGTTCATGTCGAGGAAGCACACGCAACAGTATACGGTAGTGCTAAACGGGTTACCCCCTAACCTGTGCACCCAGCAAACGCTGCGCAACTACTTAGAGTTGCTGTTTCCCAAGTCCGTGTTGCACGTGTATGTTGCGCTGGAGTGTCGCGACCTGGAGAAGCTTGTTGCCGAGCGCGTTAAGGTGCGCAACAAACTGGAGCACGTTTTGGCTCAGAGTGCGAAAACCGGCGACCGGGTCATGACCCGCGACAAGCTCCTCGGAGGCGAGCAAGTGGACGCTGTGGAGCTGTACCAAGAGCAGCTTAAGGAGCTAAACACGGCCGTGGAGAAGGAGGTGCGCTCCATTTTGCGTAACCAGGCGGGAGTTGCCCGTCAATTGGTGGAATCCAGCGGCGACGACGAAACTTTCTCGCGAGGTTTTAACCAGAACTTCGACTCTGCCAGAAGTGTCAACTTTGTCTACAAGGAGGAGGAACTGGACGGAGACGCACTGGAATCGAGGTACATCAAGTCTCTAAAGCGACAGGACAAGAAGGCTCTGGGCATTATGCGTCCTGCAGGCTTCGTGACTTTCCGCAGCCTGAAAGCCGCCCAGTCCTGCACCCAGATCCTGCAAAGTGCCGATCCTACGCAGATGCACGTGGAGGCCGCAGCCCACGCCGACGACGTGGTGTGGGAGAACATCGGACTGTCGAAGAACATCAAAGACACGTGGTTCTTGATCTCGATGGCTCTCAGCACGGCCATCATCCTGCTCTGGACGGTGCCCACGGGTCTCGTGGTGTCGTTCGCTAAGGTTTCCACCCTCGAGAAGCAGTGGGCGTGGCTGGGCCGAGTGATCGAGGACAACCCGTGGGCCAAGTCGCTGCTGGAGCAGCTGTCCCCGTTGATGCTGTCGGTCATGACGGCGCTGGCTCCAATCATCTTCGGCATTCTATCCAAGCGAGAGGGCCACGCGTTTGCGTCTCAGGTGGACGCTTCGCTGCTGAACAAGCTGGTGATTTACCAGATCTACGTGACCTTCTTGCTGCCGATTATCGGTGGTACCGTCATCGATGCCGTCATTGGGTCAAGCGACACGAACTTGACCGACGTGAGCGCCATTCTCAAGCTTATCAGCGACTCTGTGGCCGTGCAGTCGTCCTTCTTCATCACGTATCTATTGGTCAAGACGGGACTCAACCTGACGCTAATCTTGCTGCGCGTGACGCCCATCGTCAAGGCCGCCATCTACCAAGTGTTCGCGCCCAAGCTCACGCCTCGTGAACGCTCGTCGCCCTGGTTCGGCCTCACGTCGCTGGCCCACCCTGGAGACTTCGGCGCATCCGACCAAGTGTCCGAGTACTACCTGGTGCTCATGCTCGTGCTGGTGTTCTGTGCTATCGCGCCGATCCTCAACTACTTCGCTATGCTGTACCTGGTGTTGTCGGACTTCGTCTACCGCTGGGCCGTCATGTGCGTGCACGACCCGTCCACGCAGACCTCTGGCACGTTCTTTCCGTCGCTCTACCGCTTCATTGTCGGCGCGCTCATGTTCGCGCAGATCATCATGGCGTCCGTGCTGGCCACCAAGCAGGTGGCTCTCCCCGCCACGTTCTCCATCATCCTGCCGTTCATCACGCTCGCCTTCCATCTGTTCGTGAACTCGCGCTACCCGCAGATCGCGCTCAACCTGCCGCTGGACCAGGCCGTGATGGTCGACTCGCGCCGCTCGCGCCAGATGCAGGACCTGGAGCGCGTGCTCGAGGACATGTACATGCAGCCGGCCATGCTGGAGCGCGGGCCGCTGGAGCCGGACTACCAAGGACTGTCGAGCGACCCGAACCCGGAAAACCAGCTCGCGTCACCGCCGCCTGTCGAGGTTTGTGCATTGCGTGCAGAGTCTCGCAGTGGAGACTGTGTAATGAGCAACGTCTGACGAGTGTTGTTTGTGTGTTTTGACTGACAGAAGGACTCGTTCCGGTCTCAAGACAAGCAGATCTTCTCACCGGTATAGATTTTGATACGACGTTGTTCATCTTGTTGCCGGCCCGCTGGTGCTGTGGCTAGTCGCGTCTTGAGCGGTTCAGTGCCAGCGGTCGACGTTGCGCAGTTGTAATACAGCATTTCGATGGCCGTAACCTTACTTACTTGACCTGTTTGTCTGTCTGTCCTTTGTCGTGGATTGTATGTAGAATAACGCGCAAGGAAGCCACCCCGCCCCTTACGAGCGCACGGAGAGCGAGCGGCCCAAACGCCACCACGATTCCGTCGGCGGCCTCGTATGATTTGGCGTCAGCGTGACTGACCAGCGCCCGGAGTAATAGGCTAACGCTGCCTGTGAGTACGTCAGCTCTGGGCCAGAGCTGGCCCGGAAGTAAAACAACGAAAACTTATGTATTCGGCCCTCCGACTCGCTCGATAAAGTTCGCTGTTTACCAGCTCGGCGCGGCTGAGCCTTGGTATCACATGGATGCAATCCGCGCCTTATGATCTCGATCAGATTTTTTCGCTTCAATCATATCGTAGAGTGCGACGATGGGCATATCAGCGACTTGAGTTGAAGCTCTTCCAGTTCTTCCCAGTAGCCGCCACCCATAATCAAGCGATAGTCAGCCAGCCAGCCAGCCAGATAGGTTAGATAGTCCAGCTCGAGACAATGCTCACTCGCTCGCTCGCTTGCTGGCGCAGGAATCAAGACAGGCAGGCCGAAGGGGGGTCGCAAGTGCGTGGCGTGCATGGCCACAGCTGAACTAAACAGCGAGGTGCTGGCTACTTTATCGGGCCGTTATCCTGCCGTTACTCTCTCGGAAGCTTCTAAAAATCTTTTGCCAGCCAATCACAACGCATAAAACAGAAAAATCGAACCTTTTTTATAGAGCCCGTTGGTGTCCGAATAAGACCCAGGCACCGAGCACTTTCCCGCTGCGCTGTCGACCAGCTGCAAAGCACAACGAGCTCTGCTCTGCTCTTTTCAAACAGTCACCGCCGCGCGTATTGCACACGCCAGCCTGTCCTGCAGACTTCAGCTGGATCCGCTGGGGCAGAGAGGAGAACAGGTATCGACCTCGCGGCAGTTGGCGCCCGCCCGTCACTACCTTATCCGCGTCGGCCTCGCCGTTATTGCGGCCTCCTATCCCCCCACTGAGAGCCTTGGCCTTCCTCGGTGGAGCTAGGTGGTATCTATCACTATGCACTCGCCGCTGGCAGTCTCGCAGATTTCCCTCTCCAACAGCTCCTCGTCCAGTGGCGGTGGTTCCGCCAGTCGCAGCCAGGCCAGTCGCAGCAATGGCAGCAGGATGTTCGACGTCGAGTCGCCGTCCGCGGCGTCCGCAGCCAAAGACTTTCTGTACCAGCGACAGCTAGCACCGAACGCGGTCCCATTGCTCGTGAGGCTGCAGAGGCGTCGGATACTGTGGACGGCCGTGCTCGGAGTGTCCGTCATCGTGGTGGCCACGGCCTTCCTGCAGAGAGGAATCGTGCTCAAGTCGTACGCTGTTAGCAGCGGCGGATCTGCTACTGATACCGACGACATTGAAGCCTACAACTTCTACGTGGGGTTGTGCACGTCAGTGCTGGTAAAGCCCTTGCTTGGATTGGTGGGGGCGGTGATCCCCGCTGTGCTGCTCTGCTTCTTGACCGAGATGACGATGCAGGAGACGACTTCAAGACGAACCCGGTTGATTTTGGCTTTACTGAGCAACGCGGTGCTGTGGTTCCTGCTGAATGGATTCATGGCTCTTTATGTGAGCGAGCAGACAGCTCAAGTTGATGCGGCGATTGGCGATAGCGATTTAGCGGGGTACGAGAATTCCTCTTCGTTCTCGGACTTTAACCGGACATCGAGTGTGGACACGATCCTCCGGAGTGCGATGCAGATGCCGGACGCCACAGCGGAGAACGCTGAAGGACAGTGCAGTCGGCCGTCACCGCGAAGGCTCCCAGCGCAATTGAACTATGGCTTCCCGTCTCGTCAGTGGCTTAGTGAAATATTACCAGTTGCTCCAGAGACCACAAGCTCTAACACGCTTTCGGTATCGCTAAGCGACGGAGTCGATACGACTGAAACACTTACGATGCCTATGGAATTGACTACTGCTCGGAATCTTGTGGGCTACGCGCTGCGTGCTACCGACGATTTTTACCGTGAACAAGACATGGCGGCAAACGCCAGCGCGTTTGAGTTGCTGGATCTGCCCGAAGGTTTTGATTCTGCGTCCTCCGATGATGCGAGTATGACTCAGGCCCTTGTTAAAGCCACGAACGCCACTTTAAACTCCGCAGTCAAAACTCGTGCACACCTGCGAAACTTTAGTGTGGCTGAGAGTAGCGTGGAGTTTGTGAAGCTCCCGTGGGACACAGATAGTGGTGAATTGGTGTTTGAGGGCGTGACGCTGGAGATTCCCATGGACGAGGATTTCTTGCGTAGGGACCTCACACTACTCAACGATACGACGCAGTCCGTCGTGTATGGAACGCAGGTGCTAAACGGGCTCTTTGAGATTAATGCAAAGGAGGAATGCGGTCGATACGGATGTGTCGTAAGCCCCGTGGGAGCCGCGCTGACTACCGCCCCAGCCGACGAGGGCAGCCAAGTTCGTGCTCTACCAATCTGCTTGGACGCGGACGGTAGCGAAGACTATGAGGCGACGATGGACGTGGACGGCAACGACTGTGAATTTCGTTCCAATAATTCCATGCTGGTGCTCAGTTTTGCCAAGAGAATCGTTGGAGATGCCATCAGCTCGTCGCTAGTGAACAACTCGAACGGTGACGCGCTCGTGGTTATGCTTACGAACGCGCGTAAAATTTATCAAGTGACTGCGGGCCGATTGTCATGGGAAACTACGGACCTTGCAGCTAAGTATGAGGCTTCGTGCGAAGCTACCGGTAGCGATTGCAATGGTCTTGCATTTCCTCTCTCCACCGACGATCGACAGGTTATTGTGGGCGCTGGCCATTTGCCGGTGAGCAATTTGACAATTTATTCCCCGTCGCTGCTGCTGTGGACGCCTCTGGTCACTTCAAACGTGCAGGAGGTGGACCGGAGCGATATTTTGAAGAGCGATTTTGTTTTCCCCGACAATTTTGACGACGCTACAGGGTGGCAACCCGTGGACGGATCTCGATGTGAACGTGAGCGTGGAGCCTTTATGGACCGAGTCCAGAGCTCGCATCTTTACTCGGAGCGATCTCTGCACCCAGCCTACCAGTCCGCTCTGTTTTGGCTCTTCCAGCATGGCGTGGTGAAGCAGAAGCTGAGCAAGACCACGCTGGCGTTCGATGCCAGTGTGAAGTACGTGGATGTGACGCTGTCCGTGCCACAGCTCTCAGCTACTCTCACGTTTATTGGATGCGCTATGCTGGTACTTATGAGCGTGCTGGTATTTTTCGGCGGCAAGAGCAGGGAGACTGAGGTCGAACGGCACTTCAAGCCGCACCACTTGGCTCGCGTGCTCCTAGACGACGAAGCGTTCTCGCATCGACTGCTCAAGTGCGACCTCCTCAACATTGGCAACAAGTACTTGAACAGCTCCGAACTGTTAGATCAGTTCGAGATCAGCGGATTGGCGCTACGGCATCGGAAAAGACCGTCCGACGTGCTGATTGTGCCTAAGAACCAACAATCCACCACAGCGTCCGCCGCATCGAGCCAGGCAGTGCACATCGTGTAAGTAGCGTATAACATTATAGAAATAATTTACTATCCCCGCTTACTATTGTTTTTCTTCACGTTACAAGAACATTTACAGCTTTTGAATTGCTGAAGTATTCAACACTTAACATTGACAGGCAAATGTATAATTTCCTCGCAAATGAATTTCCTGCCTAGGCGTACACAATCCTGAACTTCTCGAACGCGTAGAGGAACACCACCATCTCCAGTTTGCTGCCGGTCTCGGGGTCTCCCCAGTCGGGAAAAGGTAGAGTCGAGCTGTGAACTTCCGTGTGGCAGACTTCATCTTGCTCGTCAAGCAACGCAGAGCTCAGAACCTCCTGAGCGACTTCGTCCAGTTCGAGCCCCAGCCGCTCACCATCTTGACAGCATTTACCCGGAAGAAGTCCGCCAGCATCCGGTGACTGCAGCATTGAGACTTGGCTGCTGACGTACACGTGCTTCTTGGTGAAGGCATCCACCAGGTTGACTCCCAGTTCCACCTCCATTTCCACGTCTTCTCTCTCCGGCTCGTCAGTGAAAACATCGTCTCGCTCGAGAGCGCGCTGGTGGACGGGGGCTTGCATCTTATCGGCTTTGGTCGGTTGGTCGAGAGGCGAAGTGTCGGTCGTTCCGTCGATCAAAAGCCGCCGAACCCGAATGAACGCAGAATGAACGGCCGTGCATCCATCGAAAAGCCACGCGCGGCGAAACACCCAACTGTGCAGACCGAGTTCGTGTGCGTCTATGTTGGAGTCTGACTCTTCCGTTACGGACAACCTGTCAACGGGTTGTCAGTAGGGTGCTCCTTAAAAGTAACGTGAGGCTCAGAGATAAATGCAAATCGTGATGGCGCCCGTTCACAAACGGAACGAGAAATCTACGAGTCTGGGTAGATCTACGGCAAAGGCATGGGTCTTGGAACAAGGTTCAAGTGCGGATTATACATGTACGGCGTATGCATTCGTGTTACTTTATTACCACTCAGTAACTTACTTTTGAATTATCTTATTACATTGACCAGGAGATCACTGACAAAGAAATTTTTTTATGCGTGGAATTGCTGTACAATGGAACCATGTTATAGTTGCGCGCTGCTCAGATACTTACTTCGTATATTTTTTAAGACTCGTGGGCACGTTGGTCGCAAAAAGGCGAATAATTTATTTATTTATCCACGAATTTTATAATACCCTACCTTGGTACATTTAGGTATTTGGATGGCATGATGATAACATGTTTCACCGCACACCCGCCACTGAACCGTTGGGAGGTCATCACAAACTAAACCTATCATGACATAGTGCTAACTGAAGTAGCCCATCAAGCATTTTCAAGTTATCGACATATCCAACGAAAGATTGTGTCTTAGAACAGCCATATCCAAGCCTTTATCCGATAGATAACACTAGATCGATAACCTTCTATAGAGTGTGACAGTGATTGTTTACTGAAAATAATCCCAAGACGTTGGTCTTACAACCATGCTCAGCAGGCATCCCGAAAAATAATAATGCCCGAAAATATAAAAGTATTTTCGGATACAATACTTTATGTTGGGCATTGCCGTTTGCTTTATCCGAAATTTATGTAGCCGATATCTAAAATTCGGTATTTTACTTCTGCTCATCCTGCTCCAATCATTAGTTGTGGTCAAACATCGCGCTCTACCAACGTAACTTTGCCGCTAGTCCTCACTTTCAAACAAGCACCCAGCACGCACATCACGACTCGACGTTAGCACCATGACCGACAATCTCCTTGCTGGCCCCGCTCCGAGGCCTACCTTCTCGCCCAGGCCTTGTAACTCTAACAGATACGACGTCTGTTAGAGGTTCGAAAGACTTTCTCGACCTTGGTGTAGACACACCAAAGGCTACATACATTTACGACCACCACGACGGGTGGTCCATAGAGACTTAGGATTCCTATTGGCTGAGAGCAGCATCTCTTAGCCAATGAGCGACATGCATAGCATTGGAATTCTGACAACCAGCCGTTGGCAGATTCCTAGTTTAGAATATTACATTTAGAGGAATTCAGAAACATAAAACAAAAATAGCAGTTCTCATTTTAACCCAAAAACATTATTTGGATCGTTTCTTTAGATTAATCTATACTCGGAGGCCCGAGTATAATTACCTCTAATTTAAACTAAGCTACGCTTCCTCACATTCACGTGCACACGTGTAGGCTAAAGTAGTGAGCCAAAGTAGGCCCATTACACCTGGTAGCACTTTGTAGTCCGTCCAACGACCGACTACCTGAGTTCGTACGTCACCGCACGAACGCGGAGCTGAGAACCTTCCCATGGATACGGAGGTGTCCATGGAAAGCTCCACTACGCCTGCAACTCACGTTGGCCGCGCTGACTGTCCCCACCTGTCGGACCCAGAGTGGGAGGCTCTCCAACGACTGTCAACAGTCATTGGTGAGGCGGCTGTAGCTACGATGCTGCGTACGCTAACGCCGACAGAGCAACATGGTGTTGCTCTGGGATTCATCATGAGGGAGCAGCGAGATGCTGCTTCGTCTACCACGGTGTCGTCGGGGACGACACCGCGCGCGCAATCGCTGAAGCTCAGCGTGAGCAATTACGTTGGAAGAGAGGGCGAGCCTCTCCTCCGTTGGCTAGTCGAACTCGACACTGCCATTGCGGCTCGACGCATCGTCGACCCGTTGTCGAAGGTCGCGTTCGCCATGTCATGTCTTGGCGGACGTGCAAGAAGTTGGGCGTATGGACGCCGACTCTCGGATCCTACGTGCTGTAGCACGTACGAGGGTTTCAAGGAAGAGCTCAGACAAGCGTTTGAGCCACCGCAGAACGAGTTCCGGTCGAGGGCGGAGTTCCTCGACCTGCAGCAGGGCAAGCATGATGTCCATACTTACGCTCAGAGAGCACGGTACTTGGTCTCGAACATCGTGACCAATCCGATCGACGAGGCGACCAAGGTCGTCACGTTCATGAAGGGGCTGAGAGATGGGCCTGTGAAGACCTATCTCTTCCGTGAGTACCCGAGTACTCTAGAAGCTGCAATTACTCTTGCAATGCAGGAGGAGTTAAGTCTGCGGCAGGCTAAGCTGCATGCACATGTGCCGAGGCCACAGCCACGCCCGGTAGTGAGGACGGGAGGCCCAGAACCCATGGACCTCTCGAGTGCTGCAACTGCTGGACCCCAGCAGTCGCAAGGAAACAATGTGCGATGCCACCGATGCGGTAGAATCGGTCACTTTGCTCGGCAGTGCACGGCCCCCGTGCACCAGCAGGGTGGCTATCGCCGCGGTGCCGGGCCAACCAAACAAAAAACGCTGGACGCCAGCAGGCGCGGGGCGCCCTACTGGTAATGCAGTTCCGTGTATCGACCTTTGACACGCGACACTGAGGACTGCAGCCCCCGGTGAGACTCATTATCACTGCAAGAACCAAGATGACAAGCCTGACCTTCTCATCCTGAACATGAACTCGATGAGAGCATGCAGCTCTGCCCGTGCTTTGGTAGATTCTGGCGCGTCGAAGAACTTTGTTCGACTGCGAAGTCTATCAAGGCTTGACTTCGAGGATTTAAAGATACCTCGAAGTATGTTGGAAGTACGACTGGCAACGGGTGCCGTCGTGAAGACCGAGGAGCGCATGGTACGCGTGCGCTTCACGTATGAAGATCAAGAGTTTGTCGAGACCTTTATCGTCCTGGATCTGGACGATAAGTTTGACATTGTATTGGGTATGCCGTGGCTTGCACGACATGATCCGGTCATCGATTGGGAGAAGCGCACTCTCGTGCGCTTCGGTCGCGACAGCGGAACAGTGAGCGATGGCCCTGTTGCCGCTACGCACTCGAGACAGCGCCTAATGCCGCTGTCCCGGAGCGCCCTGGGCGCGCGCGAGCCCGCGCGCAAGAGCAGCAAGCGCCGGCGTCGCCGCTGGCGGCTCAAGGAGAAAATGTGTTGATCTCGGAGATCGACACCCGCTTTTCAGCGAATCAGGAAGAGTCTCCGGCCTCAAGGGGCGCGGATGACGCAGGCAAGACACACGCCTCAGCCGTGGAGGCTGACGCGAATCTGATTGGATCAGGTCTGGCCAATAATAAGAGCCAAGGTGACGTAACGCCGTCGACTCCGGGAGTCGATGGCTTGGTTGAATTTGATTCGTCGGCTCGGGGAGCCGACGCACCCTCCGTAATGGAGGGCTCCGCCAATAACAGGCGTCGAGGTGAAGATGGCGTGTCGGCTCCGGGAGCCGACGCTGCAGGCGGTGCGGACGGTTGCAAACGTCCCGCACCGGAAAAACTTGCATGCTGTCGTGCAGCCGGGCTGCACGACGAAGCGCCAGGCGACCAAGCCGGGCTTGAAGTCGCTCGCCCGCGGGATGAACCCGCCGGTGGTACTGAAGATCACCCGTCCACGGCTGGGCCTGGACGAGGTCAAGAACCAAGCGGAGCCGGGCTCCGCAGAACAAGAAGACGGCGCATGCAAAGGTTGCTGTGCAAGTCTCGGCCTGGGGCCGAGACGCTACAAGGAATGTCTGCTGGGCACACGGAGGCAGAGAAATCGGGCGTCGAGACGTTGAACGTCTTGACGCGTACCAGTGCCGGGTTCCGGTACAGGGAGATGACTCTCGCTAACCCTCCGACACAAGCATCGGAGTTGACTTCGCTTCCAGTCATGAGCTGGAAGCACTTCGCGCGTGACTTGCACGATGGACGCATCGAGCAAATATGCATTCTCTCGGACGCCGAGAGAACGAAGAGCGAGAATGAAGAACTGAGGCAGTTCTTTATGGAGACCACCACTGAGAGTGAGGACACTCTCAGTGCGAAGACTAAGAAGGAGCGCTTTGAGGAGCAGAGCTGGGACTCGCTGAGGTCGAGTCCCTTCTACGAGATTCTACGGAAGCACGCGGACGTGCTTCCGGAAGCGATCCCTGCGGAGCTTCCGCAGGACAAGGGCATCCAGCACGAGATTGATCTCGTGCCGGGGACGAAGTACTGTGTCACGCGGCAGTGGCCACTGCCGCGAGAGCAGGTCAAAGCGATCGACGACTTCTTCGAAAGTCGTCGCAAAGCTGGACAAGTGCGGGAATCGAAGTCCCCGCACAGTGCTCCAACGTTCTGTGTCAAGAAGCCACAGGGCGGTTGGCGCATCGTTCATGCGTACAACAAGCTGAACGATGCGACGATACCGGCGCAGACGCGGATACCTCGAAAAGATGTCATCATCGATTCGATGGCCAGGAGCACTATCTACAATGCTCATGATCTGCGCGATGGATTCTATCAGATCCTCATGCGTGAGAGCGATATCCCTCTCACAGCTGTGAGCACGCCGAGCGGCATACTCTGGGAGTGGCTGGTGATGCCGCAGGGGCTGAAGAACGCCCCTCCGACCTTCAACAGGTGCGTGACGCACTTGTTGCGTTCGGTGCGCGACTTCGCACCGAGCTACTTCGACGATGTGTTCGTCCACAGCCGGGCTGCGGACAGGATGAGTGATGTTGAGATGCAGAAGGTGCATCTCCGGAAGCTGCTTGCGCTCATGCGCAAGCACAAGCTCTACGCGAACCGGAAGAAGTGCATCTACGGGGCGAGCGAGATCCCCGTGCTCGTTGGGAAGAACGGTGTCCGCCCTGACCCTGAGGAGGTCAGAGTGATCAATGAGTGGCTGACGCCGTCGAACGTCAAGGAACTGCGGCAGTTCCTTGGCTTGGCCACGTACTTGTGCAAGTACGTGAAGGACTACACGGGCATGATACGCCCGCTGTCACATCTCCTGAAGAAGGACGCCGAGTGGGTTTGGACTGCTGAGGGTCAGCAGGCCTTCGATGCAGTCAAGCGGGGCTTGACTGAGGCGCCGATCTTGGCGGATGCCGACCAAGATCGCCCATTCCACGTTGTGTGTGACGCATACGACTTCGCAATCGGATGTGCGTTGATGCAGCACGATCACGAGGGCCGTGATCGTGTCGTCTACGACCAATCGCGTCAGCTGAAGTCAGCTGAGCGCAACTACCCGGTACATGACAAGGAGCTCCTTGCCATGAAGTACGCACTCGCGAAGTTCCGAGTGTATCTACTCGGAAGCAAACCGTTCGTGGTCTATACGGACCACGCGTCGCTGCGGACAGCTATGAAGTCGCCGCACATCTCGCAACGGATGGCGAGATGGCTCTCATTCTTCGCAGAGTATAACTTCCGTGTTGAGTACAAACCCGGAAGACTCAATGTGGTGGCCGACGCGCTGTCGCGTCGACCTGACTACGCCACGACTGATGCCGACGTCAATGTCATTGACGCCATGCGATCAAGCACCCCGACGTTGTCACTGTTGGACGACGTGAAGGTCGCGTACGCGCACTACGCGGACGCGAAGCTCTTGCTGGCCGACGGCTCAGCGCCTTCTGGCCAAGCTCGTCAGAAGCCGCCGAAGCATCTTCGTGCTCGTGCACACCGTTACCGGGTGCACGACGGGTTATTACTCTACAGTGCAGTCGACGACAACGCGGACCGCGTTGTCGTGCCCAATGACCATGACCTGCGACTCAGGATCATGTATGAGTATCACGATGCACCGACTGCGGGGCATCCGGGCCGTGAGAAGACATACCTTCTTCTCACGCGAGACTTCTACTGGGCCCACCAGTATAAATGGGTGCGCAAGTACGTCCATGCTTGCGAGGTTTGTCAACGTGTGAAGCCTGCGCCTTTCGCACAGGCTCCCTTGCAGTCACTATCAACTCCACGGGAGTGTTGGCAGTCCGTGTCTTTGGACTTCGTGTTTGGTCTTCCCCCGGACAGCCAGGGGAACACGGGCGTTGTGGTCTTTGTTGACCGCTTTAGCAAGATGGTACATCTTGCTGCGGTACCCGTTGAAGTGACTGCGAAGCAGACGGCGCGTCTGTTCGTTGACATGGTGTTCAAACACCATGACATGCCGATCGACATAGTGTCGGATCGAGACCCGCGCTTCACTGCACACCTTTGGCAAGAAGTGTTTACACTTCTTGGGAGTCAACTTTCGATGTCGACTGCGGACCATCCGCAGACGGACGGGCAGACCGAGCGCGTGAACCGCGTGCTCGTAGACGTGCTTAAGAGCTACGCTCACTCGTTCCAACACTGGAGCGAGTGCCTGCCGATGGCGGAGTTCGCCATCAACAACTCGGTGCATGCCTCGACCGGGCATACACCGCTCTACGTGAATGCCGTCAGGCACCCACGCCTCCCGAGTCTACTCGGGATGGTGGCTCCTTCCTTAAGTGGGTGAGGATCTACGACTGCAACGCAGCAGTCGCAGAATGCCACTGACACTTACACAGTGTCAGCCGCGACTACGCGCAACAAGAAGAAGAAGAACGCGTCTGTGCAGGGCACAGACGTCGACAAGAGCAACAAGAAGAAGAAGAACGGGTCTGTGCAGGGCACAGACACCGCGAAGACGAACGCAGAGGCCGGGCCTACTGCCAGAAATGAGCTGAACGAGTTCAGCTCGGACGCAATCAACTTCGTGCAGCGCAGACAATCCGTCATTCGGTTTGTCCAAGACGCTATCGCAGCTTCTGTCGACCGACAGAAGCTGAACGCAGACAATGTTGGTAGGGGCAACACAAATGAATTCGAGAAGGGTTCATTGGTTTTGTTAGCAACTCAAAACCTGCCTAAACATGCCGTTTCCGACTTCGGGGCGAGCAAGCTCGCTCCGCGCTTCATCGGGCCGTTCACGGTGTTGGCACGGCATGGCAACGCCTACACGCTAGATATTCCATCTAGCATGCGCCTCCATCCGACCTTTTACGTCGGGCGGCTGAAGCCATACCTGGAGCACGAGCCACCTAGCTCGGCTGGCCCGAAGCGGAAGCCCCAGCGGGAGCGAACCTCCGCTCCAGCGCGTAAACGCGCTGGGCCAAGCGTGCGACGCGACCTCCCACGTCGACAGAGATGTCCGACGCGGTCTGCGAGGCCTGAGCGACTTGAGCCCTCATAATCGGCACCTCCTGCATCAAAGCGGCGAGCTCCCGGCTCTGATGCTGTTCCACAGCAGCGACCCGCTCCTCGAGCGTCGGGCCAAGGTCAACCCCTGGTTGACCATACCCGGGGCGTGTTCCCACCACCGCCGCCTCCGATCCGCGACGCCCGCGGCTCAACACGCTGGATTGTTGATCGTATTGTGAACCATAGTATCCCGAAAACGAACCGGCAGCCGGTTCGTTATCGTATTCGTTGGAGAGGGTTTCCGCCCCACCAAGATACATGGGAGCCGCGGGATGTCCTGCTGCAGGACATTCCAGAAATGGTGAGGGCGTACGAAGCTCACCACGCACCGCCGACGCGAAGGTAGTGCGAGCGCTGTGGTCACCTACCGCGCCCGAGGTCCCACGATCGTCGCGTTCCTCACGTGCGAGGAACTTGGCACGGAGATCCTTGAGACTCTCAGGTACACGAATCGTCGTTTACCCGTTTAGGTTGCGGTCGCTCAAGCGCACCGCACCTGGAAGACACAACGTGCACTGATGGCCTTCGGGCACAGCGCATGGAATACCAGCGTCCACAGAGGATCTGTGGAGCTGCTCCAGCCTCCCGCGCGTCGAGAATGTCTCGAAGCGCTCACGGGGCATGCTTAACCCGCTCACGGTAAGCAGCCGGCTTCTTGTTGAAGTTCTCAACAAAAGCATTCCAACTTTGACAAAGTGCCTGCCACTCAGGCATTTTGCTGCGAGAAGAGGTCTTCTTGCTGGAGAAGTATCGGAGCTCGTGAAAGAGTCCGATACAGTAATCGCGCCTTTGATTCGTTAACGGATCAAAGTGCTGCTCCTCCGCCACAGCATCATCGTGAATCCCGCTGCATACGTACAGCGGAATTTCATTTGGAGGCACGGTGTTGCCCACACGGTCTGCGATCTCTGACGCAGACGGCATCCACGGATCGCGCGCTGCTCAGGCAGCGCGCGGAGAACTTGTAGACGCCACCTCACGCGGGGAGCTTAAAGCCCCAGCAGCGGAGAGCGGAGTTTTGCTCTCGCCGCGCGAACGCTTCGAGCTCGAAGCGTCCGAGTCGTCTCCTTCACGAGGGCGTCTCGACCCGGCATGCGGGTCGAGACTATCACTGTCGATAGACTCCTTGCGCTTGTTGGAAGAGGGCGAGGCCTCTTCCATCTCCACGTCGTCGTCTTCGTAGTCAACGGCGTCGTTGACTACAGAGGAACCTTCGAGGACAATCTCCGACTGAGTTGTCCCCGACGCGGCCTGTGCAGCGAGCGCGTCGCGCTTTGCCTGCTGACGCTAATGGTACTGAGCAACAGAGAGGTTACCCTCTGTTGCGGCGGCGGTCTTCTTCTGCGGCGAGCTCATTGCGGAATGAGCTCGAGTTTTCTTTCTCCCAACGTGAAGAATTGACGAATGGTCATTTTCCTGATTGACGTGCCGTGACTCGGCGCGTCTAACCTTGAGGGGGGGATCGTGTAACCGGGTTACACGCACAAGTGGCTACAGTCACTTGTAACTCTAACAGATACGACGTCTGTTAGAGGTTCGAAAGACTTTCTCGACCTTGGTGTAGACACACCAAAGGCTACATACATTTACGACCACCACGACGGGTGGTCCATAGAGACTTAGGATTCCTATTGGCTGAGAGCAGCATCTCTTAGCCAATGAGCGACATGCATAGCATTGGAATTCTGACAACCAGCCGTTGGCAGATTCCTAGTTTAGAATATTACATTTAGAGGAATTCAGAAACATAAAACAAAAATAGCAGTTCTCATTTTAACCCAAAAACATTATTTGGATCGTTTCTTTAGATTAATCTATACTCGGAGGCCCGAGTATAATTACCTCTAATTTAAACTAAGCTACGCTTCCTCACATTCACGCGCACACGTGTAGGCTAAAGTAGTGAGCCAAAGTAGGCCCATTACAGTACTAAATTGGTTATTTTGGATTTGGTCCGAAATAGTGCAAAGACGCCATTGGCCGCTGTCCTCAGACAGAACACGCGCTGGTCGTCGACCTTTTCACTGCTCAAGCGCTATTTTCGTCTCCGTCCGTTTATTTTGGCAGACGACGAGGAGCTCTCGGACTTCCTTCCGTCACGCTCAGCCCACCGCAAGCTGGAGACTTTGCTGGCAAGCCTCCGGGACGTCGAGTCTGTGTCCAAGCACCTACAGGATGGCCTTACGCTGCTGGACGCTCGTGTCCTATTCGACGAGCTCCTCGAAAGCCACCCCTCGTTCGCGAAGTATCTCGGTAAGGATAAAAATACAATCAGACGCAGAATGAGCGATGATCATCGCTCATTCTGCGTCTGATTGTATTTTTACTTAGCTACTGTGTTTTATATGTTTTTATATATGCATAGCCACCGACGCGGATATAGTCCACTCCGCCGTCTTCGAGCAGGTGGTCGTCAAGGTCCTGGACGACCAGGCGGTCCTGCTGACGGACGACGAAATCGCTGCGCTGGAGCCGTTTAAGGGCACGCAAACTAATCTGGAAGGCGTGGACTGCACGCCGGCGGACAGGAAGGGTTCGTAGTGCGTACGCGCAAGCGACGCAAGGTAGCTGCCGCGCCGGCCACGTACGAGCTGCTTAATGCGATTCCTCCTACCTCAAACGTGGTGGAGAGGCTCTTCAGCATTGCACGCGCTGTGCTGCGCCATGAGCGCCACCGCCTCTCTCCCATGATGCTAGAGATGATCTTGTTCCTCAAGATCAACAGCTTGTACTGGGATGTTGCGATCGTGGAGCAGTGCCTGTAAGTAGGTACAGTCGTAACATGATTGCAGTAATTTTCTGTGTCAACACTAAGTCTTGCCTTATTTATTCAGTCTGCTACTCGGATGCAATGCAATATTTATTATGGTGTCCGGCAAAACAATAGATATAAATCGTATTTTCGGCATGCCTGATGCTCAGTGTCGGAATAATAGGTACAAATGTGTCGGAATTATAGCATCAAATTGAAGTGACCATCACTCCTGGATTCCGCAAAGCAATATGGAGATGACTGGCAGCGTCATGCGCTTCGCCTTGGCCACGTACTTCATGAAGCGCACCGGCAGCTCTCATGAATCACCGGCTCACATCGCATCGGCATGGAGTTATGCGCCCAGTATTGCCGGCAGTGATGCCAGTGGCGAAGAGGAAGAGTGCGAAGACGTCGACTCGGACTTCTCCAGCGTTGTGTCGACCCACGTATCGAATTTAAAGCAGTTGCTGGATGAGAACCGCTTCCAGGAGTGGTCGGGAGGCGTAGCTGAGCTGCGAGAGTATGCTGCAGACAATGATCTGCTGGAGTCTCTGGTGGTGGTGCTGGTGAAGATGATAAGGAGTCAAGAAGAGGACGCGGAGTGCATCACCCAAGGTAAAGAGAAGTGCAAACGATAAGAGGAGTGTAAATCTTCAAAGAGATCTGAGGTGTTGCAGTGATTGAGCACATGTGCTTCGAGAATAGCGGGGAGCCGTCGCGAGTGTTCGACAAGGTAGAAGTTCCACCAAGCGGTTAATTAACAGACCTTTGGTTCGCTGACTTGTGGCGTGCGAAAGTAGCTGACAGAGTTGCTGTTCGAGGCACTGGCTCATTGCTGTGTGAACGAAGGTACAACCGAGGCAACGTGGCTGCTCCGAGCTGTTGGCGGGGTCGCGCGCGGACTGCGCCAGTATTATGAGCAACGCTATGGAAGAAGTCAACACTCGGTTCAAACCCTGGAGGCAGAAGCCAACAAACTCATTTGGGAAAGTCTGGCAGCTGCTCAACAGTAAAGGATCATCGACACTTAGATGCAAAGTCCACAGCTCAGACACGTTGTATTTCTTTCTCCCTTCTCCTTCCATTCATCTACGTTGACGGCCGGTTACTATCATGTACGCGTCAATGGAGCCTCGCATTGCCCTGACCTCGTTTATTGACGTCTGCTTTCCTGTAGATGCGACTTGGATCCCCACGCTTCTTCTACTGCCGTCGAAGCGATATGCGGGTACTATACAGGGAGCCACCGCCTAACTGTTCTTCATGGCATCCTTCACAAAGTTGAACGAGTCGTCCTTCTTCTTCATGAACCCGAATCCTGAGTCGGACGCAAGGCTGTCCGTGGGCTCCTGGATGGTCTTGGCGATGTAGCCCGTCGGGGTCATCGCAGCTCCGATCACCTGCGAGCCCGGGTTTCCCATGCCCTGCATCTGTTGCATTTGCTGCATCTGCATTTGTTGCATGTACTGCATCTGCTGCATTTGTTGCATGTACTGCATCTGCTGCATCTGGGCCATTTGCTGCGGCGTGTTGAAGTTCATCATGCCTATGTTCATGGGGGCGCCGAAGCCCTGGTTCATGGGAGGAGCCTGCACAGGCTCGAGTAGAGGGTCCAACACCATCGTCTTGTTCGCGGAAGGCGCGGGAGCAGGTGCTGCGGGGGCGGCAGGGGCAGGAGGAGCTGGCTGAGCCGGCTCAGGCACCGATGCGGTGCTCGCTGTGCTACTCTGGAGCTGCAATCCGCCAAACATGTCGGCCATCTCGTTTGCCGACGTCGCCCCAGCCTGAGCGGACTCCTGCGGAGCCTGCTGGGGAGGAGCATTCGTCTGCAGTCCAGAAAACAGAGAGCCATTGTCCGAAGGCTCGTCGTCGAAACCTCCCAAAAGATCGGCCTCAGCCGCAGCTGGCTGCTTCCTGTGACCAGTGGGCTTGCTCTTGGGCTTGGACGACTCGCGGCTGGATGTAGATGCCGACAGTCCAGCAGAAATGCCGAGGTGGTTCAGAACCTTCACGGCGCGGTCTCGCACGGCCGCCTTGTCTGACTTAGCGCACTCCTCGATCTCGCTGGAGTTTTCGGAGAAGTACTCCTCGAACTCTTCGCATCCGTCCGTCTTCAACAGAGCGTCAATCGTAGCCAGGGCCTTGGAAACGACCGTCCACTGGTCGTCCGAGAGGCAATCCTCCAAAATTGGGCCAACGATCTCCGCGTCCAGAGTAATCGCGCTTTTCAAGAACGCGTCCATCTTGTCCTTCGGGGGAATAGCTCGCATGCCGCCGGGGGCACACAGAGCGGTGACCAGGTTCCGCTCGTACGAGCCATCGGATTGCGCGCCAGAGGTCTGGCCTGTGAGAACAGGAGGTGGGGCCTGAGGAAAAGGTCTCGGTTCACGAGACTCGCGACGCTTGTTGTCGTCGTATTCGTAGTCGGAGTTGCGCGAGTAAGAACGGTTGTCACGAGTGTTGCCGCTGAAGCTCTGAGTCCGACTCTCGGGTCCATTGTTCTGCATTCCGGTGGAGCCACCGAGGTTCGAGGGCACGTCCGTATCGCTCCACGCGCCGCCAACACGACCCTTCTTACGGTCACCATCTAAGGTCACACGCGCAGGTAAATGTTAGCTCTCTGTAGCCTACCAGCAAATTTATCACAAATGAGCGTACCATAAGACTTCTCCCGCAGTTGCGAGCTCGCCGACTCGCGCGGGTCCTGTCCGTACGAAGAAGACCCGGGGCGGTATCCGTACCCAGTCGGGCGGTATGGCTCCTCGGGGTTGTACGGCGCCGGCGTGGGGCCGTAGTTGCCGCTGGTGGGTCCGCGGTTGGTGGCAAAGCTCCATCCCTCAGGCGGGTTGGCCGATCCGGGCGGGCCGCCACCGAACGTCGGCTTCGGGTCCGACTTGGAGTACTTGGACGCCACCTTCTCCTTCAGTCCCTTGAAGAATCCCTTCTCGTCCGCTGCATCAACACCATATCAACAATTCTCAGTCAGGAACAACAGTACACACCCTCAACTGCAATAAATCCCCAATATCTCACCGCGCGGGTCCTGGTACATGGGGTTGCCAATGCCCGAGAACTTCTGGTCGTTGAACGGGGGCGGCGCGCCTCCGTACTGGTTGGGCGGGGCGCCTCCATACGGCGGGTTGGCCGCGCCGCCGGGGCCTCCGTAGGATCCCTGCGGGTACTCTGGCTGGTACGGCTGCTGCGGCTGGCCGTAGGGCTGCGGGCCACCGTAGCTGCCCTGGTTCGGGTCGGTCGGGTAGCCGTACGGGGCGCCTTGCGGCGGCGCACTGCCGTTGTATCCGCCCATAGGCGGGCCCGCCATGGGCGGAGGAGGCAGCGAGCTGTCGTTCGAGTTCTTGCCGCCCCAGATCTTGGAGCTCCAGCCGGAGCCGCTGCCGCCCGCGCCGTTGTCGTTCGGGTTGGCGCCCACGCCCTGGATACGCGCCGACATGCCCATGCCGCCCAGGCCGGGCGTGTTGTCCGTGTCGTAGATGGCGTCCAGCACCTCCTTGGCGGCCTCGCGCACGCGGCGGAAGTACTCGTCGCCCTTGAGCGGGTCGGGCGTGCCGCGGAACTCTGCACAGCAATAGTCGTCGATGGTCAGTCAGTATGGCTACAATGAGTAAAGGGCCAGAGTGTGAGGAGCCGACGTACGCAGACACTCCTTGACGGTCGGGATGTGCTTCTGCATCTCGCGCTTGAAGTCCACGCGGCCCTCGCGGCAGACGTGCTTGATGACCTGCAGCGCCTTGTACTTGATGGTGTGGTGCTTATTCTTGACGCGCGAGATGAGGAAGTCCTGCACCTTGGTGCACGTGTCGTAGCTGTGCTGCGTCATGCGCGCGATCTCCCCGTAGAGGTAGCCGGGCGTCGGCGTGTCATCTTTGCTCGTGGCGCGGGTCAGCAGCGCCTTGTCCATCGTCAACTGGTCCTAGTGCTGCTGCTGCTCGTACTGTGCGGGTGCTGGAGGGGGGGGGCTGGAGCGGAGGGCGGGCAGTCTCTGCTGGTGTCCCGCGGTCGCTTCGGTCACTTTCGCCTCTGCCTCGTGGGGACGACGCCGGCTGCTTACTACGGAAATGTATGCCTCGGCTCTCCCCCCTCAAAGCTGCTGCCACTTTTTTCAAAGTTGACGTGGCAGCTCTAAGGCTGATTATGTAGTTTTGCTTATAGTGGACAGCATCTGCGTGGTTGTTGGGGGCTAGTTATGCAATTGTGGAATTTAGGTCAACTCGACATTTGTATCTACCAGTTGAATATTTACTGATCTAGGTGGAGAGCTGCACGAACGGATGTAGCCATCTTGACTTGGCTCGAGTCGCTCACTGCCGAGAAGAACACCGCCAGAAGGTCAAAGCAGTCGAGTACCGCAGGCATCCGATACACATTCGAGAGCGAACGTATGCAAGTGGATAATGGTTGCTTCCTGACATGAAAGACCGTCGTCGAAGGGTTTTGATCTCGTTGATGCAGTTAGACACCAATTTTGCTGTAGTAATAGTCGTCTTCTCCAGTTGAGAACAAGCGCAGTAGGGGACAAGAGCCTTTTGTATTCCAATATACGCCGGGTTTGACGTGCCGCGGTCATTGCGGGACATGAAATACCCGTTCGTTCTACACTGTTCGCGCGATATGTACGAGCGCAGCTTCTCGCGTCCAGAAGCCCCGTGTGCAACATTTACGTGGCAACATCCCGCACATGCAGCTGACTAGCCGCCGATCTCAGCCACCGCGGATACCTGGTTCACTCGCGCTCTTTCATATCAACACGGTGCCGTGCTCGGGCCCGGATCAAGACTCGACCTCATGCTCTCCACACTCCCAACACTTCCCCGGCAGCAACAAGTCCCGACGTTCAGAACTAACTGATGACGACTCTAAAGAGGACATGGGCAAGGAGCTGCATAACCAAGACCCGGATCTGGAGGAAGACTTCGGCGAGAAGGACTGGCCGTTTGCCGGCAAAGGTGACCTGGACGACGTCCCAGCCCCAACAGGAGCCGCCTGCACCAAGATCAGCAACGTACTGGGCGGAGCAAGCGAGCACTTGGGAGACTTCTCCTTCGGGGGCCAAGCCGACCTGCTGCCGCCCGTTCCAAGCCTCTTTGTCAACGGCGTGGGGCCCGTGCCCGTGCCTCTGTGGGAGGAGCGGGCCCTGAAGCTCATCGACAAGTGTGCCAAGTCCCCGTTCGGCCACAACATGGACACCAAGTTGGATGAGAGTGTCCGCAAGAGCTGGCAACTGGCACCGGACCAAGTGCAATTCAAGAACCCATCGTGACAAGCGGGCATCGACAAGATGGCGGTGGCCATCGCCGACCGACTCGGGTACAAGGGCATCCCGCTGCAGTGCGTGCTGTTCAAGCTGCTGGTGTACGGGGAGGGCGGCCACTTCGTCAAGCACCAGGACACGGAGAAGGAGGACGGCATGATCGCCACGCTGGTGGTGCAGCCACCGAGTCTGCACGAAGGAGGGGATCTGGTCGTGTACCGTGACGGCCGAGTGAAGCACCGGCATGATTTCGGTGCAGCGGACGGCACAGCCACGTACCTGACGCACTACGCGGTGCATTATGCTGACGCAGAGCACGCTGTGGAGAAGGTGACGAAGGGGTATCGTCTTGCATTGGTGTACTCAGTGTGCTTGCCGCCGACGATGCTGCACCTGGAGCGGAACCCGAACAAACCCATGAGCGCGGCGTTAGCGGACGCAATCGAAACGATGAAGCCGGGAGACGACTGCTTTGCGTTGCTGTTGTCGCACGAGTACACGCAAAAGAGTCTCCAGGGCTTGGGTGCCGGTGCGTTGAAAGGTGTGGATCGCGCGAGGTTTCAGGCGCTGGAGGAGGCGAATGCATCAGTTTCTGCTGAGAAGAAGTTGGAGTTTCACGTCGTTGAGCTCCACCACGAGGTTGTTTTCTACAATGCTATGGGAACATCGGTGATTGGGCTGAGGAGAGTCGAGAGGAGAGTACTAAATGGTACAGTATTGACGGCAAGAGCCTTGGACCCGGCGACAACGTGGAAGTGAAGTTCAACTTTCTCAATCCGTGCAACGAAACGTTGGCTCAGATGTAGTGTGTGCAGTAACAGTAACATTGGTACCGCTTGGTTCACAATGGTCACAGTTACCTACTACCCCCTATATTTAATAGGCTTGGAATGTCGCGCTATAGCTCTCCACGTCGGCTTCACTAATGCTACACCCGCCTTCATCATCAGTCTACCCCACTTCCTCGTCGCTGTTGCTGTCTCCTTCGTCTACAACGATCGCTCGTCAACCAGACTTGCCAACGGCACTAGACCTTGCCTGGTCCCTTTTGTCCCTGCCGTTGGCGACGTCGAAGTACCCGAGAGAGTCTGCCAAGCATCGTTGTTATGTTGGAGACGGGGAAACAGCGATACTGACGAAGAGGAAGTGCTAGCGTGTACGTAGACGACTGGGTGCGGCTTCTGAAGAAAATCGAGGAATGAGGCAATATTGCAACAGTGCTCGACTATGAATAGCTTTACCGCACAGATCACTTACCGCATAAGGCTATCTATCCCACGATAGCCAACGCATGGTCAAAGCTCGTCTTCAAAAGCAATGTTGAAGTCAAGATCACCTGTAACATTTTATCGGGTCCTTTCAGGCTTCCTGGCGAAGGGGGTCTCATGAGCAGGAAACGTGTTACCAGATTCTGGTACACGGTAACATCCACTGTTTCCTTGGGTTTTCATGGTAACTGTGGAAGTGTACCTGCGCACACTACTCAGATGTGGAAGAAGCCGAACGGAAGTAGCTATATCCACGGCTACCTGGGCAACGAGGGACCGACTAAAGAGACGAGGTATTGCCGAATCGCTATTGTTGCGTGGTGTCAGGAGGACAGCGTGAAAAACACAATGGAATTCATCAATCTAGAAGCTTCAGCTAACGCTCTACAGCATCGCGTGCCGGTTTCTCATGCGACGCTGAAACAATTTCAGGATGATATAGGCGAGAAGTTGGCGCGGTTGGATGTGATAGAGCACACAAAAAGAGAGCGAGAGGATTCGTGGTACAGAGGTCAGCGAGTTTGTGTGTCGGTCCCAGAAGGTCTCTGTATAACACTAGGTGAATTGCTGGATGGTACGAGCGATTCAGCCCAAGTGAACTTGTTCTTCACCAACTTTTTCGGCCGCCTGAGGGATAAGAGTGGAGTGGCTGAATGGTGCTGGAGAAGGTGGACTGGAAGGACGTTGGCCCGACTCTTCTGAGCGCACTGACCGGGGAAGACTCGCGCAGCATCATGGAAACGGCGCTGGGGGTTGCCAGAGAGCTGGAAAGTGGAGAAGCCCAGCAAGAACTCTTGAAGCTGGCTGTCGAAAACGTTGTGAAGCTCAAGGATTCGCAGCTGTGCTCTTCAAACTCTCTTGAAGACCTCTGGAGGCTTGTTCTGCGTCATGGCGATGACGACATGCTGGAGACCGTGGCGAACAAGTTTAAGCAGATGACTCCACGTTTGCTCCACTACACCGTGTACGTTTTCGCGCATCAACTGAGCGACATTGACATCCCCGCCAGCAGGTCTGCGGTGCTGGCCTCAATTGCTGCTCTGCGTACCGAGTGGCTGCAAAGTCAGATCGAAGTGCTCGAGAAGCCATTCTCTTGGGAAATGCCTACTGCCGAGTTCCCTGACACAGCGGAGGTGGAGACGTTCCTGCGAGGACCCGAGGCTAGGATGACAACAGAAGACGTGATCAGCTTTGCCAAGGATGATGCCGAAAGTTACGCTTAGGAGTATACTGCGAGCTGGATGCGTGATCTAAAACAAGTTAATGCTTCGTTCGATATGGTCGCGAGCGGAGAAGAGAGTGGCGCGTTTGTGACGATAACGAAAACGCGAAGCTGGTACGAGAAAAGCCAAGAAAACCTACCGAAACTCAAGGGAGAACTGAAGGATCTGATGGATCGATACGGCGATCAAATTAAGGTTGGTGAGACCGGATAAAGATGGTTCTACCGTGCCATTCCAGCGTAGAAACTTAATTTCTAGGAAGTATAATCGAAATGTCGCCGACCAACTCATTGATGGCCGGCACGTTGCAGTATTCGGGGTAACCGGACTGGTGGTCCGGGGGGGGGGGTCGCAGTTCTCAAGAGCGATACGATACCGATACTAGCGTTAAGTATGAACTTCCGTACACCCGCTAAAATCATTCTACGCGTTCCAATACTTCGACGTGTTTTTAGTGTTTTGAGCTAGGAAGTACGTCTTTTGGCATCTCCTGCGCCTGCTTCGCAGCCAGCATTTTCCCCGTATATGCTTCAAGGTGAAAATTGAATAAAATTCAAAATTCATCACTGCCGTACTAAAGGTACAACTACATGTAGTGCATGATGCCTCGGGCTTGAGGTCTCGCTGGCACTGATGATGGTGTGGTATGCTCAGTTCCGAGCATTAGCATTTTACTGGCACGACAACACGTTGCTTTGCAAGTTGAAGTGGGTATGTCGCGCGAAAGTGGCAAGAATGTCGTTTGATGACACACGCCCGCCAAACGACAGTTCTTCGAACTGCAAATTCGTCGTGCTGAAATACTACGTAGTTAGTATGGGTGTTCTTACCACTGACTTGAAATCAAATGCATCCGAGGTGCGGTCTACATGGAGTCCGACTGAGTGGATGATGTAGGAGGCTCCGTCACCAGTGCTGATTCATGGATAAATAGAACATCGAGCATCACCCGCCGGCGTTGGGATATCGCCAACGATACGGCACCAATGATCGGGGCCTTAGCAGCGAGAAGAAACTAACTGGAAAGCCTGATAACGGCAGCCTTGCATGCCTATCTGCATGTAGATAAGCTTATAAGAAATGACCGTTTTCCCCAACCTCTGGGGCGTGTACTGCTCGTGTGAGGCAGATCAACGTCCCAGGCTGCCAGGCATTAAGAACCCGGGTGATAAATGTTTCGCTCTCGGGCAGATATCGGCTAATGCTCTTCATGAGGTGAAAGGATTCAAGACTACGATACAAGTCCATCAGCAGGTGTTCCAACATCGATGACCAACAGGAACCTTGGCCTCGTAGTACTGAAGACTAACATGTAAGTTTACTCGCGTGTTTTGTTATGATACCTACTTTCCACCGAGCAGCCCTAGTCTTGATCTGCGGTGAGTGCACCGCATGGAGAGTCGATAGAGACCCCAGGCGCTTACACCAAAACCAATGTTACTTCATCAGAGTGTCTGCTTCGCAGTAGCGACGACGTATACTACGTCATCGATTTTATTATCTACAAGTAGACAGAAGGCGGAGCTCGAGGAACTGATTTACAAGTCGGATGCATTTGTTTTCAACTTAAGTCGAACGCTTACGTCCGCACTCGAAGCTCTCCCGACAGACACCAAATCATTCGCACCAAGTGAACCGTGAAGGTCAACCATGTCAACCATAGTGTCACAAAGGAACCAGTTGCTGGAATGGGCATGTTAAGTCGATTACTTCAGTTTGGCGTCACCAACCTTGACTTGATCGCCGTATCGATCCATCAGATCCTTCAGTTCTCCCTTGAGTTTCGGTAGGTTTTCTTGGCTTTTCTCGTACCAGCTTCGCGTTTTCGTTATCGTCACAAACGCGCCACTCTCTTCTCCGCTCGCGACCATATCGAACGAAGCATTAACTTGTTTTAGATCACGCATCCAGCTCGCAGTATACTCCTAAGCGTAACTTTCGGCATCATCCTTGGCAAAGCTGATCACGTCTTCTGTTGTCATCCTAGCCTCGGGTCCTCGCAGGAACGTCTCCACCTCCGCTGTGTCAGGGAACTCGGCAGTAGGCATTTCCCAAGAGAATGGCTTCTCGAGCACTTCGATCTGACTTTGCAGCCACTCGGTACGCAGAGCAGCAATTGAGGCCAGCACCGCAGACCTGCTGGCGGGGATGTCAATGTCGCTCAGTTGATGCGCGAAAACGTACACGGTGTAGTGGAGCAAACGTGGAGTCATCTGCTTAAACTTGTTCGCCACGGTCTCCAGCATGTCGTCATCGCCATGACGCAGAACAAGCCTCCAGAGGTCTTCAAGAGAGTTTGAAGAGCACAGCTGCGAATCCTTGAGCTTCACAACGTTTTCGACAGCCAGCTTCAAGAGTTCTTGCTGGGCTTCTCCACTTTCCAGCTCTCTGGCAACCCCCAGCGCCGTTTCCATGATGCTGCGCGAGTCTTCCCCGGTCAGTGCGCTCAGAAGAGTCGGGCCAACGTCCTTCCAGTCCACCTTCTCCAGCACCATTCAGCCACTCCACTCTTATCCCTCAGGCGGCCGAAAAAGTTGGTGAAGAACAAGTTCACTTGGGCTGAATCGCTCGTACCATCCAGCAATTCACCTAGTGTTATACAGAGACCTTCTGGGACCGACACACAAACTCGCTGACCTCTGTACCACGAATCCTCTCGCTCTCTTTTTGTGTGCTCTATCACATCCAACCGCGCCAACTTCTCGCCTATATCATCCTGAAATTGTTTCAGCGTCGCATGAGAAACCGGCACGCGATGCTGTAGAGCGTTAGCTGAAGCTTCTAGATTGATGAATTCCATTGTGTTTTTCACGCTGTCCTCCTGACACCACGCAACAATAGCGATTCGGCAATACCTCGTCTCTTTAGTCGGTCCCTCGTTGCCCAGGTAGCCGTGGATATAGCTACTTCCGTTCGGCTTCTTCCACATCTGAGTAGTGTGCGCAGGTACACTTCCACAGTTACCATGAAAACCCAAGGAAACAGTGGATGTTACCGTGTACCAGAATCTGGTAACACGTTTCCTGCTCATGAGACCCCCCTTCGCCAGGAAGCCTGAAAGGACCCGATAAAATGTTACAGGTGATCTTGACTTCAACATTGCTTTTGAAGACGAGCTTTGACCATGCGTTGGCTATCGTGGGATAGATAGCCTTATGCGGTAAGTGATCTGTGCGGTAAAGCTATTCATAGTCGAGCACTGTTGCAATATTGCCTCATTCCTCGATTTTCTTCAGAAGCCGCACCCAGTCGTCTACGTACACGCTAGCACTTCCTCTTCGTCAGTATCGCTGTTTCCCCGTCTCCAACATAACAACGATGCTTGGCAGACTCTCTCGGGTACTTCGACGTCGCCAACGGCAGGGACAAAAGGGACCAGGCAAGGTCTAGTGCCGTTGGCAAGTCTGGTTGACGAGCGATCGTTGTAGACGAAGGAGACAGCAACAGCGACGAGGAAGTGGGGTAGACTGATGATGAAGGCGGGTGTAGCATTAGTGAAGCCGACGTGGAGAGCTATAGCGCGACATTCCAAGCCTATTAAATATAGGGGGTAGTAGGTAACTGTGACCATTGTGAACCAAGCGGTACCAATGTTACTGTTACTGCACACACTACATCTGAGCCAACGTTTCGTTGCACGGATTGAGAAAGTTGAACTTCACTTCCACGTTGTCGCCGGGTCCAAGGCTCTTGCCGTCAATACTGTACCATTTAGTACTCTCCTCTCGACTCTCCTCAGCCCAATCACCGATGTTCCCATAGCATTGTAGAAAACAACCTCGTGGTGGAGCTCAACGACGTGAAACTCCAACTTCTTCTCAGCAGAAACTGATGCATTCGCCTCCTCCAGCGCCTGAAACCTCGCGCGATCCACACCTTTCAACGCACCGGCACCCAAGCCCTGGAGACTCTTTTGCGTGTACTCGTGCGACAACAGCAACGCAAAGCAGTCGTCTCCCGGCTTCATCGTTTCGATTGCGTCCGCTAACGCCGCGCTCATGGGTTTGTTCGGGTTCCGCTCCAGGTGCAGCATCGTCGGCGGCAAGCACACTGAGTACACCAATGCAAGACGATACCCCTTCGTCACCTTCTCCACAGCGTGCTCTGCGTCAGCATAATGCACCGCGTAGTGCGTCAGGTACGTGGCTGTGCCGTCCGCTGCACCGAAATCATGCCGGTGCTTCACTCGGCCGTCACGGTACACGACCAGATCCCCTCCTTCGTGCAGACTCGGTGGCTGCACCACCAGCGTGGCGATCATGCCGTCCTCCTTCTCCGTGTCCTGGTGCTTGACGAAGTGGCCGCCCTCCCCGTACACCAGCAGCTTGAACAGCACGCACTGCAGCGGGATGCCCTTGTACCCGAGTCGGTCGGCGATGGCCACCGCCATCTTGTCGATGCCCGCTTGTCACGATGGGTTCTTGAATTGCACTTGGTCCGGTGCCAGTTGCCAGCTCTTGCGGACACTCTCATCCAACTTGGTGTCCATGTTGTGGCCGAACGGGGACTTGGCACACTTGTCGATGAGCTTCAGGGCCCGCTCCTCCCACAGAGGCACGGGCACGGGCCCCACGCCGTTGACAAAGAGGCTTGGAACGGGCGGCAGCAGGTCGGCTTGGCCCCCGAAGGAGAAGTCTCCCAAGTGCTCGCTTGCTCCGCCCAGTACGTTGCTGATCTTGGTGCAGGCGGCTCCTGTTGGGGCTGGGACGTCGTCCAGGTCACCTTTGCCGGCAAACGGCCAGTCCTTCTCGCCGAAGTCTTCCTCCAGATCCGGGTCTTGGTCATAGAGAACCTCGCGTTCGTCGCTGTCGGACATGCTTGGTAGTAGAGAGGGGGCTTGGCTTGTGGGTTGTGGAGAAAGTTTGAGAATGAGGAGCGGATGAGGTATGGCCTCGGGTTGATATCTACGAAACTTCATGTTTGTATGAACAAGTGCAAGTGAAAGCTTGCACTTGCCCATACACGACTCGAGATTGGTGGTAATACTACGAGTGTTACTCGACAGCGTAGTATTACGTTGAGGTGGGAATTAAGTTGAAGGCTGTGGTAAGTAAAGCTGGTTGTCGAAGACTTCTTTCGACAGGCCTCGCCAGCCCAAAACTATGAATCCTGTTCACCGTGGAACAGCTTTGGAGCTTGGTCGCACAGACTCAATGAGTAGCCCGTTGTTACTGCACAGAAGCTTGCATAGGTACAATGTTGGTCGGCTTACCTTCGAGCTCCGAGAACGGTGGATACTTTGTTATCAGTAGGTGGCTGTACCGAACCGCTACACGTGCGTGGCTACAGTAGATTCGCGCAGATTCGATGCGCGACTATCATCTGAATAACGACGTGCATCCCAGAGGGCGGTATCCCAGGGCGTGCGGCGCTCTTTCTCTCTCTTAGTCTCACGATGGCACTCGCGAACTTGCCGATGCAAGTCACGCCACCAACGAGCAAGACACAGATCGATGGGGGCCCAAGCGGCAGTCCTGAGCGAGGTGGCGGTGGTCGACCCCACCACCAACGACCCGAGTCGTGAGCGTGGACTTCTGGTCGAGCAATGCCGAGACGAGGACCTCTACGAGCGAAGAACGATCAAGCAGAAGGTCGTTCTGGGCATCCTGTACGCCGTTGTGGCCCTCGAAGCGCTCTACTTGGTCGGGCTCGTCGTCATGTACATCACCGACTGGTTCGTCCTTCTTCTAGCTGCGGCTCAGAGACTAAAGCGGCTTCGCTCGTAATCCTGACTCAGCCCGCAAGCGCAAGACCCACACCAGTTTCAGCGTCAACTCTCGTGAGTTCCATGCGGCGACAGCACCGGCGGTGACTTCGACTTTCCTTCTTGTGATCATTATTTTTAACTTCTTCAAATATGCTCTAAAGTGCTCGACCAGTGAGTCCACAACTTGCTTAAAATGTGCTCGACCTTCCCATTAAACTGCGCGAGCAACGCCGAAGGAAGTGCCAGGAACCACCAGGAACCAAGACGTCGGTAATGTTGATGCAGCAGATCGCGCAAATTTTGCCTTTTGCCTGCAAGTCGTTCGATTGGTCCGTGAATTCTGTCCAATCAAAATCGTTCACTTATCGTATTTCCACCAATCCACGACAATATTGAAGTTAATTGCTAAAACTGTATCCATGATTGGATGCGCCTATTGGCTATTGAAGTTAATTGCTAAAAACTGTATGATTGGATGCCCCGTGTGCGTCACTCCAATTTGTGGTGCGTCACTCCAAGATCCGTCGCTTTTGGCTGGCAATGGACACTCGGGTATTTGAGCCGTAGCCCGCACCGCACCGCACGCCGTCGCCGTCGTCGTCCTAGTAATGTTGCTCAAGCGCGTTCTGTCCGCGCGTCGCGTGACGCTCGCCCGCTTCGCGGCCGCCCACGCGCGCGCGCTGTCCACGTCGTCGTACGCCCCGGCCGACGCCTTCCTGCACCGCCACCTGGGCGTGGCCTCGGAGAAGGACCGCGCCGCCATGCTGGCCACCGTGGGCTTCGACAGCGTCGAGGCGCTGGTGGCCGCCACGGTGCCCGCGGAGATCCGCCTCGAGCGGCCGCTGGACCTGCCGCCGCCGCTCAGCGAGAGCGAGGCGCTGGCCAAGCTCAAGGCGCTGGCGGCCAAGAACCAGACGCTCAAGTCCTTCATCGGCATGGGCTTCAGCGACACGCTCACGCCCGCGCCCATCGTGCGCCACATCCTGGAGAACCCGGGCTGGTACACGTCCTACACGCCGTACCAGGCCGAGGTGTCCCAGGGCCGCCTCGAGATGCTGCTCAACTTCCAGACCATGATCCTGGAGCTCACGGGCCTCGAGTTCGCCAACGCGTCGCTGCTGGACGAGGCCACGGCGGCCGCCGAGGCCATGGCGCTGGCCCACGGCAACTTCAACGGCAAGCGCGCCAAGTTCTTCGTGGACCAGGACGCGCACCCGCAGACCATCGGCATGATGCGCACGCGCGCCGAGAACGTGGGCATCGAGCTCGTGGTGGGCAACCCCAAGACGGACCTGGACCTGCAGGACCAGGGCTACAGCGGCGTGCTGCTGCAGTACCCCACGACCTTCGGAGAGGTGAACGACTACCGCCAGTTCGTGGACGACGCGCACAAGTCCAAGCTCGTGGTGGCCGTGGCCACGGACCCGCTCAGTCTCACGCAGCTCACGCCGCCCGGCGAGTGGGGCGCCGACATCGCCCTGGGCTCGGCGCAGCGCTTCGGCGTGCCCATGATGTTTGGCGGCCCGCACGCCGCCTTCCTGGCCACGACCAAGAAGTACCACCGCAAGATGCCCGGCCGCATCATTGGCGTGTCCGTCGACTCGCGCGGCGAGCCGGCGGTGCGCATGGCCATGCAGACCCGCGAGCAGCACATTCGTCGTGACAAGGCCACCAGCAACATCTGCACGGCACAGGCGCTGCTGGCCAACATGGCGGCCGCCTACGCTATCTACCACGGCCCCGAGGGTCTGGACAAGATCGCCACGCGCGCCAACCTGTACGCCGCGACGCTCGCCGCTGGCCTGGAGAAGTTCGCGCCCAAGTGCAAGGTCGTGAACGACGCCTTCTTCGACACGCTGGACATCGACGTCTCGCAGTCGGGCAAGACGGCTTCGGACGTGGCGACGGCCGCCACGAAGCACGGCGTGAACGTGCGCGTCATCGACGACAAGCGCGTGGGTGTGTCCATGGGCGAGAGCGTCGACCTGGCCGATGTGGAGAAGCTGCTGCTGGCATTCGGTGCTGCCGAGAGCGACCTGCCCAAGGATCTGGAGCAGGCCCTAGGCGCGCGCGCGGAGGAGATCCAGAAGAATAGCATCCCGGAGGGCCTCCGTCGTACAACGCCGTTCCTGGAGCACAGCATCTTCCACAAGTACCGCTCGGAGACGGAGCTCACCCGCTACCTGAAGCAGCTGGAGGACAAGGACCTGGCCCTCAACCGCTCCATGATCTCGCTGGGAAGCTGCACCATGAAGCTGAACGCCGTGTCGGAGCTGGCCCCCATCTCGTGGCCCGAGTTCACCAACGTGCACCCGTTCGTGCCGAAGGAGCAGAGCGCTGGCTACCGCGAGCTGATTGAATCGCTGAACCACTCGCTGGCCGTCATCACGGGCTTCAGCGCCGTGTCGACGCAGCCGCAGAGTGGCGCGCAGGGCGAGTACGCGGGTCTGCTGACGATCCGCAACTACCAGCGCTCTATCGGCCAGGGCCACCGCAACGTGTGCCTCATCCCGGTGTCTGCTCACGGAACCAATCCCGCTAGCGCTGTCATGGCCGGCATGAAGGTCGTGGTGGTCAAGTCGGACGAGAACGGCAACGTGGACCGCGAGGACCTGGCTGCCAAGGCGGCTGAGCACTCGGACAACCTCAGCGCTTTCATGATCACGTATCCGTCGACGTTCGGCGTGTTCGAGCCGGGTATCAAGGACATGGTGGACCTCATCCACTTGCACGGTGCCCAGGTCTACATGGACGGCGCCAACATGAACGCGCAGGTGGCCCTGTGCAGCCCCGGTGACATCGGCGCCGATGTGTGCCACCTGAACCTGCACAAGACCTTCTGCATCCCTCACGGCGGCGGTGGTCCGGGTGTCGGCTCCATCGGTGTGGCGGCCCACTTGGCCCCATTCTTGCCGGGCCACTCGGTGATGCCGACGGGCGGTGAGGGCGAGCACACGGTGAAGAAAACGGAGTCGGCTGTCAGCGGATCGCCCTTCGGCAGCGCCGGCATTCTGCCGATCCCGTGGATGTACATCAACATGCTCGGCGAGGACGGCCTGAAGCAGGCAACGTCGACCGCTATCCTGAACGCCAACTACATGGCCAAGAAGCTGGAGAGCCACTACGAGGTTGTGTTCCGCGGTGCCAACGGTACGTGCGCGCACGAGTTCATCATCGACATCCGCCCGTTCAAGGAGTTTGGCATCGTGGAGGAGGACGTCGCCAAGCGTCTGCAGGACTTCGGCTTCCACAGCCCCACCATGTCGTGGCCTGTGCCCGGCACGCTCATGATCGAGCCTACAGAGAGCGAGAGCAAGGCCGAGATGGACCGCTTCTGCGAGGCTTTGGCCATCATCCGTCGCGAGATCGAGGACGTCGCCACTGGAGTCATCGCTGTGGAGGACTCGCCGCTCAAGCATGCGCCGCATACGGTGGACCAGGTTACGGCTGCCGGGTGGACCCGCAAGTACTCGCGTGAGCAGGGCGCGTTCCCTGCCCCGTGGCACCAGGGAGGCAAGAACAAGACGTACTGGCCGTCTGTGGGCCGCGTCGACAACGTGCACGGCGACCGCCACCTCGTGTGCAGCTGCCCGCCCCTCTCGGACTACGAGTAAGGAGACCAAGGCTTGTTGATGGTAATCTCGCTGGTGTAGCCACCAGGCTGGCTGCAGGGCTGAGGCTTTGCGTTTGGCACTTCAACTAGGCAGAACCATCCTCCCCCTTCACGGCTTCTTTCATCGGGTGCTGCATCCGGTGGCTTGCCAACGACCGACGCCATTACCGTACGTCGCTCGGGCTCGACGATAAGTGCCATGCGGGAGGCGGCGGCTGGACTTGTCGGGTGCTGTAGATTGAAAACCCTCTGCGTTGCTGCTGCTTGGGGTTTATCAGGGTGACTTTGCCAATACTAACATAAAATGAATGTCTAAAGGCGATGCACACAGAAGAGGAGAATTTGTTTTACTGAAGTAGACCAGAGCTTACAGAGGTGCGAAGACTAACGTTGGGTTGGACTGGAAGAGCAGCTCCTTCACTGCTACGTAGTCGAAGCTGGACGAGTTCAGGTTGGATACGACGCGTGCAACGCTCTTTGTGAACTTCGGCACTCTCTCGACGTCGCGTCTGCGTCCGTCGTGTCGAACTTTACCTTCCCAGCCATTTTCGCCGCAGAGTGTGAGCCACTTGGACTCTTTGAGGATCAGCGGTTGATAGTGTTTGCCTCCAGAAGCGGGATCTTCGATGGACGTGAGGAATGAAGACATCTTCTCGTAGCTCTTGCACGGCTGCAGGCACAAAAAATATCTTCACTTCAGATGATGATCGAGTTTGGATGGAGATTGGGCAAATACAAGAATTGAGCAAGTACAAGAAGGACGCACCCGAAACCAGAAAATCATGCCAGCCTCTTCCTTCAATGTTAACATCTCGAGAAAGTCTTGATCGAAGCACATGTACCTGTAGTCGAAGTGCTGCTTCTGTAGGACGTTGTGCTTGTCAAACACCCTAACCAAAGAGGCGACGAGTGTAAGCTTCAGCAAGCCTTCAGCCAAGCCCAGATACTGTACCATTTCCTCTCGGTGTCGAAGATGAGTAACGCAGGCTCCAAGACGTCTCGTGGCACTAGCTGATATGTGCGTTCCAGCTTGGTAATAGAGAGAAACACGGTGCGATTCGGACACGGAGCGATTGGCCACTTAGCAAGTGACGGCGGACGCTCGACCGGATTTCCTGTCGGAGTCAAGTAGCTCCGCTTTTTCGCGCGCTGTTGATGCAAGGTAGCGAGTTCCTTCGTGATGGTCTGCACTTGCTCCACTTCCTCCTTCCTGGTAGCTTGCTGTAGCCGTCGCATGCGACTTTCCTTCATTATCAAGTTCTGCAGTCGCTGCATCTGAACGAGTGAGGTTAGTGAAGTGTTCGTCCTCCATCTGAGCTAGAAACAACCTCACTCTCACCAGTTGCTCCGGTTGTAAATTAATCTCGTAGGCGTTGCGTGCCTTGAGTTCAACTCGCAGTTCGCTCGTCGACATGGCCCATGGATCGCAAATTTTGCCCAGCGATGCGAATCGCAGGTAGATCGTGTCGTTATTGAGAATATCTACGGAGAAACGACATCAGTTGCAAGGTACTCACGAAAGCCTTGAGGACCTCTTACTCACAGTAGCCATCCAGCGTTCCGTCGAGGCGGAGGATCCGACCTTTGAACGTGTAAAAGTGCTCAGCAAGAGGGAGCTTCGCGAATGGACTCTTGGAGATCTTCCACTGGCTTACAATGAACCGCTGCAAGTCCTCCATTTTGGCGGAGGGCAAGACAATAGCCGGGAACTTTTCTTGCTTGAACACTGGGGTGCTGACGTCGGTGGGATCCCCAGTACTGGCATTGGCGTCATCGTTGTTGCTGCTCTGGCCGTGCACGACTTGGCACGTGGCGACGAACACGGTGAACTTTTCAAGTTTTGCCACCGTCGGCTTCTTCGCCAAAGAAGACTGCCTCGGTGGATCCATAGTGCAAGACAAGTGTTTGTTCGACACGAAGCGACGCCTGTTTCGAAAAGACTTGGTCACCGCCTCATTTTCCAAATTCAATAGAGGAGATATCTGACTCGCAGTGTTTGGGGAGGTTCCGCATTTTAGTTTGGAACCTTGCGAAAAGCTTGACTCTTGTTCTACGCAACCCCCCTGATAGCTGGCAAGGAGGTTGAAATTGTTAGGGATCAGTTCCTTGTTGTTGCCTTTGCTATCTCTAAAGTTTTAAATAAATAGAGAAACGAGTGCGACTGTCCTCTCCACTTACTGCATTGATATCGGTTGCGTTCATTGCGCTACACGTATTATATCGAATATTGTTTCAGACGATGAATACAACTAGAGATGCCAACGAAGGCGTTAAAAACTTAAAATTTCTGCTGGCACTACGGAAGCAAATCTATTGCATTGTTAATGCGTTGTACTACTTCGAAGTACTTGCATAACCCCAGGTAAAATGTCAGTTGCTGTGTATGACGAAAAACTTGGTCTTCTGCTAACTTTTTCATTGTACCCCGTGTAAGCGCAATTAAATAGGTAGGTTCAGTTTTTAAACCGTTGTGGTTGAAACCACCGGGGTACTTCTTCAGGAAAACCGCGTTGAAGGTTGTACTTCGCCCGAGCCTTGCTGCCTTTGATAGCAACATTTTCGGCGCCGAGATACTGCTTGATCAAGCTTGGGTAGTTTCCATTCTCCACCCACTGGGCCGTCTTCTGGGCCCACTTGCTGGTCCATTCCGCAGATGGCGTAAAGGCGCGACGTTGTCGATGTCGTGGCTCTTCTCGTTGACAGCGTCTGGCGAGTGGCCCGACACAGCAGCAGCGGATGGAGTCACCGTTGAATGTTGGGTTTGACCTGCATCACGAGCTGCTGCAACAGCGTCACGGCTCGGAAGAAGAGTCTCCGCAGCCTCAAACAGATAGGCGAAACGCACGTGATCGATGCTGCGATATGGACGGCTTGGTGTTTTGTATTGGCGCAAGTTGCGAAGTGAGATTAGGCAGCAGCGAACTCTGATTGGAACCTAGAAAACTGCATCGAGGAAGACGCGACAGAAGTACACCCTTCACTCTAATAATTAGGGTCAGACTAATTAGAGTCTAATTAGCCCTTCTAGCCCCAGACCTTATTCTGTATCCTACAGAATAAGCATTAGACTTGATTAAAGTATACTTCAAAACCTGTCAAAGATTTGCTGTTGGAAGCCCTTTCGCATCTTGCGGTCAAGCGCTGGGTACATTGTGCACAGAACAGCTACGAAAGTGAACAAAACATGCTCAATGTATCGACCATATGCCGAAATGGCGAGCTTCTATTGGTCGTGGCGAGCGTAGAGCACGCTCAAAACCTGCTACATGGTAATACCTTGCAAGGCTGCTAAGGCAGCATACTTCGGCTCCAGCCACCCATCTTCGGCACGTCGCGATAAACGCGGATGAAGAAATCGCCCAGTTCCTCCTCACTACGTCAGTTAGGAACTGGGCGAATTCTTCCTTGTGCTTGACATTAGCGCATCATTAGATTTCTTTAGCCCACCTAACAAGCTTGTTACGATTGTCTCTCTAACAACACCAGGGAGCTTGCATGCTCAATAGCCCGTAATGACACGCACTACACACGGTTCCTCTTGTACGAAACAGGACAATATATGATATTCATGCCAACGTCTACTTCTTCCTTTACATGCGCACGCTCTTCAATGTTCGCGCCAGCCGTGGGTCATCTTCACCATTTTGGCAGCCTCCGCTTTGCTCTGTAGCCTCCGGCACTGCCGCTTCATTCCTGCCGCTTTCATCGGTAGCCTCCGTCGTAGCCTCTGTCCCTTCTTCTGTAATCTCCGGTGTAACCTCATCACGCGGAGAGCTTCTTCTGTAGCATCCGCCGTAGCATCTACCGCTTCTTCTGTAGTCTCCGGTGTAGCCACACCATGAGGAGCGCTTCTTCTGTAGCCTTTTGAGTAGCCACTGCATCAGCTACAATATAGCGGTACACCCGGCTGTAGCCGGCTTCGTAGGAACCGATGAGGTTGTGCGCTGACTCCGCAATCGATCTGCCAATCGGGCCACACGCGAGAGCTCATAGCGTCGTCTGGGTCGGATCACCAGGTCTGGCAATCAACATCGCAACGTAGAATCAATATACCACTAGTACAATGTTACAGAGCAAAGTACACGCTCTCGCTTACCTGTAGATCACAATGGCGCTCATCATGATCGTCTTCGGCCATGGTCCTTGGCCACTTGGGCGCGCTCGACGGGCCCCAACAAAGCTTGCATTGCGACGTCTTGAAAAGCGCAGTTTCGGAATGAAGGAAAGTACGAGTGGCTGACACGCGGCGGTTTTAGGCTTCCACCCGAATTTTCAAACCTGTTGGTGGTTTATACTCGTCCGTCTATTACCGCGGAATAAACCCCGTCTATCTTCCCATCGCTAATCTAACAGGAAGATGTGCACAATACCGGCTATACAAACATCCATATGCGAAGTTCGAAAGAGAGGACACGTTTGCTGGATATTATGTCCTGTGACAATGCTTATTCTGTAGGATACAGAATACGGGGTTAGAGGGGTTAGTATGACCCTGACTAATTATGGTAGTTGATTTTTGTGGGAGAAAGTTGAACTTTTAATTAGCTCTTGCATTACAATATTTGTTTTGACGAGAATCTAAGACCATGATTGGCTTCAGCTCGTCGAGATCTGTCCAAATCCGCTCTCTTTGAGTCCTTTTGAGCTGTTTGGGAAATTTTGGGGAGCGATGTGTCACGAAAAAGTACGAAAGCATGACTATTTTCGAAGCACGACTAATGAGAGTGAAGGGTGTAGTGATGGCACAGGGCGTGTGCCACAGGCACCAGTAGGCTTCAGGCGTTAAATCTCACAATTCATTCGGCAACATATTGTATGTGCCCAGTCTACCCGACAGCCTTTCTTCGCAAATAAGCCGACGGTGGTCAAGCTTGAAAAGATCACTGTGCTCGTCGCCGTCCACCAAGTCGCAAGCAACAACAGCAACGATACCGACACCGGTAGTGGGTTCTTTCCATACCAGCACCCCAGTGTTCAAGCGAGAAAATTATACCCGGTTGCCCTCAGCCAAAATGGAGGGCCTGTAGCGATCCATTGTAAGCCAATGGAGTAGATTCTGCGGGCCTGGTAAGGCCGCGGGTCAGTATGATCCATATCCAGATCCGCGAATATCTTACAGCGAAGATATTATTCCTTTCATGCCCGACCCATATCCATAACAGGGAAATATGGCTTAGTCAGCCTTGGTGACATACTACATTGATCTAGCTGTGGATGAACTGTAGTGTATCCACTCCCCAGTGGACGTTAAGAGAGGCCAAAATGGGGAACACGGCCGAGGGCGAGCGAATGCGAGTGCGAGGCTCACTCAATGCGTTCACCGGTCACCAACACCCGCCGATCAGGCGGGGGCGTGTCTGCGCGAGCGAGCGAAGGCGAGCGCTGCAACCCAATATTTTTTTTCCTAGACACCGCGCCTGGCCAAGCCGAGGACTTAGCGTAAGGCACGAGGGGGTGGGGCAGGCCGCGGAGCGAGAGAGGGGCGGGCCCCCCGAAGTGCCGTCGCTAAGTCCGCAGGCGAGAGCCAACGGGCGAGTGTCCTACTAGTACTCGATCAATCGATTTGTCTACAAGCGTCTCCTGCTCTGGCGAACCTGCTTTAAGCTGCTGCCCAGTCGACTTAAGGATCTTGGGATTTGATTGCATATTCAGGGTCTTTGGAGTTGCAACATTAGGGTGCCTAAAGCGACTTTAAGGTCGCTTAAAGTCGTTTTAGCTTCAGTCATGTCACAACTTAAAGTTGCTTCAACGCGATACAGGTATTCGTCACCTTGTTTTTCGTTATAATCAAGATTTGCTGTCGCGGTCATCTAACTTGTCGTTATACTTCGTATAGAAGTAATTGTACATATTGTGCTTTACTTCGTTTTTGTCTAAACGAAGCTCTATTGTGAAAACCGGTAAAGATGTCCAGACCAGATTAAGGAGGGGTAGAAAAATATGAAAAGGGGTACGCCAAATCCTAAATCGTAAACCGTCCATGTGCAAATCCCTATCAAATGCTAACGATAGCCTAGCTTCCTGAGCTATATAAATGGCCGCAGAGGTGCACTGGATCGTGCAGCGGGATAGAGCAAGCGTATAAGCAGCCACTCGTGCCAAATTTCAGCCCCGTGAATAGTTCAGACGCAGACACATATTGCATGTACCCATCGGGTGTTTCATGTATACGGCAGCGTCGAGTTTGCCGTCCACGTTGACATGGGGCACCGTTCATATAAACGAGCTACCCTCATAATGCCCAGTGTCACATGGGCATTCGACGTGATTGATTATAAATCGACGGCAGTCCGCGGTATATGAACAGGGCTGGGGAACGCCAAATCGGAGCAGCATCCTATTTAACGGAAATTACCGAATAATACCCCGGGCACTATTCATTAGTACCCTCCCATTTTCAAAACAAATATGCTAAATTATGGATATTACACAGTATAAACATGATTTCGACAATTTATTCATAAGTATATACTTAACATTGTAACCCTGGGATACACATTGGGTTACGTTTTAGAGGGTACTATACGGGTAAGGGGTATTATTCGGGAATTTACGTTATATATAACAAAACAAGGTCTCAGCCGCTTAATAAGCACCCAAATCGATCGATTTGCAAAACAATTGGATATAGTGTTCCGTTTTCACAATAACTCGTTGTTTTATAATCTAGCTCAATATTAATTCGTTGTTTATCATGATTCAATGACACCCATTTCGATGGCATCGCTTGTCATTTAGAGCCCACCGTTGCTTTGGGCTTGGATTGTCATTGGAGTGGTGCGTTTACTCACGCCAATTCACGCTTTCTTCCGTAAGTCAAGCTTAAAGCGTGCTTTTAGCCACAGTTAGATGATTATGATAAGGATTTGAAGTTGAATAAACTCGCTTACATGTATTGTGCTTTGCAGTTATTTTGCCGAACATTTTAGACGCTAAATATGGCAAAGCCTGCTCCTAAATATGTGTGAAAGAAGATACACGACCTGCTAAAATTATGCATAAATCCACCTCCTCATATATATATCGACTTGGGAGGGCCTGTCAGCAGCCATGCATTGGCCCAGTACACCACCGTCCATGATCCCCAGCACATCCACCCTCTTATGCATAATTGCCGTGTGTGAGGTGCTTGTGGATAAAAACCGACAGAATTGCAGCTGCACAGCCACAATTGCACTTTCAAAAGTGCAATTGTGGCACTTTTAGCGTAATTATAGGCCTCCACCCATTTATGTACCTCGATTTATCGTAAATTTAGCAGGTGGTCGCTATAAATGCAGCAAATCTCGCCTCATATTGCCAAAATCATGGCAAAGCACAATATTATATTATAATATTATATTAACAACAGAGAGAACGACTGCAAAGCATAATACAGGCTACGAACACTTTTTGAAGTGAAAAATAAAAATATACTTGTACTGCTGCTACATGGATAATCCGGAGATTGTCTAAATTTCAAGGACATGTGGACGCGTACAGTGCATATTTATTTCTGAACTGTTTGCCTGCAAAACATAGATTACAATATCTGCACTTCCTGCTATTGACCACCAGTTTTGTCCTGAGCTTTGCAAGTTCATCCTACCTCAATGTGGCCAATGGCCACTTTTACTGGGCTGTGCAGCTCCAAGCCTTCTGGCCAAAGATTCGGCTTGGCTCACTTCTCAACTTGCGATTTCGCCGGCACCCTCAAGTTTTCTAGACCGCAACTAAGATCGAATCATGCGCTTCAGTTGCATCCTGTTTGGGGCGGCCGCCGCTCTTCTCGCAACTACCAACGTTGTATCGGCGACCACAGACGCCAAGCTCTCGAAGGCGATTTCGTCCGACGTAGTTGTGCCGGTCGACTCGACGAGTGCTGCTAACCGTGATGACGAAGGCGACAACGAGGAGAGGGGGATGTATCCATACACTATGTCTTGGGCGCAGATCAATAAATGGACCAAAAGAGCTGAGGGATGGGTGGCGTCGAACTACTCGCCAAGCGAAATGAAGACGATGCTGGGCATTACGAAAAGCATCCATCCGCGCAGTAAGGCGAAGCAAAAGTACGACTTGTTTCTCGCGGCGTGGCTGAAGAAGCATCCTGGCGGCATCTAAGCGTCTGACAGAGGGTCAGGACGCGCGCAAATACATACGTATTTTAATACGTATTTTAGCTCGGCCGTTAAACAGCAATCAAGCTGCTGTCTTGGTCTAAATAACCGTTCTTACTTCTGTCCCTTTTGCTAATACTCTTCCTAGCTATAAACAATTGCAAGATGCCATAAGCCAGGGCTGGTACAGGTAGGGTTCACTCAGGACGCAGCTTCGCCTGGGCATAAGAAGTTTAGGCAATGATAGGACGCCATGTTCCTCCCGCAGAGCCACCAGACTCTTTGTAGGGGGCAAGTAAGGCTTAGGTTCGTCTGATACAACGCTGCGTGTTCCTTTGTGATGATCGCATTTGGTCGAGTTGCTCCTTCCCGGTAGCTTGTTGTAGACGTATCAAATCCTGTAGTCGTTGGATTTGCATCTGAAGACGTACTAGGTCTCTCGTTAGAAAAACTACACGGCTCGCCAGCTCACCGGGTTGTAAGTTGATGGCGTAGGCATTGCGTGCCTTGAGTCGCGGTTACATTGTGTCGTTGTTGAGAGTATCTACAAAACAACAACTGAAACAGTGTGTGTGCCCTCGAAAACCTTATGGTCCACGCTGCAGCAGTGCGCGGCATTGGGTGTAGTTAGCCGTCTAAACCGCAACAAATTCAAATTCGAAAACGTTATGATCCCCTTGCTTAGAATAGTCATACAACGTTCCATCGAGGTAGGCTTGAACGTGTAGAAATGCTCAACAAGAGGAAATTTCATCTTCCATTGGGGTTAGATATTAATCGGGTCGTCTGCGGGTCTGGTAAGGCCGAGGGTCGGGCATGTATATTTCGTTGGTCTTTCTCTGGTCAGTCTGATTAGCAGCCCTAACCGTAAAATTACTGCGCATAGTAAACTGCAGTAAAAAGACCTCCGCGAGTGCTGTCATCTTGCAATATTAAGGAGGATGGATGTCACGAGAGCCAAATCCCCAAAACGGCCGTTACAGTCAAAAGGAACGCGCGTAGTTTTGGCAATATGAAAGCTCTAGAGGCATGTTTGGCCTCGATGAATCGATCTAGGCCACCCCTATAGGCCCTATGCGTTTGAACGGTGTTCAGAGCTTGCAGGCATGATTGAACGAAGATAGTTGTTTAGTGAATCGTCAAGGATTCATTCACCCCAATACATTTGTTGCTCAATGAGCATGTTGAAAGGTTGATGTAATATTGTGAGTTCTACTCTAATTTTCCGATCGGGGCGGATTGGATCGACCGTGGCAAACCGCCGGCGAATCGCCAAAGCACTTGGGTTGACTATGGTCGCCCGGCTAGACTCCCTACTAAGTACGGATTGGGCTTGACATGCGGGCACAGAACCATATGTTTGTGGCCGGCGATTCGGCAAATGACTTGATGTTTGTATTGGACGGTTGGACCCAAAACCGACGGCCGGAATTCACAATATATGAAAGGTTAATGCATGGTATGTATTATACAAACTCTTTAGACCCCCCGCTGCCATCAGATCTGTGATGCCGCGGTTGTAACACAGTAACTTCAAACTGGTTGATCATAAGATTTGATGAATGAACTTGAGTACTTAAGTAGAAAACGTCGAGGCCGTCATATCCGGATAGTACTTATGACGTTGGTACTCTACGGTATCATACAATAAAAACTCTTTTCACATATCTTCAGGCACCTGCTTATCTTCATTTCGCATCTCGCACTTAAACTATCTATATATATGTGTATAAAGCACCGTGCCTTCGAGACTGCTACACAGTTCAAAACTACACCATGCGTTTCGCCCACCTCTTGCTCGTGGCCGCTTCTCGCAAGCCAGGACGCTAAGGCTTCAGTCGTAGACGCGAACCAGACCACCGCGGTTACTGTCACCATGACTGTCATCGAGAAGAGACGTCTTCGAGCCCATAAGGTCACCGACAGTGACAAGGCCGCTGAAGAAGAGAGAGCAGGCTTTACACCTACGGCGGAGTGGACTAACAAGTGGTCCAAGAAAATTTCGGAGTGGGTGGAAAACGGGAACTATCCGAGCTAGATCAAGCAGTATCTCGGCGCCGAGAATGTCGCCATCAAGGGCTGCAAGGCCCGGGCAAGTACAGCCTGTTCAACGCGGCTTTCCTGAAGACGTACCGCGGTAGTTTCAACCACAACGACCAAAACTAAGACTGGAAGCCGTCAGGGTTTCTTTTGGTGGTATATTGTACACCTTGATGGGTCCTCGTTTCGTTTCTCAGTGAGGTACATTGATGTCACTTAGGCTAGCTAACGACTTCCTATGTCTTGATGGGTCCTCGTGTACCTTCGCTGTTTCAGGTGATTTGTTCTCTAAGCGGATAGCTTAGAGCCAGCGTCATTTCTTGTCAGACCATCAGTTTAATACATTCGGTACATTTTAATATGAACTAGAGTATCCAAAATCTCATGGTATTACCGGTATAAAGCAGCGCAGCGTCCGGATCGATGCTTTTGACGTGGTTTTGGATTTGGAATAAAACTTAAGCAAAACAAAATGTGCGGTTTACTTCACACCCTCAATTAGATGGGCGTGATGTTTGCTGCAGCAAGAACCTAAGTAAAGCAATATGAACGCATGGCGCAGCGAAATTAGCGCCAATTTGCACCGCGTACTTTATAACTGCAGTAACGTAAATTGCAGATGTAGTTCGTAAAAATAGAGGTATTTTACTAGGTGCGGCTCGCGAAGAAGTCTCGTTGGATGACATTATACTGGGTTGCAACAACTCACGCACCATGGAGTACTACAGTTTTCTTCCTGATCGTGGGGTGAGCAAAAACAAGATAGTAACAGAAATAGCGATAACAATATCAGTTTCAAAGTCAGTAACTAATAGCGGTTGCAGTAGCGGTGGTATTGACAGTAGGGCAGTTGCAGTGGTAGCTGGCAGTGATCGTGACGCAGGCGAACAATTCCAATAGCAATATACCGAATAAAAATTATTGTGCCTTTCACTTATTCTGCCGTGATAATTCTGGCATAACTCTAATCCGTTATCGACCTTAATTATGCCCCGAGTTAGCTAATTCCCATGTTAATTCCGGGTCGTCCCTCCGTGGCCGAATTAGGATGAGGCCGACTCAAGGCGGAATAAGCTAATCCAGCCTTCGTTATTAATAGACGGAAACAGAGCGATTGGCGGTTTCCTATCCGCCAATTCATGCCATTCTGTTCGTATCTCCGTCGATTAGCTCTCAAATGCTGATCGCGGATGTTAGGGGAAGCGCTCACAATCTTAAACATAATTAGCACTAAATAAGCATTGATCACCCTTTTATGACTCTAATTCCGCCTGAATTAACAGCTCACGCGCCAAAATACGTGAAAGACACAATACGTCATATTGATATTACTTACGCAGCAATACAAGTCACACACATTATTTGGAAAAGAGGAGAGTGATTTATAAGGGTCTAGAGGACGATAAGATCATCGATAATGTTTGGATCGCGTCGTTTTCACCACGGTGGACGGCGATATTCAGATGGCATCTACTTATAAATTTAGTTTGAGCAAGCCATGAAATGCCCCGTGATATTATGCAGCAAGTCAAGCAGTATGGAGTAGATTTTGGCAGTCTTTCTCAGGCATGAAAAAGAAAGCAGGAGCAATATCATTACAGTGCCATTATCAATGCTGGAGATCGTAGTTGTAGCGTAAATAACAACGGTAGCGGTAGTGGCAGAAGATAATAAACAGTCGCAGTAGCGATAGCAGCAGATACGAACAAGCAATATCAATGACAGCATTACTATGACATCATTAACAGTAGTGAAATAGTAGTTGTAGTAGCTGTAGTACAGCCGCTCTAGCTGTAGTTGCAGTAGTGGTAAGCAGATAGTGACTGTGGCCAGCAGTAACGCGCGCCACAGGTAACATAACAAATGCAATATCTTTAACAATAGTGGAATATGAGTAGTATAGCAATATAAGTAGTGATGAGGTAGGAGTAGCAGCAGCAGCGATAGTGCCAGTGTCAGTGACAGTGGCTGAAGCAGTGGCAGTAGCAGTTACAGTAGCAGCCGCAGTAGCTGTAGTATGGCAGTGGTGGCGACAGTGGCAGTTGCAATAAATACCAATTGCAGCATGATGTTGTCAACATCAGGGCCCCTCCAATTCAGTATTATATTGAATTGGTAAAATTGCTAGACAGTAATAATGATTTAAATATGACGATAACCAAAGCTAATTATTATACTGATTAAATATTTCAATTCCATGCGTCTTGACAGTGTTTTTGAATACCCTGAAATCATACGAGCCAATGATACAAATTTCAATATGGCGCTTGCCGATAACACATTTTCGTCATATTAATTGACAATGTTCATTTTGAATTTTTTTATTCATACCCCTGGTCAACATCAATTATAATAGTATGAAAATTTATGTTTCTTGTAGTAATATGAAGCGTTTCATGTATAGTACTCACAATAATATTGGTGATAATGTTAATAACAGTAACAAGTGCAGACTGGCGCTGAGGCGCGGCGCGTCCTAACCGTTTTAGTAGCAAAAAACACAAAATTGTTCGGTCCGCTTAGAGACCCGCACGCGAAGCACGCCCCAGTATTCCTGCTGAATAGTTACTACCGGTATGTAGTGGGCCAAGGCGAACAAAAACTTGTATTCAATATTCAAGTTTTTTTTTTGGTAACTTGTATAATACAAGTTACCAAAAAAAACGAATACAAGTTGTATTCAAGTTTGATTCTTTGATGTTCTAGAAAAAGGGAGCCCGTGGTTTCCGGATATAAAAATAAAATACGAGCATCAGTGCATCACGTGCTCAAAAGCAAACTTTCACCACAATGACAGCGCTGGGGAAAGCAGGGGCTTTTTCCATGCTCGCCGAGACTGCGGTACGATGCTCACCATAGCGCAGCAACTAAACCCGAACTTATTTGGGCCTTTACTATTCGTCAATCCTAGGAAGAGTTCATTCAACTCGAGTGTGCACGGCGACGAAATCGAGCAAGTCTAAAGCGTCGATCTTCGTTGCCTTCTCAATTCCATGTATCTGGCCACAAGTCTCGCTTGAAAGAGAAACTCGCGCAAGCTCGTCGGCACGCATTTCTGTTGCGAGCTGACAACAAGGCCGCCATCGTTGGCATCGTTGACAATGTACGAGAACTCGCGAGCAACGGTGAGGAAGGCGGCCGCGAGAATAAAACGCCACAGCGCAACAACGGACCGAGTCCCTTGGAACGCGACCGCTTCATGAGTTGGGCTGCTGACATCGAAAAACTGTTGTATGAATTCGAACCAAGCGAAAACCACGCCGACGACCCCCTATTACGGATCTTGGAGCACCTTCAGTTCCTGCAAGACGGCCATGTTTGTCTTGCCGAGGTGGCGATGGATGCCAGGGCTCTCTTAGAGCGTTGGGATCGCTCAGGAGTCTTCGATTCGGAATCCTCTAGTGAGGATGAGGATGATGACAACGCTGACAAATCTGGCCGTATCCCAGATAACCCTGGGCTTCTCCCTCCAGATCCAGCCAAAGAGCAAATCCGACATCTAGAACAGTCGTACGCCTACCAAAGTGTTCGCCAGCGCGCTGCTGCTGGTATCATCAAACGTAATGTTCTGGCTTGGGTGAGATCGAAGGCTTCTTTCTGTGAGCGCGTAGCGGAAATTGAAATGTTCGGCCGTACAACTGAAGCGCTGTTAAAAGAGCTGAGCCTGACATCCGCGGCTCTTGCTGGGGCCAACTCAAACGGAAACACTGACATATTTGCACTTGCAAGTGGACGGTGCGATCCAAAATCCAGATACAGCAACACTATTGCTTTCAAAGACTTGCTCCAGTTCTCGAAACACATGGCGCTTTTTCCAGTCGATCAGGCACTCCGCACCGTGGAAGATGTTACTCGACGCCGATATCTCTTTGACTCGCGCTGCGCGATGAAAATTCAGTCCATATGGCGCCAAGTGCGTGAGGCTGTTCGAGCTCGTCGCCTGCGTCGCGCGATGGAGGAGCTGCGCTTGCAACGAGAGCGGGAAGCGCAGGCGAAACGTGAGGCTGCCAAGGAGGCGAAAAAGCGGAAAGCATCGGAAGCGGGAAAGCGGAAAACCACTAAGACGCTCAAACGTTCGAGTACAGTGCGGTCAGCAGTGATTTCTGCCGCCGTCACGAAACCCAATACGGCAATTGAGAACCCAAAAGATCCACCTAGGCAGCTGACACCATCTGAAAGCCAGGAGCAGTCTGGAGATGCCAATGAAAAACGAAAGCTAATATCCCCGCTGATATCTCCCAACGATGTCTCAACTCATCGCAGCAGTACTCGTGATAGTACTTCCTCCGTCTTCAGTGACAGGGTCAAGCCACCATCGCCAACTCCACGAAGTAGACCGCGACCATCTCGAGACACCGGGGCAAATAGTCCTGACAGCGATGATGACACCACAGATGTAGAGGCAGCGTGGAAATCGTTCATGGACACAGTGGCAGCCGACGTCGCCGTACAAGAGCCACCCGGGGACAGCGAGGCAACCACAACGTTAGAAGAGGAACCTGCCAGCGATCCGATGCCACCAGTAGTACTGCCACCGATGGAAGACAATTGGGAGTCGTGGTCAGACGATGAGGCTGAAGTCGGTAACAACGACAATCTCGAGATCGAAGACAGAAATGATCGTCGACTTAATTCTGCGAGGTCATCAAGCTCGATGACGTCGGCAACTCCAACTCCCAGGATAAAAGTTGTGGTGTCTGTCAACAAGTCTGCAGTGCCCGATGCCCCAGTGAGTAGCCGCATGTCGCGTCGTGAGACTACGGCACCGAGGAGGAATGTTTCTCGACCGCCCACGAATCGGAGTACCTCGGTGGTAAGACCGCCATCGTCCTTGCCGTTTGATGCTACCCTGCACAATCATACGGGGCCCTACACTGGCGCTGGCCAATTAAGCTTGATGGCCCCCTTTGTCGACGCTGATAGAAGCAAGAAATCCCAGTCCAGTGTTGCTCCAGAAAGGAAGCATCTGTATGATCTTGATTTCAGCGGCGCCGAAAGAAAAGACGCCTCATTTGCTCACATTGCACGAGCGTTTATTGGTTCCCACGAACCGGAGCTGAACCAGCTCCCATCTGCTCCGCCTCGACCGAAAACACCCGAGAAACTTGGAACCACACCCATGGAAACGCCCCGTGCAGGATCGAGACGAACAACAATTGCCAGACTTCGGAGCATTACTGGAGGAAACGAACAAAGCACAAGAGCAAATGAGCTGCTGAACACCGACAATCAAGACAGCAAGGATCAGCAAGACAACAGCTCAAATAAGCCGGGTTATTTCATCTATGGATCGAAAGGTAAGCGTACCTGATCATTTCCTGGGTTGAAACATCTTCACGTATTCATGACACTTGTGTTCAATCTTAATCAGGCGTAAATATCCAGCGCATGGTGGTTATACGGAAAGGAACAATGGTTTACTCTCCATTATCGGGACCGCCTGAAGAACCATTAACTGAACCTGGCAAGGCTGCTAAAGAGTGGCAGCGCTCGACAACGGTGGTGACCCCACAAGAACTAGCAATCCCGCACCGTCCTGTCAGACGCTTTCAGCAACCACACCGGAGACGGCTTCGAGGTCCTCGGTGTCAGCCCGTTGAAAATGAACAGACAGATCCAATTGAGACGATCGGACCCCCGTCAGCCAAATACCCAAAAAGACGAACGGAAAAGCGTAGCGAACTGCCGTTGCTACTGCGTCGAACCCGGGCAGCAGCTCGTCGCCAAACCGTCGATCGATCGGATCTGTTAGCTGACGAAAGCGGCGATCAACTTCCAGACGCCCCAGCACCGGACACAAACAAGCAAATGTGGAAGCGCGGCGGAGAGCTGCCCGAGTTGGCCTTGGCGCAGATCCGCGATCGCGTGGGCTACAAGTCGAAGCCCCCGCATCAGAGGCGCATGTCCATCATCGCTGGGCGTGCGCCTCCCGCGGCTGCGCTTCGAAGAAATGGCAGTTCGTCAGTGATTAAAGAGCGACCGGACACGGTCTTCACAGTTGCGGAGGGCGACGAAGAAGAGGAAGGGGATGAAGACGACGCTGCCGCCAGCCATCACAGCGACAACCACGGAGACGATAGCGAAGACGAACGACCTGAGACCGGTGACGCAGATGGCGACATCGAGGACAACGTACCAGTCGAGAGTCCCGGCGACGACAACAGCAAAAAGAGTCAGGAGCTGAACGAGGAGTTCCGGCGTCTGACTCTGGCGAGTCGCGAGCGCGAGCTCACGCGCCGACGGTCGTTGCTGGCGCAGCTACAGAACGAAGAGGAGGCTGCTGCTGCTGTCGCTGCTGCAGAAGATAGTCGACGACAATCCACAGACGCAAGTGAGCTCGAACAGCAGAAGACGGGGCGAGGGATGTGGAGGCGGAAGAGTCACGCGACTCGCAGCACCAAGCAAGTGGGCGACGACAGCGACTTCAACGCCAACCCAGGCGACGTGACTGCGTTCTCCTACGGTTCCAGCGACGAGGACTCGGACGGTGGGAGGCGTCGCCGGCTGCGCGTCAAGACTCGCGTCGCTATGGCCGACCCATGCTCCGATCTCAGCGACGATGAGAGCGACCGCGAAGCCCCTACCGACAACGACGCGCTGGACGTGAAGCTCAGCGTTGGCATGACGCAGCAAGAGCGAGACGCCGCCTTCCAGAAGCTCCTCACGCAGTACCTGGGGCTGCTCCAGTGCGCACCGGCGGAGGTTGCGCGGCGGCTTCAAGTCAACAGTTGAAGTTGCAGAGTGATTGTCATCCACCTATCTAACAGCATACAACATGTCATATCGCAGTTTCCCCCTTCCCCGAAAGAACAACCAGCGACCATTCAACCAGCAACCGCCTAGCGCCACGATGGACGCGTCCGCCGCCTCTGCTCATGCCGACGAGATGCTGGAGCTGACGCTCGGGGACGTGGAGGACGCAGAGAGGCGCTCGCAATCCAAGTCGCAGACGGCGGACGCGGCCGCGAGCTTCGACGGCTTCGCACATGACGGCGCCGAGCAGAGCGGCGAGCCGCTGGCCATGCCGCTGACGCTGCCCACGTCCCCGACGCTGCTGCCTTTGACGTCGTCGCCTAGGGCCGCGAGCCGCCAGCAGCTGAGCGTGCAGCAGTACTTCCAGAGCGAGAGCGAGAGCGCCGCGGGCGATTTTAACGCCGAGGTGCAGAAGTCTAATGACGAATATCGACGCTTAACAGACGCAATTAACCTTAACGTACCGAGTGATACCGGTACAACCGGTAAGTACGACTCGAATACGGGACGGCCAACTGCCTCGTCTCAGGTGGTGGACATAATGTCCAGCTCGACCAAGACGGGCAAGAAGCGGAAGCAGGGCACCAACGTGAGCATCGACCTGCAGACCAAGATCCGCATCATCGAAGTGGCCGAGCAGTACCAGTACGACCCCAAGAGCTCGTCCAGCCGCAGCAAGCGGGAGGGCGGGGCCATGTCGGGCCAGCACGGCAAGGAGGTCGTGAACGGCATCCGACTCGCGGAGCAGTTCGGTCTCAACAAGAGCACGGTGAGCCGTATCTTGAAGCGCAAGGAAGAGTTCAAGAAGGCCTACTACAAGGACAACGTCTCGGGCTGCTCGAAGCACATCAACAAGAAGTCGAGGTTCGACAAGCTCAACCGGCTGGTGGAGAACTGGTTCGACATGAACCGGGAGAAGAACGGGACTGTTTCCGACACGCTCATCCGTGACGTGGGCAAGCGCTATGCTGAAGAGCTCGGCATCGAAGACTTCCGAGGGTCGAATGGATGGGTGCGCAGTCTGCGCAACCGCAAGGAACACTCGGAACGGGCCACGGTGTCAATGGAGATTCAGGAGGCTGAGAAGAGGAAGAAGGACAACGAAGCGGTTGAGCGCATGCGCGTTCTCTTTCCTAACGGTGCCAAGGATATGGCTGGCTTTTTCAAGGACCTGTCTACCTATCTGGAAAGAGACGGCGGAGGCATGGGCGGCTTCGGGGATATGAATGGAAACACCAGTAGCAGCAGCGGCGACAGTGCAAGGGATACTGCTGTTGTCCTCGCTGGGGCCTCCTACACAGACATGGACGACATCTCACGCGAAGATGGCAACGCGGTGGCTGAAGAATTCCTCAAGAAGAAGATGGTCGAGTCGCTGCGTGCATGGTCACAGGAGTTGATGGCATTGGAGCTAGCCAAGCTGAAGAAGCGCATGAAGCCGCGGCAGGCTGCTGTTCTATAGTGCTGATGTTTTGATGTGGCCCTGTGAGTGAATGTGTCGCCCGACCATCTATCTACCAGCCGAGCGTGTTCGATGCTGCTGTAGCTTCCACTGTTTTCCTATACAGTCCCCATTCTCTTTCAACCCCAGTGTTTGTCGCCAAAATTATCGACACTTGCCAGTATTTCTGTCTAATCGGCAGCATCGCATCGCAATGTACCGGTCGCGCTCAAGTTATCAACCAGGCATGCTGATTTTGTAGGGATGGCCCCGCGACGACTTCTCCTGAGGAAAGACCGAACACTGGACCGGGCCACCAACGTCGGCGTCACTTTACCAAGCTTCAACTTCGTGGAAGCTCGTCCTCCTCGGCGTCGACGCGATGCCCCCCGCGCTGTCACTGCTGCGTCGGACTTCCCAGCTCTCAATGGGTCAGAGCTGAACAACACGGTGCAGCAGCGAGCAGTGGTAGATCTGGACGAAATCCTTTACAGCACGGTATCGCGGCGAGCAGAGCGATTCGAGGATCCCTCGATGACGCAGGAGACCAAGATGGCGCGTGTCTGGCAAGCGTTGCTCCGACACTCTGAGCGCGGCCGCTTCGGAAACCCTGATGCTGGGAGTGTGAATCCCATCTGCACGGCTCTGTGCCTGGAAGCCACGGACAAAATCCTCGCAGCGTGCGGAGCATCGACACTGCTCCGGAGCGTGCTTGTTGGTGGGCTAGCGAATTCGGTGTACACGCAGTATGATCCAGACCAGGAATTCGAAAAGCAAGAGCAGTACGCGCAAGTTGTATGGCGCCAGAACAAGCAAATAACCACACAGGATGAGGAGATTACGAAGCTGGTGAAACTGCGTGAGCTGGCGGAGCAGCACGTGTTTGATCAGCTGAGTGCGGCTGGCGTCGGTCAGCTACTGCAGCAAATGGATCTGTCCCGTCGTGTTAGCGCTGTGACTGAGATGCTGGCGCCCGTACTCGACGACGAGCTGCTTCTTGTTCTTTGGAATGCAACCGCCACGACGCAGGCGTCAGCTAACCAGCTCCTCCGAGTTGAGGCACCAGACAGTGATGCTAGTGATACTAGCCCAGAGTCCATGACGTGGAACGAGACGAGGAAGCGAGGGGCTGCTCTCGCGAGCCTCGTGCTCCAAGAACGTGTCCGCCTCGTGATTCTGGTGTGGCAACGACTAAGCACAGAAGAAAAGCGGCTAGCGTACAAGACACTCGACCCATCCATCTCGACCACGCAGGCGGCCGCTACACTCAAGAGCGTGCTGCATGCGCTGGAGGAGACTTATGTCTCCGAGTTGATCCACCACCAGCGCCAACTCTCTCGGCGAAACTTAAACCTGGCCTCACAACTCGGAATCATCAACGAGTCTGGCGCAAACAAACCGTCAGCCCCAGGAAGACACGTCGGCTTGACACCTACAGCCCCACGAGCGCTAGGAAAGCTTCGCGGTTCTCGAGCCCGCGCACGCACCATACTGCTAAGTGGAGACTCTGGGGACTTGCCTTACGCTGCTGCAGAACCCAAGACGTCGATCCCGCAGGTTCTGTTGGGCGCGCTGGTCTCATCAAGTCCAGGCTACGGGCGCTTGAGTCAAATCCACTTGTCTCCCAACCAAGGGCGTTCCCGGCCGGTGAGCTCCGGAATCCTACCAGAGCAACTTCTTGCATCTCACAGTGACGTCCTTCGCACGTGCGAAGACGTCTTTGATTTACTCTGCGAGATCGAACAGCAGCAAGTAGCTGCCCTTGAAGAGCACAATGGTGAGCCCGGCAGCAATTGGGAGGAAATTGGGGAGAGAATAGTGATGGAAGCTCGCGTTAAGCTTCGAGACCTGCTGTGCACGTATGTGGAGCCATCGGAGCCGATTCAAGAGCGATTCCACCGATGCGAGGATGCACGTGACAAGCGAGTGGAGCTTGAAAGTATTCGCTCCGACGACGAGCGCAAACTCACGGAGCTGATGACTGCCATCATTTCTGGACAGCGTCGCAACCCCGAACTGCTGGTCAATGCAGTGAACCGTAGTCCGGAGACGCTTCTTAGCGCCATGGCGCTGAATCCGGGTATGTTGCTCTTCGCTATCACGAAGTTCCCTGACGCAGTGAAGCGCTTCCTGTCGTTGGACCCTAAAGCTTGTGATTTCTTGGACGGACTTGTTCAAAAGCACAGGGGAGTTCAATTACTGTGGAAATCCACCGGTATCGCCGGTGGCCACGAAGTTTTTCTGCCGGTAAACAGACTGAGGAAGCTGTCGATTGCTGCTGAGGAGCTGGCTATGGCATTGCCGTCTGGTGAGTCACTGGAGCAGGGAGCGTTGCTGCTACTCGAGTGGTTCACGTCCCATTTGAACGATCTGACTGATCTGTTGCTTGAGCATCCCAAGCCGCTACAATTGCTGTTCATTAAAATGCACCAGCGGGGCGATGTGTCGGCTTTCTTCCAGCTCATGCTGCTACTTCAGCAGACCCCGGGCGTCCAGAACTTCATCTCACGAGCGTCGGTGGCAACTCTTGAGCGTCTTGCGCTGGAAGACCAGTCCGCTGTGCTGTCTGTCCTCCGTGAGATTTTTCAGTATCGTGAAAGCCACAGCGAGAACAGCGGCGACGATTCTCCCGCCCGTCCAAACCGTGATCTACTTCATGAGCTCCAAGCGTCTCCGCACCTCGTAGCGTGTCTGACCGCTATGGATCCGAACGTGCTACAGGAAGTCTTCTTGGGCAATATCGATGTATGGGCGCCGTTCTTCGTAGATATGGTGTCTTCCAGCGATGCACTGCTACGTCAGAGCGTCGTTCAACGGGTACGTAAGGTGGCTTCTAACATGCTTTGGCCATCGTCTAACGCTTTCTTCTTCTTCTACGCTTACAGACTAATCACGTTGAAGGCGGTGACACGCTGCTACGGCTACTAACAGCCGTCATGGATGGCACCACTGCCGTTTTGGACCTTGCAGCGTTAGATCGAGCCCTCTCTGCGTCGGACGTGGAGCAAGCAAAGCAGCGAGAGGCTACTGCGCGCAGAAAGGAGCATCAGTGCATTTATCTACACGGTCGATCTACTGTCTTTGGTGCCGTTGTTGCACCTCAGATCGCTGTTATCGGGTACAACCCGCGTCGATTCTTGTTGTGTCAGACCGGGGCGGCAGCAGCGACTCCTGCTAGTCCCGCTATGGTCGCTTCATCCATGCAAGACCGGGGCAATAAAGACAACAAAGGCCGGACGCTGCTGCGTCCTGCCCGGGCGAAGAAACCTACTCCGTCGGCGCTAACAACAGGGAGGAAGCGTCAACTCCGAAGCGGTGAGACCAGCGGATTCCAGGCTCCACCAATGTCAAGCGGTGACAACAGTACCAGCGAGAAGATTCTCATCGCCAGAGGCGGCGAGGTGCCCTTGATGTGGCAGCTCTACCTACGAGCCCACTCTGCTCTACAGTCGAGAGAAGATGCTGAGGGAGCAAGAGAATCGTTGCCCTCTCTGTCCAAGCCACGGGTGAAGGCGTTGGTTCTGGATATCTGGCTCGATTTTCTCAAGACGGATCACTTGCAACTAGAGAACGCAAGCCTTTGGTCTGTTGCTCCGTTCGTATGCGACTACTTGATTGCTCGATATAATGCACCGGCGGCGGTAGGTGCACGTCTCGAGAATCTGCTGAACGGGTTGGTCGCGTTTCAAGACGATCCGCGCGTGGCTTTCTTCGCCTCAGCCTGTGGATTGGGGGATGTGAAGACATCGGACGCGTATGAAGCAGGACCACCGAGCTACGACGTGTTCCTCTACTACATGCACGCCCTCGCCCATTTATTCTATGGCCAAATGAGAATCTTCCAGTCAGGAAAGCGCTTGGACGAAACCCCGAGCGGAAGCTGTCCGATCGACGTTCATCACGCTTTGGCTGTCACGAACGCACTCTTCACGTTTTCACTCACGGAGACAGCGATACGTTTGCTGCGTGCCGAGATTGAAGGCCTTCCCCGTATCAAAGCGACATCACTACTGGGAATGACTGACCTGCCAGTTGCAGAGGTTGCTGGCGAATCGAGTGACGAAAGCACTGTCGAAATCATCGTCGACCATACTGAAGGAACGACCCGATTCGTCGAACTGGACGATGTCATGAGCATCTTCCTGAAGCAGTGGACGGCCAAGACCCACCAAACAGAGGAGGTAAGATGGATGCTTTACAATGCGACTTGGGTGCATATATCACGTCTAACACGTTGGTTGTTGTGCTTATTTTGCAGCGGTATCGCCAGGCATTTGCTGCAAATGATTTGGGCGGAGACCGGATAGGGGTGGACGAGTTCGTCAAGATTGTCACGGGGGTCAGTGCGGGTCGAATCTCTGCGCGGGAGTGTCGTCTGGTCTTCGGCGACGCTGGCCAGGAGTTCATGAACTTGGAAATGTTCATGCGCGTGACGCGCGCGTACCAGCTCCGCGCCTTCGACACTCACCTACCGGAAGTCAGCCTGGATGAGCGAGACCTGCAGGACTTGCGGCTGTCTGTGGGCCACGCCAATGTTGTGTCCACGCAACGAGAGGTCGAGGACCTGGCGAGGTATTGGCGCAGTGTGCGCTCGGATGTGGTGCACCAACTCGAAGCTGCTCACCAGAAGAAGGCCACCAAGACCATCCTCAAGAAGCAGAGCGCGTTGATCGAGAAGCTCGTGGCCAGCACTCCCCCACTGCTCCAGCAACTCCAAGTACAGCAGCCATTCGCCAAACGCCAGGCCACGAGCTCAGCACACACTGCGGCGCTGCAGGAGAAGCTGGATCGGATGTGGCACGAGGTGCGCACCTGTGTCAAGATGCTGCATCGGGCCAAGCTCACGCAGCACTACCTCAGTGGCCTGTTCATCCGGTCCAACATGCTGCGGTGGATCCGTCAGGCCCGCAAACGCGCCCACGAAGAAGAAGAGCGCCAACCGTCTCGCCTGCCCACACCTCTCCTCCCCTCTGGCTCGAGCATCTCCAAGGCAGGCTCAGTTCAAAGCTTGAGCTCTCCAACGGGGCTGTAGACGTGCATGTACATGTATGTATCCATTATGAAATTGTATCTTTTCGGTGATCGCATGTGTCGTTTCGCGAGCATACTGACAACAACAGCAATGCAGGCGGATACCAGGCACATGCAGCAGTACAAGAGGATCGAGCGGGTTCAGGGCATCCAGAGCGGCGAACTGTTCGTTCGAGTCAACAATGCGGAGCTTTGTGAGCCCCACGGGACGCTCCACGGCGCTCACCCCTTCTTGCAGAAGCTGCTGCATCTTCAGGAGGACGGTCCGAGAGCGATGCAGCGTCTCGTACAGCCCAGCGACTCCAAACTGTCGTTCGCTCGCAAGTTGCGACGGCAGATTCGACAGCGGAAGCGCTGCGCAGTGAAGCGTTGGGGCGCTGTGCAAGACGCCGTGGCGTCGCACGACAGCGCGAGTGTAGATTTGATAGCGGGTCACCTCTCGCCGGCGGTACATCCTGCTTCGGGTGCGCTGGATCGGTACTCGCAGCAGTTCCAGAGGCTTGAAAAAGCCTACAAGCAGCACGTAACGAGCAACATATTGCATTTGTACGCGCTACTCCAAGCTGAACGTCGGTACATTGCGGCGTGGAGTGAACGCGAGGAAGCCAAGTGTCGAGACCAGCGGGCACTCACCAAGTTGCTATACCAGTTCAAGTGCGTCTCTATGAGTTACAGTGGAAATCAATGGTGGGAGCTAACGATTGTTCATTGTGCAGTTCTTTTGCGTTGCAGCTCGAGAGCGAGACGTCAGGGCAAGTTCGAATGTGGCGACTGCCGCCGTCTGACGCACAGCGTAAGCGCTGCGTCAAGGCGGCGACGGAGAACATCAAGAAGCGCTTCTTCACGTCGCCTGAGCAGTCTCTGGAAGTGCTCGAAGTCTACAAGATCGAGAACCGGGTGCTACTGAGCAACTTCCAGAGATTCACCACGTCACTAGCCCAGACGACTGCTGATATCAAGATGAAGGGGCTGTTTTGTAGCGTCCCAGCAGAAAGTGTAGAGCGCTGCGTTGCGTACGGGATGCACGCGTCACCGAGCGGAGAGGAACCGCGTTTCGTAGACTCACAGGGGGCGGAAGCCAAGATCTTCAATCGTTCTGTGTACGTACCAGGCATAATATCGCTTCTCTCGCGCAAAAGGTTTCACGGACGCTTTTCCAATGAGTTTGTAGGCTACTACAGGATCGTGATGATGCTCCGGGGACCAACATGGCGTTTCGAGCACGTTCGAATGTGAGTGATAGCACTTCACTCCACTTTCCCCGGCGCTTCAGCAGATACAGCACGTTGGAGGAGATGCGGTCGGCCATGACAGCCTCTCCGAAAGACCAGCCACCCCCTGTACTGTACCTCGGACTCTGTCGAGTCGCCATAGGGAAGACCATTCGAGCGATGGACAACACAAGCGCTGTTTTCCCTGATGACCCAACGATCGGTGCACTCCACTTCACCAACGAAGTACGTTTTTGCGAGAAATATTTATTTAAAACTGAAAACTCACGGCGATTTTGTTTGATGCTACAGGAAGAGTATTTGGTGCGGTACCCGGATGCGGTTGTGCCGGAGTTTATCATACAGATTCGCGTTGCCACACCTCCTGCCCCGCTTGCTGTGAAATTTTCAGAAAGTTTTATTCCAGTTTCGCTGACATCACCAGTATCAAGTCTTTCGCCTGGCGCATTTCAGGACTTCATCTATAGTGCGGCATTCGACAGTGTTGGCTCGGCAGTTTCCGCGTTCCCCCTGACAGTACCAGCCTCGGATCGGCATAACAGCTTTTTCGCAGCAAATGGACCGCCAGCTTTTATGGATTCCCAGCAGGAGGAGAATGCTCTCGCAAATAGTACTGGCGAGCAGCTGCAGCAGATATCTCCCGAGACCGTCTTGGCGAACTGCGCTAGCCAAAAGATACAAGTACGAGAGAGTTTTCAGCGTATTGAACGGTTGTTTTGGGCGCGAGCGCGTGAGATTTGGGAAGAAGAAGGCATCCGAAGTGGTCTCAAGGTGCAGTTGGACCGGAGCTTACAGGAAGGAGCGCAGCATATCAGAACACAAGAACTTCGAGGCGAGCTTGCCTTGCTGAACCAAATGCAACACGATACGGAGTGCGTAGTTCTAGAACCACCATCAAAACCCCGAAGCCAGAGCGCTAAACAGTCAGTAACGCATTCGCTTCGTCGGCGATAGCTAGCTTGACTGTGCAGCCAAGCATAACGAAAAAATACGTGCTATCTTGTATTTTTAGTAGACACTCATTTTTTGCCGCGTTAAATATTTATTTGGCTTCAATATCGTGGGCATCTTTTCCTGCAACCACCTCTATCGTATTCTTGTCGGTTCTAAAAGTTCTGCTGGTGATCACTTGACGCGGGGCACTCCTTGGAATTGCCGAAGGACTCTGCTACATGTACACAAAACAAATCTTTAAACGAGTTCCGAGTAGCCACGGCCTCGGGAACTTCTAGAACTGTAAGCCCGACGAACTCCACTTCGTTTCGCAGATCTGTTCGGCAGGTACAGACGGCGTTGGCGATCGACCATCGGTAATCACAGCGTTTCCTGCAGTATTTCCAGCGGATCTTCTGACGTGAGTCAGGGCCGTTGGATAGGCAAGGCAACAATTCGTGCCCGCCCACCAGATGACGAGTTAATGGTTAGAGGGTATTGACATCATCAATTGACAGTGTTTCGATGATCGTTGTGGCTGCTCCGCTGCTGTACCAGTCAAGTGACGCGAGGGTGAACGCCGGCGCACATGACCGATCAAATGTCAATGGTCCATTTTCTGTGGACAAGCATGAGTCTAAAATTATTTACAGGTTATTATAATGAGAATGAGCGTAACAAGCGTCGGCGCGCCAAACCGTCCCGAGTACAGTTTATAGATGTAGTGAATCTGCAGAAGAGAGCGCATCGGTAGTGGCGTACATGTACAATTTCGCACTGGGTATCGTTTGGATCGCTTTCGGCGACCACAGTTAGCGCTAATGCAACGTTAGCAAAACAGCTGATGGCGACTAGGAAATGAAACGGCAGCGCTTCAACAAATTGGTGACTCCGAACGGCAGTGGAATGTCCGCCCAGTGGGCGGCCCACCGCTGCTTAACGGCCAAATCATCACTGTTGCTCATGCCACAGCGCTTTGACTTGTTGAGTCCTTGTGCTTCAGTGGTCATCGGACAATCGTTGTCTGCCCTGAAACAACAAGGCAAGTGCTACATGAAATTGACAATCTTAATAAATGGCCTCAACATTTATTGTGCTTTGCACGAACTTTGGCATGCGATTAAGGGCTCTAAACCAACGAGCAAATCCTTCCCGGTGATCATATCTCGCAGCCTAAGTCTAAGTTAAAGTTAAGCTAATCAACCGCCAATACCAAGCACAACGCAGAGCAAGAACGGAGCGGTTGCCACTGCAAGAATAAATCGGTTGTCGCTGCAAGAAAACAAACTGATAAGGTCCCCGATAGAATGGCGCCAAACTCCTTGCATAATAGTAAGCACCGATTTCGGCGGGGACGTTTTCTTTCGCTCTCTTCGTCGTGGCCTTGCGCGTTAAACCAAGCTCGAATTTCAGAGCACGGCATATAGTAGCTGTAGAAAATTTCTACTAGAAATGTTTGGTAGTGCAGGAAACGCTGACTTTAAAGCTGCTTGCAGCTCCTCGATATAAAAACAGGGATGTTCTTCAATATTGCAGACGTAGTTTAGTATGATAGATCGCCAACGCATGTCAATCATCGACTAGAAAGCAATCAGACAAAGCGAGCGAGTTAGAATTAGAATGTCAGGGCCGTAGTATTGTCGGATTTACTCCAGCCATTCAACGAAAGTGAGCATAACTCAACGTTAACTCGTTGTCTTAGCAGCTATTCTATCTTAAATCGACGAGTTAGCCTCCTAACTCAATGATGGGCTAATCACCGTGATTTGCTAAAACAACGAATTACGTCAGAAAGCATGCAAGGCACAATACTTCATTGCATTCCTCGTAAACGATATAACGAATATTTAATTTGTAAAATTAAAGTACAAATATATATTAACGGCCATCACGGTCGTTCCAGTGCAACTGCCATCGAATCGTCGTCCACGGAGGTCAAGAAGGCGCATAATGCTGGAAACCTTTAAATCTTGCGTCGATTTTGCTCTGTCTTCTATTGCGACTTGGGCGCTAGATCGAGTTGCGAAGCCTTTGTTTCTACTACTGGGGTGCCAGTCTCCGCGCCCGAGGATTCTAGCGTGCATCGTTGTCGAAGCCAAAACATGGATAGTGTTTGAATAATACTGGTGGATACTTGGACTATTAATAAAGGTTTGGCCGCAATACGTGTATTCCTACATGGACAGTTAGCGTGCGGAAGGACTTTACAGCGATCAACGGCACACGCGCAATTCGCCTGTGAGCGGCCGCGTCTTCTATTGCGGCATTGCATCAGCCATCTGCCGTACGAAAAACTGGCACAGCACCCTCCCCATACCACGGTGCTTTGGGCCGCGCTATGTATCTTCACATTGTCGCACCCAGCAGAGATCAGTTCCGATTTCTCTTCTTTCTACGCTCTACCGATAATGATAACGACCCCCATCGCCTTGGTCCAGTACAGCCAGCGACCTCCCACCATAAGAGGGTCGAAGCGAAAGGCTGAGCAGATGAACGTCGCTACCAATGGTGAACCGACAGCCAAGTGTCCATACCTCGGCAAGTGCCAGTACAAGACCGGCAAGTGCTTTAACGAACGCACCCTCAAGCGCAATGGTGACGCACACTCCCTGTGTGAGGAGCACCGTATCAAGCAGAACTTGAATCAACGTCGGAGTGACCGCAAGTATCAGAAGGTGCACGCAATTCGCTGCCGGCATCGCCGTGCTTTGCTGAAGAAGCAGGTTTCGATGATTATGGCCCAGCAGCTCTTCCTAGGACAGCAGCAGCAGAAGACTTTTGTCACCCCGCTGTCGCAGTGCAATGCGTCGCACATGATCTCTACCAACTCCAACTGTGACCCGGTCACTGCTTCAGCATCAACACCAGCCAATGTTGCACGCCGTTTCCAGGTGCTGCAGCCTTCGTCAGCTTTCGTGCTGGACAGCCAGAACAACATCGGATCGTCTCTGGTATTGTCATTCAGTAACGCGGAAGCCACCGAACTGTCGCCAATTACAAGCGTCAACGACGAATTCACCCCCAGCGGTATCGACAACTTCACCCCTTATTTGTTCCAGAGGGCCCCGGACGTCCAGTCCCTAGCGGTGCAGCAGTTCGTTGAGAGTGATGAAAGCAGCAGTGTTGGCGACAACTTGGGCTACGTACCGATCGGCTCAAGCTTAGGTGACAAGCATCCATGTACATGGAGTAACGACGATATTGAGCTCCTGCAGACCATTCTGCTGGCCTGAACTGCACCAAATTAATAAAAGAGCCTAGGGATACTCTCTACTGCATAATGAAACTGTAATTCACTGCACTTGTTGTCTTTCAAGCGCGACGCCGCCAGCCCTGAGGTTTTAACAGACCTTTTGGCGTGTTCAGTAATATATCCAGTTTTTCCGAATTCCAACGACTGGAAATGCGTCATGAGTACGAATAAAAAATGCGTCGAAGCGGTTTTTACTGAGTTGTCTGGTTTAGAGCTGTCACAAATTCATTTTTTGTCTCTTTGGTCGATAGCCCTACAACTCCCCACCCCAAAAAAAGATTTTTAAATCGTTTTTGTAAGAGTAGAAACCGAATCTGGCATCGGAATGGCCTACGACTGGAGGCTCCAAGTCGGAGTAGCAGCACTACTGCTGGTACTGCTGCACCTTACCAGCCAGGGAGCATATGTGCCCCTGTGCTACTATTCTATTAGAGTGTCAGTGAGCGCGTCTCTGACATGGAACGCTATAAGAACTCCTGGAGAGCTGATGGCGCCCACTGTAACGGGGTTACACGAGAGTTACCCGAAGGGTTATGAAGTGGGTACACACTGTCGAACCTAAACCAGTAGGAGAATCAGTACATGGCTTCAGAGCCACTGATTATGCATATGTCTAGGGTTCACTATGCTAGATAGTGAACCGGATACATTTACACCGTAGGCCGCAATAAAGGGAAATACATTCAGTTTGAGATTCACACAGTTAAGAGTTAAGGGTTGACTCTTGGAGTCCGTACGGTGTACGGACTCGTACGTTCTGGTATTAGAACGGGTTATCTTAAGCTGAGACTCTGCGAGTCTGTTAAGCTTCCTCTGACGCAAAGCTACGGCAGCTCTGCTGCACTTGGTAGCACTTGTAGTCATCCGACACCTGAGTCTGTATAGACTGACCCTCTGTGGAGAATGGAGCAGTTCGCTCACTTGCCCCCGAACCAGCAGGATGCGCTTAAAAAGCTTATGTCCTTGCTGGGCCCGGAGGGCGTGACGCAACTTGCGCAGCAAGGCCCCGACGCGGTGAACGCGCGTCTCGAGGCGTTTTCAAGCTACGAGAATGCTCTGCTAGAGCACCTCCAGCAGAGGATGGCGACGGCCGCGGCGCCCCAAGCACCCGCTTTGTCATCCGACGCGGGGACAAGACCCAAGCCGCTCATGTTGAGCGTGAAGACCTTCGAAGGCAAGGAGGGTGAAAGCTTGATGCTTTGGACCCGTGAGGTTGAGATGGCTATGAGCTCAGCTCTACTCCAGACGGAGTCGCAGCGCGTGGCACTAACTATCTCGAAGCTCGGTGGGCGAGCGAGAGAGTGGGCACTAACGTCCGGGATGTCGGTCATGGTGGCCTTCCCGACGTGGGACCAGCTGAAACAGCAATTGTCCCGAGTGTTTGCTCCGCCTAACGAGGCGTATCGCGTGCGCTCACGCTTCCTGGCGACCAGGCAGAGCAAGAAAGAGTTGGTGGACTATGTCCAAGAGTTGAGAACGCTCATTGCTGGCATATCTGCGGACCCACTGCCGGAAGCAGTCACCGTTACGGTGTTCATGGAGGGCCTTCGCACTGGCGTTGCCAGGACGGAGGTGTTCCGAACCCACCCGAGCTCTTTTGAAGAGGCTGTGAGCGTCGCATTGAATGCGGAACACAACTTTAAGTCGTCGAGAGTTGGGTGGAATGCGTCTTACGCTAGCGCGCCGAGTGGTCCGGAACCCATGGACCTCAGCTATGCTGAAGACGAAGAAGCCGAGCTTCGTGCTGCTGAGCAGCGTCGCGGTATCCGCAGATGCTTCATCTGTAGTGACACCCGTCACCTTCGTGCTGGGTGTCCGCTGCGCCATCAGCGCCAGGCTTCGTCAAGCCGCTCTTCGAGTTCAAGCCAGGGCTCTGGTTTGTCTCGGGGAAACGAGAAGTCCCAGTAGGCACGGGGCGGCCTACTGGGGGAAGAACTAAGTTCTATTGAGCCTCGGCGAGGTGGAGGTCGACAGGACTTAGCCCCGAAGAGAGCCGTACTCTCTAACCCGGAACGTGTATGCAAGCCGGGCTTGCTAGTTGTCCAAGCTTGGGTGAAGGGCTTCACCAAGCCATGGACGATTTTGATCGATTCGGGAGCGTCAGGTAGCTACGCCAGGCGTTCTACGATGGATGGAAGTCAGCTTTATGCTGATGCGCTGGTAGCGCGCGGGAGTGACATCGTCACTGTTCGTCTCGCGACGGGCACTCGTGTCACGGTGCCTAAGGTCCCTGTGGACCTGGGCGTGAAGTTTTTGGATTTTGATAGCGTGGAACGCTGTTGTGACGAGGCGACGTGGTGTTTTCTCCCAGAAAACAGTTATAGGCCCTCCTTGACAGACCTCAGGCTACTAGAGCTTTGGATCCGTCTCAGCTGGCACATGGTGTGTGTTGTCCAGTACACACTGTTGGTCACGCGCACGATGTGTATCCCTTGGGTAGCGGTTCTTTTCACCAGGGGGTTAGTATCGACCCCGTGAATCAGACAGCTACGCCGGGCTAACGCTGGAACAATCCAACCCGAATAGAGTTATACACGTTATACAATCACACAAATACTTCTTTGCCCTCTCTTCTTTCTCTAGGCCCAAGGCTAAGGCCAAAATACAAGTCAACTGGTCCAAATCCAAGACACTTGATCAATCTTGGGGACGCGCACCACCACTCGGAGAGAGGAAATGATCTACCCTGTCGCCAACTACTTCAGTTCGACACAGGCCCAATAGACCGCAAATATACAACAAAGACGGTCTGCAATCCGCCAAATATACAGATATGGAATAGATATGATCACCTCCAGGCCGAAGCAGTGGATCACTTACTTAAAGTACTTTGAATTTTGTCGTGGAGAACGGCCTTCCAGGCTGTGCCCTTCGAAGCAAAACGAACTCTGTTTGGTTAAAGGTCACATGCAGACAAAATCTTTCCTAAGCGACTCTTCGGAGACTGCGATCTTTCTGCGGAGTGTTGGTCTGGCCTTGAAAGGTCGCCAAACTGGATACCTTCTCGGAGTTGTTGGGTACACCTAGGATCTTGGAAGATGCCATAGTGAAACCAAGTGTTCTTGGGTTTGGAGCCTCGGAACGCCTCAAGCCGAGGTCGTTCTTGGAATTTTGTGGGAGGTAAGTCTGGGAACGCGAAGTCTGGGAATCGTTATTCCGGGAAAACAACGGGGAATCTGAGAAGTGCCTCAGCTCCCAGGTTATAAACCAGAGTCGAGTTCCGCCGTGCTTAGATATACTGGGGAGGATCGCTCGCATTCCGTTGCACTTCATGGAACGGGATCAACTCGCCCACATTGATCTATCTTCCGGGATTCAGCGTCCATTCGCAGACATTACCCTTGTTTTAATAGGAGACTCCAAATCATCCAGTATCACCAAGCTCCACATCATTGGGACTTCCCAGGTTCAGGTGCATTCACCCGAATTTAGGGATCGACACCGCGTCACAACCGCCCCATTGGCCAATTCGAGCCACGGAGGCAACTGGAGAGTCGAGATGGGTCGAACTGGCCAACATCCGAACTCTAGTCTGGGCCGCGAGGCACTCAGACGACACGCGGGTCGAAGCAACCCGATCATCACCAGCAAAGCGGCCTTGCGCAGCAGGAACGGAGCCACGCGCGCGCGCCTTCGAAAGGGAGGCGTCCGAGCGCTAGCAGCCCCGCGCAGCTCGCATGACCACTCGCCCTAGCTCCATGTACCAGCACGTGCAAGGAAGCAGCGTATACAATGCAGGTTCGACGGTCGTTGCAGTGGTCACCACCTGCGGCAATCTTCGCGTGTCACTGCCGAGTTGGGCTTCACGCTACACTCCCGTTGGTCACGCTTCATCTCCAGTCGCCAAATCATCACTTCAAAAGTCATTCATCATTCTGGAACCAATCCATTTTGTTGTTGTCGGGTCAAGTCGTCATAGCGTCAGACTCGTACACATATAATTACATCCAGCGCCTGAATCCCAGAACTACTGGGAGTTCCCCACAGCGTCGGAATCACCACCTGCTTGCATCGCGCGAAATCGAGCCCGCGCCTTAGCGCCCTTGTTGAACTCGTAGAGCAGGTTACCACAACTTAGCTGCGTCGCCGGGAGCCATTCCAAATCTGAGTATCCTTTCCATTTCACGAGATATTCACGAACTCTTCGCGCGGTTCTGGTCCTCTTCGTCCAGCGGACGTCTTTGATAATCTCCACCTCGTACACACCAGATTGCTCTTTAGGATCCCAGCTATCTTCTGGTAATAATGCTGCGTCGAAGTCATCCTCTTCGGCCACTTCGATCTCCACCGTTGGGCGTTCTGGGAAGAGCGCCCTCGGCTTCAACCTGCTGATGTGTACCCAGGGACCTATTCGATAGCCGGTGCCTTCGATCTTTAGCCGTACGCGGAAATCATCGCGGGCTTCTTCAATTCGAAAGGGACCATGCCACATATGCGCGAATTTCTTGGTCAACCCGGGTTGCACACGGGCCAGATACAGACAGACAGAGTCACCAACTTGGAATCCAGCTTTGAGTCTTCCCGATAGTTCCCGCCATTTCTGAGTCTGGGCTTCTGAGCACAGCCGTTTAGCTTCCTTCTGCAAGTCTCGAGCCCAAGCATGGGCGAAACTATAATCGTGTTGCAACTTGCGTCTCCACTCGTAAGCCGACTTCTGTTCCAGCCCCGTGGGTGGTGGACCTAGCATAGCCGACACAGTGCTCTTCGCATCCCAGCCATGGACCAGATAGAAGGGCGTTTCGAGCCGGGTCGAATCAAAGGTGTTTAAGGCGAACACCAACTTCTCCGCATGATCATCCCAGTCGCTCTGATCTGCTTCCGCTACATAGGCCCGGATGCTCCTCACCATAGTCTGCACCGATCTTTTGGTGCCCAGCATTTCCCTGAATCGACTGAAAACTTCGCTCATAAGTCTGGGGTCTTGGTCGTGCCTGAGCATGGAGCTCGCACCGAAGCGCCGGAAGACAGCCTCTTCATAAGCTTCAGCTACGTCTTGTGCTGTCGTCGAACTCATGGGCTTACACATCACGAAACCCGAGAACATATCTTGAAATAGCAAGAGAAACGTATTCCCTCGTTCAGATTTCGGGAGGTGCGTGACAAAGTCCATCGACAGCACTTCGAACGGAGCGTTGGGCTCAAAATTCCCAGGCGACGACCCGGGATTAGGCGGCTTCCCCTTTCCAGAGGTGCAGTCCACACACTCCTTGACAAAACGTTCAACATCAGCGTAGAGGCCTGGCCAAAAGAACTCTCGACGCAGGCGTTCGTGCGTCCGCGTAATTCCTTGGTGACCGCCTTGAAGCTCTTCGTGACAGTGATGCAGCAAGTCCTGGCGCAGATCGTGAGGAACCACTAATCGAGGTTCATCTCGTGCATCTCTTGGCCTAGAAGCAGTCTACCAGCTCAGATAGTACAGAACGTCTCGGGAATCCAAGACATAATTGTCAGCAATCTTCGCCATCCTCTGTGCTTCCAGTTCAGAGGGTTCAGAGAGATCACCTCGCAGGAAAGCTTTCAACTGTCGCATCCATGGGTCGCCATCTTGGTGAGCCTTAATGCGGCGCCAGCGCTCTGCTTGGAACTCCAAAGGTGTCATGCCTGGGGTATCAGACTCCGTCTCCTCTGCATCACGAACTTCCGCTTGGGCTTGGCTCCGGGTCAGAGCGGCTAGCACGCGCGCACCAAGAGAAAGTGGTGCGTTGTCATAATCTGGGAACTCATCTACGACTGCTCTCAGTACTCGACGCTCAGCAGTGCCTTCGACCAATGGATCGACAACTCCAGATTCAGACTGTTTCACCAGCTTCTCAGGGATGCGATTCACCAAACGCAAATGCGACAACTCAAGGGGATCATCGATAACCAGTGATTCTCCAGCGGCTAGAGTCCGACTCGTGAGATAGTCCGCAGCCTGGTTGAATTCCCGCTTCACATGAATCAACTTCACAGACTGGAACTTCTGACGAACCGAATCGAACTCACTTAACAGGTGCTGAAGGTTCGGTTGATGACAGTTGATCAACCCTTGGGCCTGTTGAATAGCGATTCGGGAGTCACCGACGACAACCAAGTCGTAAACACCATGCTCCATAGCCCGTGTCGCCCTTTGATCAAGCCATGATACTCTGCATCATTGACCGTCACATCTTCCAGGAAGTAACCTCGCGCGCTGACCACAGTCCACTCTGGGAGCTTCCACAAGATACAACCACAGCTACCTTGCCTGGTAGACGTCGTCGCAGCGCCATCAAAACTGAGCAGGCAACCTGAGAAATCCTCTTCCAACATCTCCAGACTAATCGGTGGGGCAGGTGTCACTCGTCCTTTCCTCGGAATCAGGGATTCTGCCACTTTATCGAGATGTTCACGAGGCGTAATCCCAGCGCCCATGATGGCTGCCAGGCCATCCTCGTCCCTCTCAATCCGGTGAATTTCTAGATCCCAAGGCGAGAGCAGGGTGGCCCACCGTTGACAACGTCCCTCCAATGATGACGAAGTGAAAATCCACCGCAGGACTGAGTAACGAGTGTAGACCTTGATGTGACTCCCAGCAAGCATACAATGAAACACTCGCAGGACGCGCAACAACGCCACCACCTCTTTCTCAGCCGGATGATACTTAATCTCAGACTCATTGAGGGTTTTGCCAGTGTACCGAACAGGAAAAATCACACCGTCATATTCTTGGCCCAAGACAGCACTTGCAGCCCAAGGATTCGCATGCAGGATCACAACAAAGTCCTTCTCTCGGTCCGGGTGTCGTAACAGTGGCGTCGAGACGATCTTCTTCTTCAGAATCTCGAAAGCCTCTTTGGCGCGCCCCAAGTCTCGTCCTTCCCGGACTTGCTCCTCGGTCAGCTCGTAAAGCACCGATGCTATAACAGGAAGATCCTTGATAAACTTGTTGTAGTAGTTGATGCTTCCCAGAAATGACTGCACGCCTTTGAGTGTCGACGGAAATGGCAAATCATTCACACCCTTCGCGATCTTGGGTTTCGCTCGCAAGCCTTCGGCGCTGATTTCATGCGACAGGTACGGAATAGACAGCTCCCGAACTCGCTCTTGGGCAGGCTCACGGAGATTCCCCAGTAGCGTAGTCGGAACAGCAACGCGTTCAGGTCTGAGCAGAGCTGGTCCCAGGTAGGCGCCCCATGGGCGATGTCGTCAATGTATGAGCTTCTACCCAGGACTGGGCCCATTGAAAATGGGGCTGGAATGTTCCGGTGGAAAACCGTCGTTGTATCTGTCAGAGCTGGGATCTCCACTCCAGAATCGGGGACCGCTCGCTCGTCTACCTCAACTCCCAGAAACTCTAGCACATCGGGATCGACCTTGGCTTCTTCCTCAGGCGACAGTCGCACAAACCCCCAAAGACAGTTGTTCAGCATCTGCTGGTGTATCAGGGGCGCATTTTTCAACCCGAAGGGCATGCGCGACCACTGGTAGTGTCCAAGAGGACAGACAAAAGCAGAAATGAGCTTTGCCCTCTGGGTCATGAGCACCACCCAGAAGCCACTCGCCATATCCAAGCTCATAAACTACATCGCAGCTTCAAATCCAATCAGCAAGTCATCTATCAATGGTAGCGGGTAGCAAGACAGCTTGATGAGCTGGTTCACCATCCGGTAGTCGATACAAAGTCTGATATCCCTGCCGTTCTTCTTCAAAATGATTACGATGGGTGAGGCCCACTCCGAATGCGAAGTCTCGATGAGTCCGGTCTCCAACAATTTTTTGATCAGCTCGTAGACTTGGTGGAGGAAGCGTGGAGCAATCGGACGAGCGCGCTGGGCAATGGGTTTTGCGTCCCCAACATCCAGGTCGCAGACAACTCCTCTGGCAGGTGCGGGGACAGCATTGCCATCTCCTAGGAAGATCGAGCGATGATATTCCACGATACCTCTCATCTCCTTGTTCATCTCAGGAGTGGTCTTGCCTTCGACACCCACATCAGCTTCATCCATGTTCACCTTCGGGCTGAGATCCTTCAAGTCTGGGAGTACAGCCAACTGGTCTCGTAACTGCGTCAACAGCTCGGTTCCTTCATGGAAGAAGACTTCTTCATCAGGATCCAAGTCAGCTGTGACCACCCGAAGACAAATCGCGTACGCCACCTCCAGCTGCTCCACGGCATCCTCACAGATCTTGACTGGCTCTGCGCGAAACACGTCCTTCAATTCATGTCGAACTTCGGCACTACTGGTACCTCCACCAGTCAGTCCACGGTCGACATCACCAAAATCCCGATCAATGGCGAGCTCCTTTAACTCATCTGCCTGCGAGGCTTCGGCTTCGTCCATGGGAGTGACTTCCGCGGCAGTTGGAATGCCCAGATCCAGAATCTTTACATCAGCAACAGCGCTCGAGTGACTGCGGGCCTCGTCCTCAGTCTGACCCGAAGAGCTCATGGCTCGGCCACTCGAGCTCCGAGATTTCTGTAGCTCAACAGCCTTCCGGACTTCTTCAGGTGGACGTGGCAAAATCTTCGTCGGCCAAACATATTGAGGTCGCGGGACTGCGGGTGGGGCATTCCGTTCGGCTTCAAGTGCTTCCAGCTCCTCCCGTCGCCGATACTCCCGCGAAGGGATGTTCTGGTAAATCTCTTGTTGCCACTCTCGATAATTACGCGACTTCGGTTGAACAAAGCGGTCTCCTCGTGGCAGTTGCCCAGGCTCCATCAACGCTGCTACCACCGTGTGCTGCATGATCTGGGTCCACTTCTCTGAGATATTGACCACACGAACTGCAGCAGGCCGCCGTCTGGAGCTGTAGATCACTTGTGTCACCCACTGGTTCCCTCCGGCAGTCCATACCTCAGCTGTGTCAGCGTCAGCTTGGCCATACCGCACCGGAACAATGATCGAATCACCAGGAGCCAAATACACCGGCTCACGCACACAAATTGGGACTTCCAAGATGTAACGTGGAACTTCCTTCTCTCCAACCAGAGGAATGTCTTCTTCATTCGGAAGCTTAGCCAACTGCTCATGCGCGCACAGTCGTACTCCAGCCGCTTTCATGAAATCCATACCCAGCAGACAAGCGACTCCATCTCCAATGTTTCCAACCCGCATGTCCAGCACATATACCACACGCATTCCCAGTGTTAACTTCACTCGAGTCCGCGATCGGACGTACGTGATCACTCCTCCCATACCTTTCACCTTGAGTCCGGCGTGCGACGTCAACTTAAGCTTCAACCTGCGTGGCTCAATATAGTTGTGCTTGCGCCGGAATCTAGAATGATGTGTGTCCGATAGTTGTTGATCGCCCCATGCACTAATGCCACTGCATCTGGATTATCCAAGTCGTGGTCTGCCCACCACCCGTAACGTTCTCCTGGGTTCAACGTGAATTCCACTGGGGCTTCATCTTCAAATGCAGAACCTCGGAAAACGTAGTTTCGAGAAACCGGGCGCGATTCCAACAGCGATTCATCTTCACATGCAATGGCAGTCATCCATTGTGGGTTACCGATCTGGTGCCTAAGTTCTGGACCGACAAATGCAAGAGCGCAATACGCTTGGGACTTAGGCTCGACACGCACTGGGCCCTACCCAGCGAGCCTAGTTGTTTAACGACGTCCCAGACTTAGCCGGCTGTTCTTTCAGCAGTTGCTTCAGAACTTCGGTCGGCAAGTCTTGCAGCGCTCCTTGTCGCGCCAATTCCCGGACTGCCTTCAAAGCAGTCCAATCGGCACAGAGCCCTTCACGGTGAAAGTCTCCGCACTTGGAACATGGGCGACGCGAGCACTTATATGTCGGGTGTCCAGCTTCATGGCATCGGTCACAGATCAGATCCCGCCAACAATTCTGAGCGTCGTGTCCAAAACTGCGGTAATTTTCACAGAAGGGAGTTCTTTGGGAGTTGTCTCGGTATGGAGATGGTGGTCCCGCTTGTAGAATTGGAGGGCGCCAACCCATCTGCTCAGCAGCACGGAACACTTCCTCGGTCGTCGGGGGTCTGGGTACTTGGACGATAGTCTCAGAAGTCTGGGCTACGTTGAACTTCTCATAATTCACCGTACGCCCCATGCTTGGCTAGGATCACGGTCCCTGGGGCCCCTAACGGCATCGCCTTCCCTCCGAGAACCGAATCCCTCTCCACTGCACTTGTCCAAGCAGATCTGCGTTCCTTGCTGCCGTATATGTTGCAGGCCATCTTGAAGCGCTCCAGCACCGCTGCTGTTCCCCCAAGGCGCTCCGTATAGCTGCCTCTCCACTGCGTTTTCTCCGCCCCGCCGCGCCATGAACTTTACCGATATTCCCATCCACGTCGCAGGCCTGCTACGTGTGGCGCAGGCCACATTGGCACTCAGCCGAATCACGCTCGTCACTACGGTGCTGAGGATGGGCTGCGCGAAGCACACCCAACGACCTGGTGACCTGCCAGAGTCGCACGCAAGCCATGAAGGCACCGACGTCCAGTTGGGACCACGGCGTCACCCGTGGACTGGTTTCTAATGGGAAACGGCGCGGTGGACATGTAGTCCACCGTGGACCCCCCACAGGCCCCGCCTTCCGGCTGACGGTAATAAACCGCCGCAATACGCCGCCGCACGCAGCGACGCAGACAGCCAGCTTGGTCCACGGTGTCACCCGTGGCCTGGTTTCTAATGGGAAACGGCGCGGTGAGCCACAAGTAGCGCCACCGTGGACCCCCCACAGACCCCGCCTTCCGGCTGGCGGTAAGAAACCGCCGCAATACGTCGCCGCGTGCAGCAACTCAGACATCGGCTTGGTCCGCGGTGTCACCCACGAGCTGCCCGGCCAAACATAGACGCACGTCGGCCAGGTGCACGCCGTCCATTGGAGCTCAGGCCACCAGGAACGAGAGGCTCCAAAGGGAGGAAACGTCGTCCAATCGTGGCCAATCAGAGCGCTCTCGGTGCTCACCGTCGCTCTCTGATTGGCCAGACCGCTGGGTCAGCTGGCTCTATCGCCGCGCTGCCCGCTGATTGGTCCCCCTGGTGTCTTGAGCTCCACGGCGCAGATTGACGAGTAGTCCATACTATGGACTCCATAGATCGGCATATCCGCGAGAGCCTCTACATTTGACGTCTTCTTCAAGATACACTAGAATAGAAGAGATCGGCATATTTCAACCACGACTTCCACATGTAGAGAACCGCGGCGGTTGTGACCATCAGCTTTAAAACGACAAACGACATACGCCGTTGGCTTAATTGCGAGCCACAATGTTGCTGCATTGCACCGACCATCTGCCGGAGGCAGCAGTCCCGCACCACCTCTGTCAGAGGTGGTGCGGACAGAGGCTTTTTCCGTCTGGTCATACATGCGCCCGCCTGCGCCTTAAGTCGTCGCGGGTTTCACAGGTTCTCACTACCATTTCCTCTCCTTCCCGCTCACTACCAAAACCGATGGCGACCAATAACCACAGCGACATGACCACCTTGGCCCAGTCCAGCCAGCTCCTTCCAAGCGCCAGCGGGTCGCACCGTGAGGCTGAAATGACCCCCAACGGCGAGCCGGCCACCAAGCGCCCCTACCTCGGCAAGTGCCAGTACAAGACCGGCAAGTGCGTCAACGAGCGCACGCTCAAGCGCAACGGCGACGCCCACTCGCTGTGCGAGGAGCACCGCATCAAGCAGAACTTGATCCAGCGCCGCAGCGACCGCAAGTATCAGAAGGAGCACGCGATTCGCCGTCGGGAGCGTTCGCAGCGCCGCGCAGCGCTCAAGAAGCGGGTCTCGATTGCCGTGGCCCAGCAGCTCTTCATCGAGAACCAGCAGCAGCACAATACTTTCGGCTTCCAGTACGATGCTCATGCATACGCCAACAGTGGCGACATGATGGCGGCTGGATTCGCCGGTGTCGCGCCGCGTATCCGGGTGCCTCAACCGTCGGCAGCTTTCGTGCAGGAACACCAGAGCAGCGTCGGATCGCCTCTGGTGTTGTCTTTCAGCAACATGGAAGCCACCCCACTGGCTCGAACTACGGGCTTTCAGGACGAGTTGTCTCCCAGTGGCATCGACAACTTCGCTCCGTACTCGTTCCAGAGCGCCCTGGGCGACCAGAACTTACCAACTCGGTTGTACAGCGAGATGTACGATAGCCGCAGCGCTGGGTACACGCCGATCGACTCGAGCTTGGGCGACAAGCAGACGTGGAGTGACGACGACATTGAGCTCCTGCAGGCCATTCTGTTGGTCTGAGCAGGAGTTTCCACCCTACTGAGTCGTTCAGCTGGCACTGCACCCATTTTATAAGAGCGCCGAGAATTACTCTTTACTTTTCAAATACAGAATTCGTTATCAAGCACAAAAAATGGTGTCTTTCATATTTTTGACGGCGACAAGCCTATCGACGCCCATATCGAGCTAAGCAGCGCAGGATAACAAGCTGGCCCGTCGGGCAGCGGCAGCATAAGG